CGCAGGAGGAAGTGCTTTGGGATGTACAATGTGACCATAGAAGAACTACAACCACTGAAACCGGGCCTATTAATCAAGTTTCTTGATGAAATAGGACTCACCGATGTGCTTTAGGCAGAGCATAGGGGATACAATAGCTCTTAAAGGGCGCAGTATACCATACCCTGAAATATTACATCTACATCTACCCTTCCATCTGGCAAGCATTGGTACTATAGATCACCCTAGTTGTGAGAAGGATGCAACTATATGTGCTGGCCTGTACCTCATCATCCTACTGTGCCCTATAAACACAGACAGGGTGTATATAATATTGTTCTGTGACCTAGATAACTACAGAAAAAATGTTCTCCACAAATATACAAAATATAGTGTTGGGCATAAAAAATATCGCAAGTTCGATCTCTCTTATATTCCTTATTGGGAAAAAAGTGTGTGTGGTGTTATTAAAAGTGACCGTTAGTTAATTAGTATTGGGAAATCATGAAATGCAGTAATATCTGACATAAGTTTTAGAAAAACATTTTATTTATCGTGCCAACATTTTGATCTTTATTGAGATGATCTTCAGGGCCTGGGATTTATAAACATTGTTTAAATTTTACAAATACATGTGGGATGTGAAAAAAGGGAAAAGAAAAAACGAATATATATATATAATGCTATTGATTTTAGATTCAATCATAGTATTTGTATCCAACATATATAGACATAAAACATCAACATCTCATTGGCAATCTCAACACGACACACAAGAATGACACATCTACACAGAAAGCAAACACTTTGAGTGAGTACAAATACTTTGATTGAATCTAAAATCGTTAGCATTGTATAAATTCATTTTTTTCTTTTCCTTTTTTTTCACATCCTACATGTATTTGTAAAATTTAAACAATGTTTATAAATCCCAAGCCCTGAAGACAATCTCAATAAAGATCAAAACGTTGGCATTTTACTAAACCTACATCATACAAGACTGCGTCTCGCGATCTCCAAATAATCAACTAATCAACGGTCACATACTCCTTAACCCTGCTACAAATAAGCCGTACAGTTTGCTAAAAAAATTGAAAATTGGTGAAAACATCCACGCAAGTGACCATACGCGCATTCTTATGGACAAGTCAGGCAGGACTGCCAGCATTCCCCAATTTTTGACATGGCAACCGGATTAAAAATAAGAAATGACTCAGACCTGGGATGACCTGGGGGTTGGTCGGTCTGGGTAGAACCGGGTCCTGGGATTGGGTGCTGTAGGCAGCATGGGTGTTTTATGCTTTGATGCCCATGTACATGTGCCAAAGCCAGATCCCAGGGGAGTGTGAAGGCAGACTTGAGTTTAAAAGATCCTATTTTTGGATATGTGAATAAAATATGTAATAATAATATAATATTTAACAATTAATTAAGGTTTTTAGTTGATGAAAAAAAATTAATGGCACGAGTTGAGATGGGGAGTTGTCCAAGTGGATCGAGGTCACGATAGCTCAGGTGGTAGAGCAGCGGCCTATCTAGCCGAAGATCGTGGGTTCGAATCTTTCTCGTGCCATTAACTTTTTTTCATCTCAACTAAAAACCTTAATTAATTGTCATGTATTGATTGGCCAAGCGGACCACGAAATTAGTGAATTAATAATATTTAACATTAGCCATATAATGTTATAATTTAATAATATACGGCTAATGAGTTACGAATAATGCGAACATTATAAATCAATTTAAAAATTACAAATTACCCTGATTTTTAATATAAAATTAAAATATTGAAGGCTGATATTAATTTATCAAGTATGCTTCCATATTTCAGAAATGAAATCAATCTTCCCATAGAGCATTATTTGTTAATATGCTGGAAGCAAAAAAGAAAAAAAAAACGAATTTGGAAAATCCTTTGAAAAAGTGTAGACTAGCAGGTCGTAACCCAAAAAATAAATTATCTTTTTTTTCAGTTCATGAGTTAAATGACTGTTTTGTTTTGGTTTTATTTATCAAACTCGTCTGACTGGCCCCAGATATTTGGGTTGAAAAGTACAGTTATCCATCTTCAAATGCAGAAAACAAATTTAAAAAATTGTAGTTTGATAACACACGGCGAAGATTAAATAATTATCTGAATCTTCTTTTAACGTCCTACTCACCGGGAATATATTAATTCAGCCAGCTCCAGTAGAAGCTCCTTCGGTTTGCAGAAAGGTGCCAAACAGATTTTGGCAGAAGATAGGTGTTGGATGTGGAGGTGTCACTGCTGTTCGCCGTTTCTGGGGCTGGACCTAGTAGGTTATGCCTTATCTCATGGCAGACTTTCACCAGAAGGACGTCATCTCAGAGACTGGTCAGAGATTCAATCATGATAATTTTCAAAATAGTTCAAGAGATATGCAAGGAATCATGCTCAATTTAACCAAATGTTCCTTATAGCTACGAGAAACCAAGATTAATACAACCATTAAATTGAAATATAATTCAAGAAAAAAGGAATTATGGACAATTTAACCAATTGTTCATGATAGCTATGAGGAACCACGATTAATCGAACTATTTTTTATTTTTTAAGGAATTATGGACAAATTGACCAATTGTTCATGATAGCTACAGGGAACCATGATTAATTCAGCCATTAATTTGAGAAATAATTCAATAAAAAAATTATTATCATTTTGCCCAATTGCTCATGGTATATAGTTGGAAAGAATTATTATCACTGTACCCAATTATACAACAAAATTACAAGGACCCTTGATATTTATTAAAGAATGATCAAATAAATCATGATCAATTTAACAATTTATTCTAGAGAGAAGGAAATATGATCAATATATCCAATTGTTCATGGTATACAGTTGCTAGAAATTATGATCACTGTACCCAAGTATTCAAAAAAACTGCAAATACCCTTGATGATTATTGAAGAAATATCGAATAAATATGATGAATTTAACCATTAATTTGAGATATATATACTAAAACGGAATTATGATCAATATACCAATTTTTCAATTCAACAACAAGGAACCATGATGACTTTTAAAGAAAGACCAAATAAATCATATTCAATTCAACAATTTATTCTAGATAAAAAGAAATCAATTTACCCAGTTGTTCATGTTATATAATTAATTAAGGTAATTTCCCTTTTGTCGAGCTAGCTATCCCCAATTTATTCGAATATTCAAATCAGTTACCGAGTTACATTTTAAATTTACTCAAAACTATGATTAATTTACCCAATTATTCAAGACAGTTACACAAGATCTTGATTGGTATATGCTAATAAACAGTATAGCTATAATTATCCATGGTTATTGTACCAATTAATTTAAATAGTTTTTTAGTTGTTCAAAACAACTACTCGAATATTCAAATCAACTGGCAAGATCCACGGTACCTTTACTCAAATACCTAAGATAGCTATCCTTGATCAAATTTACTCAAGCATTTAAAGTACCTGTGATCATGGTTTTATCATTATTATTATTATTGTATATGCAAAACTCCGATAGTTGACTTTGCAGCTGTATCGATATTGAACAATAATCGACGGGCCGTTGCCAGTTTCTCAGCCGATGACGGCGACGCCGCCAAACGATAAAAATCGGTGTCGTTCGAGGAAGGTTTCGTCCCGAAATCGGTGGTCGCTGGTCAGTGGTCACTGATCAGCCGTCGTGCTGTCCAGGGTTGTCGTCTGGGTAGAGATCTTGGACTTATCTCGGGACGTCTCAGGCCGAAATGACGGACAACGCCTCGACAGAGGCCCCCGGCCTCGCCGCCTCCCTAGGCCTCTCTGAACCGGCCCTTCGCCTCTTCATCACCATAATGACGGGTTATTCACGCAATTACGATTCATTATCAATATTCATTAGCTTAATCTCGGAGATATTGTTTTGTTTACTGGAAAGTCAACGTTACAACGCACTTTTTTTAATATGAGAAAAACAGTTTCGTTTTAACGCGCAAAATTAATTTTTGAGACTTGAACTTTGAATTAAAATGATTATATGTCTAAAATAGGATGTTACATAGTTTATTTACTTATTGTTATCATAAAGAAATCGACAGACGTTGAAAATTGATTAATTTATTCCTCATTTTCTTTTATTCAAAACGTTTACAAAAAGATACAAAATAATAACAATACTCTTCTGAAAAACCATGTAAAATAAAATAAATTAACATTTTTTCTTACGAAAATTTTGGTCTATGACATGTCACATTACCATTTTTTTTAAATATTTGTCAAATTTGTTTTTATTCTTAGCTTATGAATATATAATTTAATAAACAAGCAGATTTATTTGGTATCATTTTAAAATTTTTAAACATTATTACAATCAGAACAAATGTTTATCATTGATTTTAACATAAAACTATTTATGAGATTTTTTCGTGATGTCTGCTTGCCGATGAACTAATAGTTGGAGAGGGTAGTTCTACTCATACTGTTTTTGGCAGATTAAATGCTCATTGTCAGACTGAAAAGAGATCTCTTGGGTGGTCTGTAATTTTTTGCTTTTCAGAAAGAAAAAATTCTCTTTCAAAAAGTGCTCAAAGATGAAAAAAAACTGGACCTTGTATTTATTTGTTTATTTTCCATAACTAGGTATAAATATCTTATTTTGACTTCCTCCCTCGGCCATATATTACATGTTACAAATCATTTTACACTTAGATAAAAAACAATCAAAATCACTTGAATTTCATCCTTTCCAGAGCCAACTTGAATGCTTTCTTTTTTTTTTTACTTTTTTTTTCTTTTTTACATTGGTTCCTTTGATGAAACAATAAATTTGAGTAAAAACTTAATTATTAATTAATTTTTTTTTCTTAAAAGCATGGTTTTAAGTCAATATCACACCCGGACAGATTCTTTGGCCAACTACAGATACCCAAGGCCTGGGTCTGCCATGCTCTAACATCCACATGGTCTTCAGCGATTTAGGGGCTACTGGAAGTCTTGATTGGAGAGAAAATAGTGGTCAACCATGATGTAAAACGGCTAAAGATGATCGTTTTTGTTCTTACCACACTATGGAAACATTATTTAACAGCTTCCTTTATAGGCAGTCAATTTTAAATGGTAATGAGGGTGAGGTCTAAAACATCCATCAGAAGGCTTCATGAGAATAGCCTAGTCTTTGAACATCCTGCATCAGGTTCTCTACTATTGAAGAGGCATTGAGTAGAAAGGCAACTATTCATTAGCATCTCGCTTGGTCATTTGAACAATGGGGGGCTGTTCTCTTCACAGACGAATGCCGGTTTATTACCAGGGCTGTGTGTGAAGACATTGAGGACGATTTGCTTCCTCCGTGCCATGCGTGAGTCACAGCCATTTTAAAGACAGTCGGTTATGGTGTCGGGTGGAATTGACATACCAAACTGAGGAGAAAGTTCTTCTGGAAGCTGTGGTTCCATTTATTAGGGACAACTTTGTGTTAATGCATGCGGATAATGATCGATCGTGTGTGACTGGAGTTGTCGCCCATTTCTTGGAAGATGTAGGGATTGCCACAATGAATTGGCCAGCATTTTCTCCTTACTTAAATTCTATAGAACACTTATGGGACATGATAAAGAGATGGATTAGACATCGTTCGGCACCTCCAACAAGCGTTGATCGCTTCAAACCGACCTTGCTGAAGAATGGGATTATGTCTCAAAGTCAAAATCCAGTCACCTATTTACTCGATGGTTAGAAGACCAGAGGAAGTCATTTGTGTTATTAAGAACAACACTAGGTAATAAATTGTCAATTAAATTTTCACTAAATAATTTTCCAGTGTTGTGAATTTTCTTTCGTACCATTAATTAAATTTTTTAAATTAAAATCCATGAATTTCTGATCTCATTTAATTTGGTTTACATTAAAATAAGTATGTTGTAAAGCAACAAAAAACATATAGTTTGACATAACAAAATGCAAGTGTACATATTTTTTTTTTTTTAACCCCCCGCACTTATCGATGTAGCAGAAGAGTGATATAGGAGTCGGACGCTCTAACCACAGTCACTGTGGTCCCTAACCATCCCCAATTTAAGTGTACATTTTGTAATAACCAGTAACTTTACTTCCTGTACACCCTTACTAAATAAATCAGTTTGCACCTCTTCAATATTAGTTGCCTTACGAGGGATTTACCTATTTGACTTTCTCAGCTTGATGATGTTAGAATTCAATTGGGATTGTCACATTATTTGTTAGCTTTGACATTCCTGGAAATATCTGGTCGATAAGACTTTATGCTTTGTAGTTGTCAAGGATCTGACCACAAGTCCTCAAGATCTGGCATAGGTATGCAAGGATCTTCAGCTTCTTGGTTGATTTGGTAAATCCCAATGTGCACAATAATATGAACTATTCCTAATTTGCACTGTTCAACAATAAATCTGATGTTGCCTAAGGATTTGGTGTACCACTGATTTGTTTTGACATATACTGAGTAAGATGCTTTTAAAAGTGTGAGGCTCACTTTTCCCTAGTCCAGGTGTCGCGGGTCAGGCAAAGTATTCGCAATTTTTTTTCTTAAATTATATTTTTTTAATAACTGTAAAATTAAAATTAGACCATTAAAACTAAAAGAATGACTTTAGGGGACATAGAAGGGACTAACTGTACTTTTCACCAAGTTTGACAAATAAAGAAAAAAATGTCATTTCATTCTTATCGAGTTACTGTTCTGAAAAACCAGTATAAAAATACAATGAAACAACCCTCGGTTAGACTACAATTTCTAAATTTGTATGTATGGGAAATTTATTTTATTTCACAAATATGGCCTCATGCACCATTATTATAATTAAACCATTTTTTTTATATTATTATTATTATTATTAACAAATCACGTTTATAATAATTTTACAACTAACCAAAAAAGTAGAACCTTCTAAATGTGACTTTAAATTACATTTATTTAACACAAAGAAAAAGAACAAAACTGCAAAGCCCGGCAGACCGTGATGTTTGAAGTTCATGAAATACCTTCTTTTGTTCATCATCCTACATACCTCAAGAAATCACATAATAAAATTTTGCAATAAATTAACAGTAACTTCATTGATAGAATTGCCAAGAAATCTCACAATAAATTTATATAATTTGGTCATTGGTGATCATTTTGGTCTGCCTAACAACCCCTCTAGTTGGCTTCTCAATAAGATTGTATTTTTAAATATACTTTCCTAAAGGTAGATTGGGGATGAGGCCATGAAGACAGAAACAACATTTATTTTCTTGTCAAGCTTTCGGCAGAATATATCGCCTTCATCAGGACTTCAAAAAAAATCGTTATATTATTTCTGTCTTCATGACCTCATCCCCAATCTACCTTTAGGAAAGTATATTTAAACTGAGAAGGCTGATCAAACACCAAAGAAAATATTGTATTTTTATTGATATAGGATATCCTATTGCATTGATTCACCGATTGTTCTTATTTGGAAAGCCACCACCAGTCCAACATGTATTTTTCATATTGTGTGGTTTGTCGCTGGGAATGTACAATTTCGGTACGTAGTGCATGTAAATTTAGGCTGTTGCACCTTAACCAACTGATATTTGTTTCAGGCTTGGAAATGCTATATACTCTACTGGGCCTTGTGGTTGTCTACGCTATTCTTAAAATGATCGGAGGCACTGTACATTCTGTTATAATCACATTTGTATTCACCCTTGGCTCCCTGATAGCTGGTAATGAAATTTAACAGTTTAACACCAATGAATTTTAATTCTTTATATTGTCTTGGTATTTAACTAGGATATTGGGTAACTACAACCGACAACTATGATATTGTGTGGACTATGCCTTACTGCATCTTAACCCTCAGATTGACCGGGTTAGCTTTCGATATTTATGATGGTTCGTTACCAGAGGTCAGTTAGTTTTGCCTTAAAATTTTCATAAGAATAATTGTCTCTTTTAATTATTTATTTTTATGTACAGGAGCAGCTATCGAAAGATAGTAAACAGTTAGCATTACGAGAAGTGCCATCATTACTTGAAATAGCTGGCTTCACCTATATGCCTACTAGCTTCATGATCGGGCCACAGTTTCCAATGCGAAAATACAAAGATTTTGTTGCTGGAAAATTAAAACCTGTGAGTATTTGGGGTTAAACTTCTCTTCAAGGCTAATTATATTTTTAAAAAAAAGCACCTTCATTTGTCTTCAGTTTATCAGACAGTATCGTTATGTTTTAACTGCGGTATAATAATGTTTGACATTTTGTTTGTTGTTTGTTAGATCAACTGAAACATTTTTAAAGGATAAAAAATAATAATAATTGGGGAGTATTTGCATTAAATAAAATAAGTCCTCTTAGAGACGTGCACAAGATATGCTCAAAGCTTTAATTCTGTTTTAATTAATTTAAAAAATACATGTTTGTATGCACTAAATTTTAATAATTCTTGTAATAATCACAGGCAAACCAAACAATTCCGCAATGTGTAAGACCAGCAATGGAGCGGCTTTTGTTAGGGCTCATCTACTGTTTTCTTTATACAGCCGGCTCGATGTATTATAGCCCTTCTTACCTTCAGTCTGAAAAATTCAGGGTAAGTTTTCTGTATAAAAAAATTATTTACTTCTAACAATAATACTTACAGGAGCATCACTTCTTCCAAAAAGTTTTTGATATTGCCATCTGGGCCCATGTTGCACTTTATCAGTACATTTGCTGTTGGCTATTCACCGAGGGCTCTTGTATTTTAATTGGTTTGTCTTTTTATTTATTTGTTAATCTTCAAAAATTGACATAAAATGCACTTTTAGGTTTGGGCTATAATGGAACCGACAAAGAGGGAATGCCGAAATGGAATGGCTGTTCTAACGTGGATGTGGTGCTCTTTGAAAAGGCGCAGAACTTCAGTCATGATTATGTTGCGAGCTTCAACACCAACACAAATTTTTGGGTTTTGCAGTATGTTTTAGTATAATTTTCCCATTGAATAAAGGGTAAATAGAAATTTTCTTTAGGTACGTTTACAAAAGGTTGAAATTCTTGGGAAACAAAAACCTCTCTCAGCTTGGGGTTTTGCTGTTCCTTTCTATCTGGCATGGACTACATTCCGGTTATTACGTGACCTTCTTTACAGAATTCTTTGCAGTCTACATGGAAAAAGATGTACGTACATTTATTTTTAATACTGAAAGTTGTATTTATCTATCTAAATAAATGAAAATTGCTTTAGATAGCTTTTCTGCTTGAAATATAATAGGGTATACAGGGTGTCTTTTTTAGGTGGCCTGGCTGAATGGCTGAATGTCTGAATTTATAAAAAAAAATGTGTTTAATATTTTTTAGAGTAGTTTCAAATTTTTATCTTTTTTTGGAGAAAAATTATACAGGGTAGTTCAGGCCCAGTTCTACTACAAAATTTCAAATATGACCTGTCACATCATTTTAAAGGATTTTTTTACACTGAAAACAATGTTGCAATCGGATTTTAAGTGGTCACAAAATGAAAAGTTATGGCAAAAAGTTTAAAAAAAAAAAAAATGGTCTGCTATCATTTTCTATCCTATGATGCAATTCTTCAACTGAGGTTGCTGAGTTATGATTGGCATAGACACTGTTTTTAAATGGTCCTGTTAGCTGGTATAAAAATGTAGTTTTTGTCCTGTCATAACCTTAAGTTGTTTTATCATCTATTTTATATCAAAATGTCAATTTTTTGTCAAGATAAGGATTTATTGTTGAACAACAAATAAATCTTGATTGCAATACATAACAAAAAGAAAATTTACTTGTTAATTGTTTGTTTCAGTATTTTGTGATTCTGGAGGAAAACAAGAAATTCCTGCAGTTCCTAAACAGACCCCTTGTTCTTCCTTTCAAGATCGTTCTACTCAAATTATACACCATCTTATTCATGGGTCCATGTTTGCTACCTCTTGCACTTCTCAGCTTCTCGAAGTACTGGCCAATCTACAAAGAGATATACTGTTTTCATTTTGTATGGTTGCTATGGCCTCTATACCGACCATTGGTAGTTATGCTCCTACCTCCGGCTCATCAGAGAACTGAGTAAATGATGGTTAATACTAATTGGATCTGAAATTGTACAATTAAATTTAAAAATAACATAATAACCAAGCGTCTTTTATTTGGTCAAATAAAATCAACACAAAAAATTAGTTTATCTGTTGTGATTTAGTATAGTTAGGGTTAGGAGTAATAACCTGGTTTGTACTTTCAGTGTATAAAGACTGATTGCAAATAATGTATCAAATAGTACTTTATTGTACAATCTAAAATATACTTCTATACTATNCAAAATAATTCTGTTACAATTATTTTATTTTTATAAGTGTTGTGAGAATATCTCTTATTTTGAATTTTGTATTTTATTATAAAAAAGAAAAGGAAAAAAGTACATTATATTTATCCACTTAATATATATTATTTTAAAAATTACTTTATTTACTGTATTGGGTGTATTTTTTTTATATTTTTTTTAACCAATGTAAGAAAAATGGGAATGTTTTATTTTAGTAAAAATTGGCAATAATGTGTGTCTTCATTAAGGTAATTTGTTTAAGCAGAATGTTCCCGAACTGACATAACCTTTGGCGATTTTAGATGTAAAAGGCCTAAACTAGCAAATTAATGTTTTTATATTTTGATTGATTTTGCATGTTGCCAAATATATATATTTTAGTTTGCATCCCTGCTAGAATTAATTGTTTATTGAACTCAAGGGCGCGTTAGATTATGCATGTATTTGTTTAATTGGCATTTATTTTGGTACTTTAGTTATTACACAAACCTGCTAAATTGTATCTAAAGACATGGAAGTAAAATGATGTAATAATATATTCGCATTGTGATAAAATGTAACTCAAAAGTAGTCTAGTTTAAACTGCTAAAAGTAAAATTTCTTTTAAATATCAAAAATTTAGTTGGTTGGCACATTTTTGAAAAGCAATGTGCTGTTATATTAGGGTATTAATATGTTAATAACTTCCATTTTATAATTCGATGTCAAATCCAATAATGTATAAAGTAGGTATATTTTTTATATTTGCTTATTTGTTAATTTGGAACAAATGTTAGATCCACATCTATCAAAACTGCCTTTTAATATAGAATGCAGACTGCTTTCATAAATTCTCAAATAAATATTAGCTATCATAATTACAAATAGCGTCCTTATTTTATTAGAAAATACAATATTACAATTACAGAGATGTTGTTTTTATTTTGTTTTTTGTTATTCGTTTTTTTAATCATTTAACTATAATTTTTATGAAAGTAGTAATCCAATTGTTTTTCACTACAAATTTTGCACGTTCTACCCTTAATTTTTTCCCCTTTAATCTTAAGTGCGATGCACGAAGTTATTCAAATGCACATTTAAAAATTATTATTGTTTATTTATTTTTTTTTATGAGGGTATTTCAACTACGAGCTTATATGAACCCTCGGTGTGCCGGTGTTTTTGAAAACAATACCATTTGTAAGTACGTTGGGGAGTCCAGCAGCCCTGCATTCGAACCCAGGACGTCTTTACTTTACAGTCATGTACACCATGTCAACACCTAAACCATTGCAACCACCAATTCCCTGAAGTGTTTTATGTTTTATAATATATGTATTTTTATGAAATTTTTCTCCTTGTGTGTGCATGTGCGTGTGTGTATATTACGCAGGGTGGGCAACCAAGACCCGAGGGGTTAAATGCCGGACTCATGCCCCATCCCTAAAAGGTCCGGGACTTGGTCGGCTCATGTGTCCTGCATAAATCTCTTGGACTTGTTCACAAACCCCAAGGTTTTGGACCATTTTATCTCGGGGAATGATTTGGTAATGCCCGCTCCTTCAAAGATTTCAAATTTGGACCTATCACACTCTGTGTGGTAGTGCCTTGCTGTTTCTTCTTTTGTTTCGCAAAAACGGCAAAAGGGATCTGGTAGAATACACATTACGGAGAGGTGTCTTCTCAGTGGGCAGTGTCCCGTCAGAATACCTATCAGCCGCCTAATTCCCTTCCTTGAGATATAGCCATTTCGATTCTGCTGGTTTGATCACCTTAACAAACTACTTTGATTGCCTGTGTTTGGGGGTTAAATTCCATTCATTAAGGAATTGTTTCATGCCCCAGTTATGTTATACTCTCCTTCATTGTGCTCATAGAGTGAGGTAATACCGGTTGTGGCCTGACAAACGCAGTATTAGAGCCTTCTTTGGCCAGGCTATCCACCTATTCATTAACATAGTGTCCTTTATGTGCTGGTATACTAAAATTGGAACAATTTTTTCTCCTTACCATTACTAATGAAAAATAATTACTTGAATAGTCTGTTAATATCATTTACACTTCCTGATGAAATCCTGATTTTTTACAAAAATCATTAATTATAGACTCTCAATCTGCTCATTGCCTCAAATTGATCATCATTCCTGCCTTAGATACTGTTATGATCTTTTTTTTTTTTGGGGGGGGGGGGTTACGCTGGCATATTACCCATGAAGTTTTCTATTTTCATTTTACTGTCGAGCAGGATCGGCCGACCAGGACCAGGTCCGCGCACCCACTCATTCCGCTCCATCATCTTCTCATCTTCTAAATTTTCATGGTTGAATATAATCAAAAAGAAACATTTATCGACTTTAGAAATCCATAGAATGTTGAAAGCTGATGGATTGTTGCTTATTAGGACAGACTCTAAGTTTATTGGTTTGGAAATGTTTGGGACTTTGCTCAGATTTTTTAGCAGTTTGTCTCTTTCGTTTTTGTATTCTGGACATTCAAAAATTATGTGGGAAGGATTTGAAGGGCAATTGCAAGTGGGACAGTTCGGAGACGATGCCAAACCGATTCTCTTGTAGCTTCAGTCTAAAAATAGTAGAATAGAACTCCTTTGACATTCCTTCTGGGCTATCGCCTTCCGAAAACCATGGTTTTTTCTTGAGCTCAGGGAACAGTGACGTGTAATAATTGCCAACATTTGATGCGTTGTATTTTTCTTGCCACAGATTTCTATAAAGCTTTTCCAAAAAGTTTTTCCCGTCATCTTTAGGAATTTCATTGACAAGGGTTGGACCTGATGTTGCAGCCTCGTTTGCAAATGCGTCCACCGTTTCATTTTGCCATAAGCCTGCATGCCTTTTCACCCAATACAATGCCACCCTTTTTCCCATGATGTTTGTCTCAAGCATTTTCCTAGAGATTTGGGCAAAAATATAGTTTCTGCATTTATATTCTGGGATAATGTTACCCTTTCTACAATGCTTCGACAGTCTGTGAGGATACAAAATTGCAATACAAAGAATTGCAGGGTCAAAACTATGGAATTTTCTTCCCTGGGAAGTATGTTCTGCTTCCTCGCTGGCTAGTTTCAAGTCCATGGCATCTGAGTTTTTAAAAACAACATGAATCATCCTTTTCTTTTTCCTGTTATCTTTTTCTCTTTCTGCTTTTCTTTTGTAATGTGGTTTCATCATCCGATTATAAATAAAAACTAAATTTATTTCTAATATATGTACATGTAAGGGGGTTGAAGCCCTATTTGTACCTTTAAAATAAATAAATAATAAATGAGATTTATATGTAAAAAAAGTGTGTATAAAATATAAAAAGTTAAACCCTGTCAAAAGTTAATTGGCCCAACAAAGAAAGTATGATTCTTACTCCTAAAAGCCCTGATAATTTTACAAGTTCACCACTTCAATACCAACTATAAAAAGAAAGAAAATGTATAATTAAAGATAATTCGTTGAATTTTAGGTATAGTTGAATTAATTGGAGAAAAGTAAATAATAGAAAATTTGAGGCTAATGATTTAAATTTGTGAAGTACTACCAGACCATAATCATGATATGATTTAAGAGATGGATCAACCTTGTGTAGATTTGTATGCGTGATAATCAGGTATTAGGACACAGAAACATGACTTCAGGGCTGAGTTAGTTTACAATTTCTTTATCAGGTACAATAAATAAATAACATATAAAAACAACAAATAGCAAATCAAAAATACTAAAAACATTAATAGTTAACTTATTTTTGACCAATGTGGCTAATTTACCAATCAAATTAACCACATTGGTCAAAAATAAGTTATCTATTAGTGTTTTTAGTATTTTTGATTTGCTAATTGTTGTTTTTATATGTTACTTATTATCAAAGATGTATAAACATCTTTATATGCACCTGATAAAGAATTGTAAACTAACTAAGTCCCAAAGATGTTTACAAATTAAACAAAAGCTTGGCATGAAGTTGGGAGTTTCTATGTTTCCGTGACTTGATTATCATACGTACATATAATAGAAAATGATTTATGTAATTGAATTAAATGCAGTAATGACTGTTGCATAAAATATTGACATTTAATGATTGTTTGGAGATTGTGAGATGCTGTCTGGTTTGACAGGTTTAGAAAAACATTTTCTTTATCATGCCAACGTTACAATCTTTATTGAGATCGTCCTTCAAGGCTGGGATTTATAAACATAGTTTAAATTAAACAAATACATGTAGGATGAAAAAATGAATTAATACAATGCTAGGAATTTTAGACTCAAAGTATTTTGAGCGCAAATGCTTTGATTGAGTCTAAAATTCCTAGCATTGTATAAATTCATTTTTCACATCCTACATGATTTGAATAATTTAAACAATGTTTATAAATCCCAGGCCCTGAAGATGATCTTAATAAAGATCGAAATGTTGGCACAATAAAGGAAATGTTTTTCTAATCAGACAGCATCTCATGATTTCCAAATAATCATTAATTAATGGTCACTAAACACCACACATTGACATTTAACATGTAAAGATATACAGCTTTGAATTTATCTGTATTTACAAAGGTTTTTATTTATTTTGATAATTATACAATTTTAGAAAAATTATAACTAACAAAATGGGGGGATATAATTTTACCAGGGAGTATATCTTCTGTAACTACAATCAAATACTTAAATGTGTCAGAAATGTTGTCTTAACATTGGGTAGAATGATTAATGAAATTTACCAGTAAAAGTATAAATATTGGTTAGGATTTGGCTAAAACTTGCAACATGGAGACAGAAAAAATGTGTGCCACTGCAGAAAAACGTGTTTAACCCTTTTGATCGCTATTTGATAATATACATTTTTACGTTTAATTCTCCAATTAAAGATAACTCTGGTAAAACGGAAAATGGATAATAATTTATGTACTTGTTTTCGGGTGTCGGGTGTTAAAAATTGACTACCCAATCCAAGAGCAACTTAAACCGAGGGAAAAATAAAACAAAATAAAAATAAACAATCGAGTGTTTTATTTTTTTATTTAACAATTGAGTGTTGTTTTTCTCGGCATTTAGTTTTTGACGATCGCCGCGTCCAGTCGCAATACTCTCGAGGCGAGTAGGAGATTTTCCGAGAATGTGTACGATTTCCTGGAAGTGGAGTGCGAGGCGGGATGGCGCGACTGGGACGGGACGAGCGATGCCGGGGCACGCCGAAGCCACGAAAAGAGCGTCCCAAAGGTAAATCCAATGAAAATATATAAATATATTTTTTAATGAGACTAGTCTAAAAATTTTGAAAATCAAACTTTCGAATCTCTTCTTGACTCAGTGAAACTCGAAAACATTAACATGTGTGATCGGGGAACTTCTCTGATCCCTGACTTTCTTGATTCAAATAGCAGATCCCGTCAGAAATTACTTATAATTTTGAGTCGTTTTGTCACATCTCGTTCGTCGATTTTTTTATTTCCAGGCTAATATTTCTCAATTTTGGAGAAAACATTTTTTAATAAAACTTTAACGGATTACAGCAATATTTCCGTTTAAAATATAGTTTCAAAGCCGGCCCTTTTAAACTGAATAAAATTGCTAAGTCGGAACTTTGCCACCAAAAAAAAATTTTCTTTCCCAGTAGCTGATGCAATTTTTTCTCCCGGTGAAAATTAAGATCCGTCCAGTTTCGCGTCTTATCCGTGTGTTTTGATTGAAAAGGCATAGTAGTGGAAAGCTCGAAATTCGTCAATCTGACGTTTTAAAAATTTTCTTTATACTAAGAAATCGTGTCTTTTTCCACCGTTGAGGATACTCACGTTGAGGATAAACCGAGGTAAATTACTCGAAATGGCTATATTTTATTTTCCCTGCAAACAAAAACGAAGCATACAAATATAAGTACGTATAAACTTTATGCCAGATACCGAAGTCCTTCAAGCTCTTCGCCACAGTCGAGGAAACCACGGAATTTCCAAATGTTTGGCATGTTATTAACTACATGAAAATATTTAAATTTTCACAATTCACATTTCTTATACTCATAAGACCTGACTTGTAACCATCTTTAAGGAGAAATTCTTGGGTCTATTATCAATCAACACAAAGAAAAACTGCCGAATTTCTATGAACTTGAGTTTAATCCTCTGAAATAAAACCTTTCAAATATTTTATAATTATTTACACTTTTAGTAGTTTCATAGGATGTACTACCATGATGTACCATTTCACGCATTTATATTCTGATCGTTGTATTTTTTTATCTAAACAAAAATTTAGAGCACAGTATGCTTACGTTTAAACTGCGAATGAGGCTTGTTTTGACATATTACAGTATGCAATTGATCATTAACATTATATTTATATATTTTGGAGCACCAACTAATAAGAAATTAAATTTTGGCTCGCTATCTAAAATTGAAACCTCCTTTTAAATTTTGAATTTTAAATTCAACAGTTCTACACCAGGCCAATGCTATTATTTTTGAACAGGACGTTTATACTTCTCGGCGTGAGTTGAGTTTTAAAAACTGACGAGGATTCGACTGAGGAAGATTTTTCTGTGCGTATTGCCTGCGTTGAAGTCTAACGAGAAATGTTATGCGATGATTGACTGAGAGTTGATGATCCAAATAGCACTAGCTCCTGTCGTTGGTTACTAGCTGTCTAGGGACTTTCTTTATCCTTCTTTGGACAGGCTGCAGAACTCGACCCTGAGCAGATGCGTCTCCTTTGGTGAGTCGTCTTTTACAAATGGTAGGCTCTTGCCGTGAAAGTGACCGTTACTGATCGCAAAACGGCCACACCCGTTTAGCAATTTATTAAAAAAACCGTTAACCTTCGGTACGACTAAATATTCGTCTTGAACATTTTCAGAATACAGGAAAAAAAGACAAATTAGATTTTCAAAAAGGAATTAATCCGAAACTAGGTAAAATTTTGATCTCTCTTTGAAGGAAAATGGTGGCGACACAATCTTAAAAACTTCACATTTAACATACTCACTTTTACTATTATTTTATTTTATTCAAACCAAAAAATCTTTAATCTCTTAAATCATTAACCCAACAAAAATCTAACTTTATATATTAAAATCTCCCATTTTTAAATGAATAAATAGGCTTACAACAAATAATGACTTATGTGGGGAATGTTGAAAAGGTTTAAAAAACACCAATTTATATCTTTAATTCACAATATTTGAAATATATTGACTTATGTATGCTTAGATTTTAAACCATCTCAAAATTATAATTTTTCTGCACAAATTTCAGCTATTCTATCAGGCCAAATTGCAGTTTAATCAACTCTCATTATCATACTACTAATTTTTACAAAGGCCTAGCTTTAAGGATATGTTAAGTTATCTATGTTTTATTTCTTTATTTGTACTTATTTTTTACATCTTGTTCAACCTTTGTGCCCTTTTTCTTCTAGGCAAAAAATTTAAAAATGTACTTCTTTTGAATTTTGGGCCAATAACAACAAGAGCACAATAAAGATTGTTATAAATGTTTTTCTTTGATATAATAACAGGAAAACAGATAACAAATCTTTAAATTTTGATTTTACATATCTTCTTTTGTAAAAAAATTAACAACATAATAGTTTAGAGGTGTTTATGCTTTTGTGTTAACACCCACAGATCCCTCATTCATTGATCGTTATATATTCCAGATTAAGAAAATAAATGCAAAGTCTCCTTTATCTGACACTGAATACATTTTGGCATTAATATCTGTTATAAAAACAAGCTTTTATGGATTGGAAGTAAAGTATCAAATAATTTTTTTTGTGAATTTTCATTTTAAAAAAGGTTTATTTCATTAATAATTTACTTTTAGAGGCATCGAGGTCACGCATAACAAATAACGTGCAGTAGCATGTACATGGATATATTTTATAAAGAAGTAAGGTGTTTGATGAAAAGATCTTTGCATATTTGTTGACACTTCTGAAAATTCACACATTTTGCTAGCCATGGAGGACACTTTTCCTAGGGTGGGCATGTCATCTTTTGAAAATGAAGAGTACTCGTCTAGATCTTATATAGAAATGCCTCAGGTTTTCCATTCTTTGAATAAAACTATTCATACAATTTAAAAAACAACTTATTCTAAATATTTCAGACTGGTGAGGTAAACTACATTTCAACAATAATCGGGGTCAGGGGGAATCCCATTTACAAGGTATTTTCATGTTTTATTCAGCTTGGAAATGTATTCAACACGTTTGTTTTACAGGGCAAAGGCATTTGGATTGCAAAACCAGAGAAAACTTCGTTCACGACAGTGAAAGTCGATAAAGACGACATCAGGGCCAAAAGGCACTATGTTAAGACTTTATTTAAAGATGGAAGAGAGGTGAAGATTTGGGAGTGTGGTCTTTGTGAGTGTACTCATTTAAGGAATTAATTAAATGCTTAATCGATATTTAACAAATCACATTAATACAGGTGGAAAAGAATTCAGATTTCAGTATACACTTGTTCGCCACATACCGACTCACACAGATGTCAGGAACTATCAGTGTGATATTTGCCCCAAGGCTTTTCGCCAGGTAAACATTGATTTTGTGTTGTTTAGCATAAATGTTTATAATACCCTTGCAATTGCAGCTGAGTACTTTAGCACAGCACAAAGCGACCCACTTAAACATGCGACCTTTCCTGTGTGACTTCTGCAAAAAATCATTTAATCGTATATCTACCCTCATTTCACACAAGAAGATCCATTATGACGAGAAACGTCATATCTGCCCATTCTGCGGGAAAGGATTTCACCAAAAGGGTAATAATGATACTAATAAATAATGATATTAGAATGAGTTGTAAGTGAAAGCCTCTATTTTGTTATTGTTGTTTCTACGATGTTATTGATGATCGTAATAATATTGCCCTGCCTTCGTAACAATATTACAGTATAAATAAATGTATGAAATGTTCATAGAAATTGTAAATTTCTTCCTTAGTATATTATTATTATTATCAATATACTGTGCTTATTATAACAATAATAAACACGGCCAAAGGCCTACTTCACAGAATTATTACCTTAAGCCAGATGTACAAACATATCGTACATAACAATCACAACCCTAAACACATAATCAACAGAATAATCAACAACTACAACTCAACACTAACACCAACTGTTGATACTAATAGTACTATATCAAATCTATCAAATACAGTCAAACCAATATATCTATGCCATTCGTTCACAGCCTATCACATAAATTAAACACATTTCTCTCTTCTGATAACTTTAAAATAGGTTTCAAAAACTATAAAACAATTCACACACTTTTTTCCAAAATTAAAGATACACTAGTACCTACACCAGTAACAAATAAGTCTGATGTAATTTACAGAATCAATTGTTTAAATTGTCTGGCAACTTATATCGGTCTTACATCCCAATATTTGGATAAGAGAGTAAAGCAACATATCTATGACTGCAAAAAAAAAACCAACAAAATCCTACAGCACTGGCTACCCACTATTTTGAACACCAGCACAATTTAGACTTCAACAATCCAAAAATATTACACAAAGAACAAAACAAACATAAACGTAACTTTTTAGAAATGGTTTATATTAACACAGCATCAATTACAGATTGGACATATATAAACTCAGTCACAGCTATTCTAATATCATTAATCAAATTCAATATCGATAACATACATATATTATCATCACATCACACAAAACATAATATAACATAAAACAATCATTACATTCTTCACATCAAACATTTCTACATAGTCTAATTCTTCAACAATTTGGCTTTCCTTTCCATTATTACCCCTGTCTATATAATCCTGAAAGGTTAATTGGGCCGAACCATTACCCATTCTTTCCCATTGTCGGCTCCTTTCACGTCAAAGAAGCTGACTCCTCATTTAAAAATGTCTTTCTATCCCTACTTCCTTCCCCACCCCTTCAAAATCCAACCATATAAACATAAAACATCAATTTCTCACTGGACTTCCAACACGACACGCAATAATGACTCTTCTACACAGAAAACAAATACTGAATGAGTACAAATACTTTGAGTCTAAAATTTCTAGCATTGTTTAAATTCATTTTTCACATCATACATGTATTTGTATAATTTAAACAATATTTATAAATCCCAGGCCCTGAAGATGATCTCAATAATGATTGAAATGTTGGCATGATAAATAAAATGTTTTTCTAAGCCTACATCACATCAGACTGCATCTCACGATCTCCAAATAATCATTAATATTAGTAATTTAAAAATAAGTGCCGATAGTTTCATAACGATTATTTTGCCTTACATTCCTGTAAATTAAATTCAAATTGGTGCCTAGCAAAAAATAAGATGACAACATTAGGTTACAATCAATATTGGGTTGAAGAAGAAATGCAGTAAAGGTTGAGCAAAATATATGCAAATTGCAAAATAGCCACTATTTATATTATTTATTTAATTTTCTAACGAAAACATCATATTTATGTTCAAGTAAGAGAGAAAAAATCCTTTTCTACCTGATTACTGAGGGATTAAAAGGGAAGTCTAATCTCAAGACTTTCCTCGTATGCTTTTAAATTGAATTTAGGGGTATGGTGCGAAAAAAAAGCCGTTAATTGCCCCTTGATAAGATAAATTTAATTATACTCCATAGACAAAATATATTTCCAGATTTGGCAAGGCTTGTATAGAATCTCTTTTGAAAAACAATTAATTTTTGTTCTAGGTAACCTCAGGAACCACATGTACACACATACAAATGAAAGGCCTTATAAGTGTGAAGTTTGTAATAAAGGTTTTAACCAAAAATCCAATCTTGTTTGCCATAAAGTTAGTATTTATTTGTTTATTTTTGGGTTTTTTCTAAATTATAATAATTTTTATATTTTTGTAGATATCAACTCATTCAAAGAAGATCCTTTATCAATGTGAAATTTGCAATTTGAGCTTTGCCAAACAAAATTTATACATTAGTCATATGGAATCAGCTCATAATATAATTGTTAAGTTTTCTAGAAGGTCTCCAAGTTCAGAAAGTACACCAAGCAGTAACATAAAAGAAACACAGTAAGTTTATAAAAATAATTAAATAAGCATGCTCGAACCTAACTCTATTTTGTGTAGGTGTACTTTAGTGGATGAGTCTAACAATGTCATATACCACCTTCCTATATCCCAAGAGATCAAAAACCCAAGCATGCCTCCTAAGACTGATATTCCTACTAATGCCATTAACCAATTCCAAGAAAATAATGTCAGTTATTTTGTTCTACTCAAAAGTTTTTCGTTCTATTAAGTTGCCAAGTTTTCAATTTTAGCAAGAAAATGAGATTCTGACAATAATAAAGCACAATGCTACAGAGGCTATGAACCAGCTTAATGAAATTGGGCAAGTCCCTTTTGTTCTGTTCTACCAAGCAGGTGAATCTCAGCCAAAGATCTGTAAAGCGATAGTCAACAACAACGAATATGCCCTTGTCCATCCTTCCAACAGTGATATCTCTAAATATTTTATTCAGAATGCTAACAATTCTCTGTCGCATAAGGTGAAGTACTGATAGATATCAATAGAACAGTTTATATAAATAAAGCTCATAAAATGCTCGGTTGCAGTTCCCAATTGTATCTACAGTGATTCAGAAGAAAGACTCAACAGGAAAAGTTCAAACTCTTGTCCTTCCGGCTGGGCTCAACCCACAAGTGGTCGAAAGTTTCGAAGGTTATTATGACAAATAATTTTGAATTTTTAATAAATTAATGTGTAATTTTTACAACATATAGGTGCAAACGGTGCAAATGTTTTTGATTATTATCAAGCGCTCAATTTTGCCAAACCAGATCTTATCAATGAGGTTAAAAAAGAAATAGACTTTGAAGTGTATGATAATGTTGCACGTAAGTTCATTATGTATTATTTGTATATATGTAAATTTGTGATGAACTGATATTAGTTTGTTAAATTGTAACATTTGTTAATGATAATTTATGTTTATTTTTTCATGAGCCTAAAAAACTAACAAAGAAAAGTTAAACTTTACCATTATTAGAAAAGATTGTTTAAATATTAAGATCACAATTTCCCAACTTACAAAGGTTACCATATTTTTTGAAATATTTTTTCTTAAACATGAAGGATTAGTTTATATATAATTTTCATTTTTGTATTTTATCCTATAAACTACAGGATGGGGGTTTTAAATATTAATAATTAAGACATTTTAAGAATATATTTGTGTTGAGTTTATTCAAGCTTTAGCCTAATAATTTTTTTTTTTCTTAAGAAAACAAAAACGGAAGAACTGCAGTTGTTTTTACTAAAACACAGCCAAGTGTGCGCCAGGCCAGAGGAAGGATTTTGTTTGAAAGTATTGGCTCGAAGGCGAATCTGGCCCAGCCAGAAAACGCAATGGCCCCCGAGGTTGTTCCACCGCTTGACGCTTACAATAACAACAGTGAGAATCCGATAGAATTCCTCTACATCCCCGGTGAGTCGACGCGGCCTGAAAAGGAGGATCTCTTTGAAAAAGCAAACTGGCCTGAGAACAAGGTAGAGCCGATCATCTTCCTGCCAAACCAGGAGCTGAACACCAAGAAAGATTTCAATCTTGTGAACCACGATGAACAGTCTTCTTGTACTGTTTTGAACAGCTTTGGCATGGCTCCTCTCAACAGCCAAGAAGACAAACCAGTTTCAGTTGAAGTCGAAATACAAAATGAACAGCAGGTCACCTCTATCAAAAGTGAAATTGAAACTCAAGAGGTATTTTTTTATTATTTTGTTTTTAATTTGCTTAACACAGATTAAAACATGAGTTTGTTACAAATTTATATAATCATTCATTTAACATACTGTTAATAAAAGTATATTTTATTTTTATTAACAGATTCCTTATTATATTATTAGAATGGATTTAATTTAAAAGTTCAGTGAGCATTATTATTTTAAATACTGACCAAATTTAATTTTCATCTTTGGAACATACAAGCAAGAATGTTTACATATTTTTAATCATTATTCATAAACATGTGTGCCAAGCTCATTTTTTTTTTAATTTCGCCCTCTTTTAGGCTTTTGGAGCTGTATTAGATTAGAAAATTCCTTTAAATATATTGATTTTTTTTTCCCTCGGGAAATAGCTGATATTTGTTATGTAGTTTTATTTTGGGCTTAGTTGTATAATCTTGTTAAGTTTTGAGTTTAGAGGCCAGAGGTGTATTAAAAAAGCAGTAAACACTTTTTTACTGGTAACATTTTGGTACTATTTCAGTACCTTTTTCAGGCTGAGATGTGCCTACCTCAAAATTGTTTTCTACTTTTTTATTAAACATCCTTGGCCTCTTCACCCAAAAAATAAAACAGGATATTTTTTTATCAATAACTGAACAGTATTAAGTTAAACTATTTTCAGAATCAAGATACCTGTAGTGACATAGAACCTACACTTTTCAGCAACTTAGAAGCCTTGAAAGAGGTACTTTTTTCATTACTGATTTTTTAAAATAAACATTTCATTTTTACAAATAATTTTTCAGCCTTTCTCAAAATACAACATTGATTTTGACGGCGATACCTTTGATCTGTTTGAAGATTGCTCATTTGCTGACGGCCTATTGGATACTGTAAATAATACCACTGAAGTTAGTTTTATTTAATTATCTAATGATTCATTCATCAATTAATAAAACCCCACCTTAACTTAATTTTACAATTTCAGGAAAACAAGTGTTTCAACTCCCTCATAACTGACGCCGATTTGTCGATAAAGCAAGAACCAAATATGTATTTTAATCAAATGTAGTTGGACGTATTAGCTTTGCCATGCCTCACCAAGCTTTGCCGTTAATTTGTTCCTTGAACTATATTATATTTTCACTGAAAGAAGATTCACAATAAATTGTAGTTGTACACAAGTTTTTACTGTAAACACACTAAAGTCTTTTTAAACTAATTTTGTCAATCTGTGTATATTAAATCGTTTCACCACTGATTGCTTTATAGTTATATTTATGTCTTAGAAGGAATTGAAATAAATATCAAAGAGAGAATGTGGAAATGGCTCTCGCCTGCTGAATAAAAGCAAATTTTAACAGTTCAGTGTCCTTAATTTAAGGGCTGAGCACAATGTAATGTTCACATTTTGATTTTGATTTTTTAATTTAAAAATACGGTTTTAGTTTCAAATTTAGAATAATTGGCAAATTTAGAAAATAATAAGACTACAGTGATGTTTTCACTCAAGATACAGTGACTGATTTTGGAAAATATTTTCAAGTAAAGAAGGTGAAAAAAGAGAACTTAAAATAACATTTCCCTTGATTTATATCCATAAAAAAATTTCAGCAACAAATAGAAATATTTCAAATTGTCAATATTTATTTTACCTTCATGTTATGTATTATGTGTAAACATTTTGCATATTTGATTTAAATTGGACAAGTTAAATTATTTTTTGTATTTTAAAAACCATGTTAACATAAGTTATGTACAATTGATTTTTAATTCTAAGACTAGATTATGGAATAATTAAACAACTGAACATAATATATTCTACAAATGTTATATTTAGTTGTTAATGAACATATTTTAATTAAAAATTAATTTATAATGCAGATCTAATTTATTATATAATATCAATTAGTTGTCATAAAGTTTTATGGGGTATGGAGATCCTAAAACAAGTAGAAAAGTATTACTATTATTAAAATAGTTTCCAGATGTATAGGTTTAAAGGTTATCACTACAGATTAAGTAACAAAGCCAGAACACTGTAAAAATAGAAACCTTAGACCTTGCGTAACTTAGTTACAAGTAAATAACTGTTCATAAGAACTGTTTTAAATAAAAACAAACTCAAAAGAGAGTTTATTTTAACATAACACTTAAGCATAAGTTAAAATATCAAAAGGGTGATATAGGTATGTCAATTTAAATACGGTATTATGCAAAATACCACAAATGATAGTTAAGCAAAATGTAAATGTAAACATGTTCATATTATCATAATTGTAAAGAGTATTTTATTATGATCAAGTAGTAAACTTAAAACCACTGTAAAGCTTCAAATAATAAAGTTAGGAATGAACTTGTAGTTACACTGAAAAACGAAAACAATTGGCTGCGTTATTTATGACAAATTTTATTCACATTAATCACACCATTTTGTTTAATTTATCTGAATTTATAATTTATTGAACAATAATTAATATACCTATTTTATTTTTCACTTATATACATGGCAAAATAACACTATTTTTTGTTCATTAATTTAAGTCTAATATAAGGTTCAATTTGATACTTTAATAATTTTGAGCTTTGTGATATACAAAAAATCTAAAATACACTATAAGTTTATCAAATGTAATAAATATATTGCTTAAAATAAAACAAGGTGAATCCAAGATTTTAAAAAATCAAATCCGGACTAAATTATTTATTGTTAACATTGTTCTATGATATATTTACCTTAACAAATTTCATCAAAAAGGCGCATTAGATAAAATTGAATTGTTATTTATTATTAATATCATAGAATAGAATCAATGTAAGGGTGAACCAACTGTAATTTATAATTTGTAGTTATAATACTTATAAACAGAATATTTGTAATGAAAGTAATAGTTCACAAATAAAATCAACCATTGGGTTTTATGTGAAAAACGTTCAATTTTTAAATTTACAGGAAACTCACCGAACACATTTTATCACTTAATCCGAATCTCGAAAAGCTTTTAGAAAAGAGCTATAACAAACCTTTATTAATTTAGTTTGAAAAAATTGCATAATTTGTAGTTATAACACATATCTTATAATTAATAATATATTCTTTACATTCACTATTTTTTGTGGTCCGCTGACCAATTATCTTATTTATCTCAACTTAAACCTTATTGAATATTCTTTACGTTTAATTTAGGGTACTAGTCTTTGTTCTTAATCTTTGTTTGATCATTTACAATTATCATTATATATTTGTATTTTTATTCACAAAAGCTATTACAAAATGTAAACCTCTCCATATAAACTTTTATTTTAAAATATTTCTTAACCTAATATGTATATATGTTAAGTGATGAAAATAAATGCATAGATTCATGGCATAATGTTATTATTTTTTAAATGAAAACTTTTGAGATCTTGTTACAACACATATCTGAGAGTAAGAAAAGTTTTCAAATATGATAAATATAAAAGAGAAACATATTAATGTTTAAAATTATATGGCAAAACATTTATTCTTTCAGTTGTTATTCCATGTGTTCATTTTTATGTTGAATGAAAGAATTTTTTATTTATTTATTAGTGTGTTATACATTTTTGACCTTTGAAAAAGTTATATTTACATAAAAACATGGCAAAACAAAAGTCACACAAAGACAAACGTGAGTTGCCGGAATACCTGTTGAACAGGTTGATTACGATTCATGCTGATCTTGAATCAAGGTTTGTATATTTAGTATTATAATCAATTTGCGTTTGTAATGAAAGAAATAATTCATAAATAAAATCAACCAATTGCAGGAAAATCCCTGAAACACATTTTATCACTCCTCACCCGAATCTCGAAAAGCTTTTAGAAAAGAACGATAATAAACCTGAACCTTTGGTAATTGGTGTAGATTTTTTTTTTATATATTCTGTAATAATGAACTACATTTTAGCCTGGCTTGCTGCAATGTTTGAGGCAAAAACCCGAAGGAAAACCTTCTAAAGTAATTGCGGACAAAGACTCGCCTGAAATTGTGCTGAAGACTGTTGGCCCAAGAGGTTGAAAATAAATTAGGAAAAAATATAATTTTTTCTAATTTTTGTTTGTATTTTAGTCACGTATCATAAGTTGCCTAAGAAGAGGAAAGTTGTGGAGGACAGAGGAGAACAAGAGCTTAAAAAAATGGAAGATGAAATATCAGATTTGGGGAAGCTTCGGGGTATTGTGCATATGAGGGATTTGATAGCGAGGATGAGAGTAGAACCAACATCAGGATTCATTTATTTGGTGTACGCTCTTTCCAAAGAAGACATTAATTTCCACCCTTTTTGCTACCAGTGCGTAAATTGTAAATTTAATTATCAAATGCCTGTAACAGTGAAATTTCATTTGCAGGATTGTTTCATTTTATGATGTCTCAGGAACAGCTGGAAAACATTTCTTAACAATGAGTAATCAAGGTGTTATTCAGTGTGTATATGGAGAATCCACCTTTTACTCAATGGACGAGTGGGATATTGATTATTCAAATTGGGTTGAGTTGATTAAGGTAGGTTAAAATACAAATGAAAAGAAAAACAAAAATCACTTTAGACTAAATTTATTATAATGATAAAATTTTGTAGACAAGAACTTTTTGGCAGTTTCAACTCTACAAATATTTCACTCTCTGGAGGAAAAAAATCACAACTAGGAAGTTTGTTGAAAACCAAACTTCGCTAGAGGCCTCATTGATTATGGTGAGGCCTGAACTCCGAAATGCTCTTCAGCAGACTCAAAGTGTATGTGAGTCCCTTTCCAAGGAGTCATTCTTCGTGAGTTCTGGCTTGGAAAAACTCAATTTGGAAGAATTCATGAATATTCAGGTGAGTCATTTATCTTCTGGGTCTTAGAAACATTTTAACTTGATTTTTTTCAGATCGAACAAATCAATCAAGTGCAAACCAAATTGAGCGAGTCAAGACAGTTGATTAAGCAAATTCTTGACAACAGTAGTCACGGAGATTTACTGGAAATGGGATTTACGCCTGACGACAGCAACTTGAAAGTTGATTCAACGCTCATAGGTACAAGCTTTTTTTGTAATTTTGTCATTTTCAATTTTCTCTAGACATTTATAAAATACTAAATAAGTACGCTTTATTTTAACAGGCACTGCAGCAATGATTGGCATTGAGACAACAGAGGACGGACGCTACAAGATGTCATTTGATGATAGAAGAGCAAAGAAAAAACAGTGTATAAAGATTTCAAGGTAAATTCAGCAATTTTTGTCCTTTTTGATATTCTTATATTTCACATTCATCTTTTGTAGATGCCTAGGAGTTGCAGATTATTTGGTTCAAGCGTTTTTGATTAAACTCCTAAGAAGATCGCTAAAAATCTTAAAAATGACACTGTGCAATCACATCAAATATCTTCCTGAGTTGCCAATGTTAGAAAACGTTCCTCCCTCTCTAATTGTTGAAAATGCCAGAACTGAAGACCCTAAGGTGTGTTGGCTGTATTTTCTTAGGTTTCATGCCAACTTTCATTATTTTCTCTTTTATAGAATCCTCTCTTTCTTGTTAATCTTCTTATGGGGGAAACGAATGTCGAGCTGTATCCAGAGCCCGAAGATTGGATAAACAGCGTAAGCACAGTAATAAATAAGTGGATTTCCACTGTTCTCGCTGTGAAGACATTCCAAGGTGATCCCCATTTTGAGGTGTTCACCAGGCCAACCATTTGTGATTTTCAAGAAGAAAGGCTTTGTGGTTATGGCCCAAATAAAGAGTTTGTACTGTCCATTGACAAATGTATTGAAAAAAGAAAAAAGTCAATCTTGAAAAAACTGTACCATAACTCTGAGGCGCTGAAATTGTATGCGTCCAATTTTGAACCGCTCGTACAGATGACAAGAGGAAATAAACAAATTGATCCTGATTCAATTAAAAATCAGAGGAGTGAGCTTTCTTAAAAATTGTCATTCTGAAATGAAAAATACAATTTCAATAAATTTTCAGGTTTGGAAGCCTTTAGACAGCTGTTTCTAACGTTAATTGACCACAAGAACCTGTTAGAAAGCGTTGTACGTGAACAATCGCTGGGCGTCTACCAGGTTGTGTTCAGCTCCTTTAGGATCATGACAATTCCAATTGCCCGACAATTGCTGAGACTGCTGCAGATCTATTTACCGAGGTTTACCTGGAAAAAAAATAAATATGTGTTCTAGCAAATAAGTCAAAAATGTTGTTTTCCTTCAGAATTGGCCGGGAAAAGGTAGAGGCATTAACTCAAGAAGCACAAAGGTCCAAAGCTTACCTCCTGACTGAGCCAGTCGTTACCATAAACTTTGTAGAATATCTGCAGTATCTAGAACAGATCAAAGAACGGGTATGAAATAAATAAATCCCAATTTATACAAGCAAGCATTTATTCCTGATTTAAACATTAATTTTAATAAATTCGCAGGTTGAAGAAATGGAGCAGGAATTAGAATATCTAAGGGATCTATATGATTTGCTGGAAGAATTCCATGTGCCGATATCCTCACAATCTGAAGACATGTTCTATGTATGTATAATTTAAAAACACAAAATCAATGGCTAATGAGACACATTTAATGGCATCTTTTTGAAATAGGAATATGCTGAGAAATTGAGCATGCTTAGGAATACAATTGAAGATGTTCTGTCAAAGAAAGAACTCATACTTAAAAAATTCAATGACACTATCGCAGTTGACATTAAAATTTTGATGGATGAAGTATTGGTTATAAGAAATCTTATTTGGGTATGTCTAGAATGTATGTACATATTATACATTGACATTGACATTTATAACGAATTAACCAACATTTTGATAGAAAGTTGCTCACAGATCAATTTTCCGTCAAGAAGTTTTGTTCAAACTAATTTATATTAAATGTTTATGTAAATTTTGACATTTTCCATAATTGTAGTAACTGTAAACAATCTTGAGAAATATAAAAGAGCAATAAAAAGTTACTTTTATTGTGATTTTATTGTAATTGATAATTGGGTTTAAAAAATACTTTCAGGAACCATGGCTAATAGATGAGAAATCAGAAAAGAGATATGTTGATAATGCATTAAGCTCATATTTAGAAAAACTTGAAGGAATAATGGAAAAGGCAGAAACCCTTAAAAATTACCAAAAACAATGCAAAGTAAGTCACATAGAATGAAAAAAATTTATAGCCAGTTGATAATATATTAAAATTTAAGGTTGAAATGTATCGCTTTGAGACATTAGAGGAAGTCATTAATGATTTGAATTTGAGAAAAGCTCTTTGGCAAGATAGTGCATCTTGGGAGGAAGACACTGCTAACTGGACGACTTGTCCATTTTCCGAGTTGAACCCGGACGATATTCAAAACGTTATTGCACGTTACTTTAAGAACATATACAAATATGAAAAAGGGATACCGCAAAATGACATAGTCCCCGCCCTAAAGGAAAAAGTCGAAAAGATGAGAGATAAGGTAATTTAAAAAAAAAATTCCTACCAACTTGTTTTTGAAATTAATATTCAAAATTTGTTAGCTGCCGACAATCACCACTCTGACAAATCCAGATTTGAAACAAAGGCATTGGTCTAGGATTGAACAAATACTTAATCAAAAGATTGACACAGATAAACCGATTACCCTAGAGCAGCTAGAACAACTCAATATTTACAAGTATCATGAAAAACTTACAGAAATTTCAGCTCAGGCCACCTCTGAGGCTGGACTGGAGGACTTGCTAAAGAAGGTATACTATAAATTAAATGTTAATAATAGTAACTATAATAAAAACAATTTCAGACTGAAGACATCTGGAAGACACTGGAGTTGCCTCTAACAAAATATAAAGATGCAAAGGACATTTATATTTTGGGAGGCGTTGAAGAAATACAGCTAGCATTAGATGAAACCAACATTAATCTAAGTACCATGATCAGTTCTAGGAATGTTGGCCCAATCAAGCACAAAGTCGATGACTGGATTCGAAGAGTCGACATATTCACAAAGACATTGGTAAATTTTAATATTGGTTAAATTATTTTTTAACATTATTTCATTACATTTTTGGTTTTGCTCTTCAGGATGAATGGTTGACATGCCAGAAAAACTGGCTTTATTTAGAGCCTATCTTTTCAGCACCAGATATACAAAGACAACTTCCAGCTGAAGCCAAGCAGTTTCAGACGGTTGATAAATCATGGAAAATGATCATGAGAAAAACAGCCAAGGTATCAATTAATAATCAAATAAAAGTATCAATTAATAATCAAATGTATCAAATAAAATTACTTAGAAACAAACTAATTTTTTACATATTTTTTTTAAATCGTAGAATGCACTGGCTTTCCCTGCTTGTACAACTGAAGGTACTTATGACATATTCAAGAATAATAACAAACTGCTTGAACAGATAATGAAATGTCTGGAAGCATATTTGGAATCAAAGAGGATGGTTTTTCCAAGATTTTACTTCTTGTCCAATGAAGAGCTCCTTGAAATTCTGGCTCAGGTACAATATTAAAAAAAAAAAAAAAAATACAACTTTAAAGCTACTTTTTTTTAGACAAGAAATCCTCATGCTGTTCAACCTCACCTTCGCAAGTGTTTTGATGCTATATCCAAATTGGAGTTTGGACTAAAAAATGTTGATGATTCAAGTCAAAAAGTAGACAAATCTGATGACAAAGATTTAGCTCAATTGACGAATGACATAAAAGCAATGATTTCACCAGAAGGGGAGCGAGTGGGCCTTGGAAAGGTGCTAGAAAATACATTAATCACCGAAACATGTAATAAGGAGAACTTTTACAGGGGCTTAAAGCCCGAGGAAATGTGGAAGATTGGCTTGGAAAAGTAGAAGAGTCTATGTTTTTCTCAATGTGGAGTCTGATGAAAAACTGCCTCCGGGATTTCATTATCAGACAGAGAACTGAATGGGTTTTAAACCACTCCTCTCAGGTATGTATTGAATGCAAAAATTGTTAAATGCATGTAATAAAGTAAGAAAATCATATTTTTTTAATACTACTTTTTTAAACCATACTAGCTCTCTAAAAAAGTAATAAAAATGTTAATGTTATTTTTAGCTCATCCTCACAATATCACAAGTAATGTGGGTTAGGGATGTACACTCGGCACTTACCATCGAATACAAATATCGTGAGGAGGCAGTTCACATTCTTGAGAAGAAATGTTTTGATGAGCTCAACGATTTGGCCACAATGGTCCGCGGGGAACTGACAAAATTGCAACGAAACATTCTTGGGGCTTTAATTACCCTTGATGTACACTCAAGGGATATAGTTTCCTCACTGGTGCACAACCACATCCACTCTGTGTAAATACTCAAAATAAGTTTTAGCCTAGGTACTTTTGACTTTTTAAAATACTATTTACAGATCAAATTTTGAATGGATAAAACAATTTCGATATTATTGGGAGAAGAAAATTGATAACTGTGTCGCTTGCATGGCCAGTTCAAGACATATATACAATTATGAATATCTTGGCGCATCCGGCAGACTCGTGTTGACACCTCTTACTGACAAATGTTATCTATGTCTCATGGGTGCCCTTCAGTTGGATTTAGGTAGGTTCATAGAAAATTTTCAATGATTTTTTTTTTATTGCTGCAAAATTATAGGCGGTGCACCAGCCGGGCCTGCAGGAACTGGTAAAACTGAAACGACAAAAGACTTAGCTAAAGCTTTAGCGATTCAATGCGTTGTATTCAACTGTTCAGAAGGCTTAGATTATAAAGTAAACTAAACCAAATTTGTAGAATAAAAATAAGAAATACAAATATAACACATAATTTCTAGATGATGGGCCGATTTTTCTCTGGACTAGCCCAGTGTGGATCTTGGTGTTGTTTTGACGAATTCAATAGAATAGATATTGAAGTTTTATCTGTTATAGCGCAACAGTTAATAACAATTCGAAATGCCAAGTTGGCAAAGCTGAAAAAGTAAGAATGCCATAAGTGATCTAGTATTTAAATTTTAATTTTTTGTGTGTTTCAGGTTTATGTTCGAAAGAAGAGAAATTAAACTACAACCACAATGTGCTACTTTTATCACAATGAACCCTGGTTATGCAGGAAGAACAGAGCTTCCTGACAACTTAAAATCAGTTTTTCGACCTTTCGCTATGATGGTTCCTGATTATACTCTCATAGCTGAGGTGATATTGTATTCAGAAGGATTTGAGTCGTCAAAAAATCTTGCACAAAAGATGGTCAACATGTATAAGCTATGCAGTGAACAACTTTCACAGCAAGATCATTACGACTTTGGAATGAGGTATTTTACCCTCTTTTAGTATATTTCTAAAATTACCTTTGTTCTGCTTTGGCCAAATTTTTTTTCTTCTCTTGATAAAAATTTAAAAAAAAATTTGAAAATGAATTTTGAATTTAACTTTCCAACTGGGATTACTGACAACTGACATGTGTTTAAAAAAAAAGAAAAATAAAAGAATGTATACTTTTGTTCTCCTAGAATAATCATAAAATAAAAATTTAATAACCAACAAATTATTTAGTAATCACTTTAGTAGGCCTTGGCAATTCATTGCATTTATAAAATGACTTTAAAATCGTGAAATGTTGCATATCACCATACCTAATACTTAATATTTGTAATGAATGGACTGTTTAAGTGAGATATACAGTAACCGTTTACAATATTCATATTATTTATACATATTGCTAAAAAAAATTACTTTTTCAAATAAATTGTTAATTAAACAAAACTAAAATTTTTTTTTAAACAATGGTAACAAACAATGGTTAATTATGACTAAAAGTTCAAATGTTTATATTATAAGAAAATATTTACCAAAATGAACTATTTTGATAATTTAGAATTAATATTATACATATATCAATTTATTATTCTTTTTGTCTAAGGTCTTGGTTGAGATGACAATGTTAGTATCACAAGTGGGATTCGAACTTGAACATTGTGGGTTCAAATCCTGCTCAAACTTAATTGCTTCCTCCCAACCCCTTATTATCTTATCCTTATCCAGGGTTTAAATGGACTTCTACTTAAGAGTGAGGTGACAATGAGTATTCAGATATCAGACCAATACAAATGGCATACTACAAGGTTCAACAAATATTCTAGGTCCCATCGTGTACACCAATTATACTGATTACTTTCTGTATACATCCCAATACATATCATCTATATGGATGACCCTGCCAATTCTGTATTCTAACCCGAATCCTATCAAAGCAACCTGAAACACTCAAAACACCTTGAGTTTATCAAAGACTGGTGGAAAAATGTACGCAGTGTGCATTTACATTGAAAAATCTGTCATGCTCTCCACTTTACATCAACAAGGATCTTCCTACTTCCACTAAAGTCAGATACTTAGGACTAAACCTAGACAACAGAATGATGTAGAATCCCCAATCAAGACTTAAAGAGACAATTTGACAGAATACTTGGCCAACCACAAAGACTTTTAGACTGAAATAAGTTTTTAAATTGTCTAAAAACTTTGGACATACAGAGTGGAACTGTGGGGGTCCACTAACCTATCCAATATCCAATGTATTCTTACCTTACTACACCACTAAACTTTATCAATTTTTTAAAAAGATGGTTCCTACTCACATTAAGTAGTACAATGTAAAATTAAGTACAACTTAATGTGAGTAGGAACCATCTTTTTAAAAAAAGGATTGAACTCCACACTTACTCCATCATTCGTAATTTCTACTGAACTTTATATCCAATTACACGAACATTCTTTTTGTCAATGAACTGATCCATCCCACTTCCAAAAGTGATCTCAAGATGATGGTCTTGAGACCTCTCAACCCAGTGCCAGCAATGGGCATCTCTAACCTCTGACCATTTAACCAGTGTCTTCTGGGTGCAAAGCTGGCCATAGTGTTAGTGTTGTGACTAGGAGGAAAAAACAGTATATGCATGTATTTGTAATATATACAGCTACAAATAATTTTTTTATATAATAATAAATAATTTTTTGTATCATACATTATTTTTAATTGCATTTTACTACAAAATTGCTACAAGCTATAATAATTTTTTAATAATTAATTTTTTAGAGCTGTTAAGAGTGTGTTAACAATGGCAGGAAGCCTTAAACGTGATGAGCCTTATTACGCTGAAGATGTTGTGCTCATTAGAGCGTTAAGAGACTCTAACTTACCAAAGTTTATAGCAGAGGATGCAGTCTTATTCCAGGTTAATCTAAACCTCAGAAATATTCATTGATCAGTGTTTGAATCAGTATTTAAAATTTACTTTTTCTGTAGGGAATTTTGCATGATCTGTTCCCAGGGATTGACATTCCTACACCAGATCTTGGTGTTTTTTCCACACACATGGAGTCTGTTGTCTTTAGCATGAATCTCGAACCCGAATTCATCACATTCCTGAAGACAATTCAGTTGTATGAAACCATACTTGTTAGACATGGAGTTATGACAGTTGGGCCAACTGGTGGTGGAAAGACAACTATCTTAAATGTAATTTGCCATTAAAGTCCACAATTAAATATTATATTTTAATATTGTGAAAAATTTAGGTTTTAAAAGGAACCTTGACAAGATTATATCAACAAGAGGCTGTAGGCCCAAATTACAGGCCTGTCACGATGTACACATTGAATCCCAAATCAATAACGATGGGAGAACTTTTTGGAGAAATCAACCATATCACATTAGAATGGAGAGATGGACTACTTGGGTTTTTTGTCAGAACTGCTGTGAACGTAAGTTGAATTTTGTAAAGTCCCAGAACTTTTTATTTTATAACTTTTTACATTCTCTAGTGTATGGAAGAGAGGCATCAATGGATTGTTTGTGATGGTCCAGTAGATGCAGTTTGGGTTGAGAACCTGAATACAGTGCTTGATGACAATAAAATGCTTTGTCTTTCTAACTCTGAACGAATTAAATTAACACCATGGGTAATAAAGTCAAACATCCTATAAATAGTAAACTAATGCCACTTGGTCCAATAGGTCAGAATGCTTTTTGAGGTGCAAGATCTTGCTCAAGCATCCCCAGCTACTGTTTCTCGTTGTGGTATGGTTTACATAGACCCAGAAGACCTCAAATACCTTCCTTATGTGAAATCCTGGGCCAAGACTACACAATTTGAAGGCACCTTCCCTGACCAAATGAGAGACCTACTTTTACAACTTTTTGTAGAGTGGGTTCCTAAAGGGTTGGCTTTTATTAAAAAAAATACCACTTATGTGTTTTATCAAGTAAGTGGAATAAATTACAAATAGATCATAAATTATACCTATTTTTAATTATTTTGATTCTTTTAGCCTGATATAAGTAAAATGGGCACTTTCTGTGCAATATTGAAATCATTGTTAAAAACAAAAATCCTGGTTGAAAAGTATTTAGATTGGGATTCAGTCAAAAAAGCCATTCACCAGTGCTTTGTGTTAGGGTACCTCTGGTCACTTGGCGGCAACTTGGATGAAAATTCGAGAGAGATATTTGAATCATTTATAAGGGGACTTTTTGAAGACGTTGGTGATTTTAGACTACCGCCTGGGTTAGATTACTGGACAGTTTTTTATGATTTTGAAAACAAAAAACTAGAACAATGGCAGACTCTAGTCATGCCATTTATTTATGCGAGTGACACTCCTTTCTTTCAAATGACAGTGCCGACACTCGACACTGTAAGATTTGGCATTATCATAAAGAATTTACTTGAAGAAAATTACCCGGTTCTTCTTACTGGAGGAACTGGTAAAAAAATTAAATTATTGAAAGCATTTTAATTTTGATGACATTTTTGTTTTTGTGTAGGTGTTGGGAAATCAATTATAGCAAAAGATGTGCTGAACACTTTAGTAAGAAAAGACGTTTGGCAGACTGTTGTCATAAATTTTTCAGCACAAAGTTCTTCATCTAGAACGCAAGAAATGATAGAGAGCAAATTAGAAAAGAAACGAAGGAATGTTTTAGGAGCACCAATTGGCAAAAGGGTGATTGTTTTTGTAGATGATGTCAATATGCCTAAAGTTGAGCAGTACGGCGCCCAACCTCCGATTGAACTTTTGAGGTATCCTAAGATTACTCATCTTCTAATTTCATTATTTACCATTTTTTGTTTTTACAGGCAATTTTTAGATTTTAAAGGCATGTATGACAGGGAAAAACTGTACTGGAAAGAGATAACAGATGTAGTTTTGTGCACTGCTTGTGCACCACCCGGTGGGGGAAGAAATCCTTTGACTCCTCGTTTTGTTAGACACTTTGCTATGTTCCTGATTCCTTCACCCTCTGAGATGAATTTGAGATTGATATTCAAGGTGTGACATTAATATTCATTACTTACAGTTTTAACAACTAAACTACTGACTTTTTGATTGGTTTAGTCGATCCTAAAAGGATTTTTAGATGATTTTTCAAATGACATACAAGCACTGACAGAAATCTTGGTTCTCGCTTCTATAAACATATACCAGACCATATCAGAAGATCTTCTCCCCACACCAGCCAAATCGCATTATGTCTTTAATCTTAGAGATTTGAGTAAATTGATCCAAGGGATATTACAAGCCAATCCTTATACAATGAGAGATCCAAAAGAAATGATGAGGTTTGATATTAACATTTAAACAATATTGAATGTTACTCCAACTTGCAATTTGGTTTTATAGGCTCTTCTTCCATGAGAGTTTAAGGGTCTTTCATGACCGTTTAATCGATGTAGATGACAGAAGCTATTTCTACAGGCTTGTAAGGGACACATGTTCAAAATTTTTTGGCCAAGATGTTCTTTCTCTTCCGGAAGAAGGCCCCATTGTAAATCCTCCAGTTCTCCTGTTTGCCGATTTTCAGAAACCATTGGCAAAAGAGGATAGAATCTATGAAGAAGTTACTAATATCTCAAAGCTTAAATCTGCCCTAGAGGTTTGTCCATTTCAACCAGTTCTGATTGATTTTTTTCCTAATATCCATGATTGTAGGATTATTTAGTCGATTACAATTTGGTGAAAGGTAAAGACATGAATTTGATCTTCTTCATGGATGCCGTTCAGCACATATGTCGGCTAGCTAGAATATTGAGAGTCGAAAGAGGCAACGCACTTCTTGTGGGTGTTGGCGGCATGGGAAAACAATCCCTCACAAACCTAGCAGCCCATGTGAACCTATGCGCGTAAGCACAAAAGTAAAACGTAATATGAAATGATTAAATCAATTAAAAATCCTATAGATGCTTTCAAATACAAATTTCAAGAAACTATGATTTCAATTCATTTCGAGGAGATCTTAGATTGCTGTACTTCAAAGCAGGCGCGGAAAATGTGGAAACTGTGTTCTTATTTACTGACTCTCAAATACAACAAGAAGAATATTTGGAAGATATAAATAATATTTTAAACACAGGTTTGCCTTCTTATTAATCAGTTAATCATGAGGAAAACACAATCATACAGAGTCAAATTTGAAATATTAAAAATATTCAACATGTCATATATGCAAAATGTATTTGTAAACAAACTAATATCTTCAATTTTAATTAAACATTTAGGAGAAATTTCTAACCTATTCGAAGGAGATGACTATGAAAGGGTTATGGTATCATGCCGTGCAGCTGCCAAAGCGTCTGGAGTAAACGACAGCAACCGTGATGCCATTTACGACTATTTCATTTCCCAAGTAAGAAGGAAACTACATCTTGTTATATGTATGAGCCCAATTGGAGAAGCCTTTCGGTAATCAAACAATTGACTTGTCTAAAGATGAAAATCTCATTAATCCTTTTTTGGATTTTAGACAAAGGTGCAGAATGTTTCCATCATTGGTCAATTGCTGCACAATAGACTGGTACACCAACTGGCCTGAAGAAGCTCTTATATCAGTCGCACAAAACAGCTTAGCGACACTTCTACCAAAAGAGTATATCGATAAAGCTGCTTCTGCATTCTATACAATGCATACTGTAAATTATAACAATTATTTCTTTCAAAACAGAATTTCTTAATTTTTATTTTTTAGTCTGTTGAAGAGATGAATGTACGATATTTTAAAGAAAAAAGGAGGCATTATTATGTGACACCAAGCAGTTATTTAGATTTACTTAAACTATACGATGTACTGCTTAAAAACAAAAGAGACCAATTGCAAGGAACAAGAAATAAAATTGCAAATGGGTTGAAGGTAATTTCACAACATTAGAATGAAAGAGCTTCTTCTAACTAATGTTTTTTTCAGAAAATCTTTGAGACAAATGATCTCGTAGCGATTATGCAAGAACAATTGATCAAAATGGAACCTCAATTACAAGAAAAGTCAGAAGCAACTGCAGAATTGATGAGTTCTTTGATAAAGGAAAAGTCGGCTGCAGATGAAGTCCGACAAGTCGTACTAAACGAGGAAGCTATAGTCAAGGTAATAATTTATTGACCTAATTTTATACAAATTATCAAATAGTTCTGTAATATAGTTTTTATGATGTTAATAGAAAAATAAAAATAGTATTGTGTCTTTAGGCTAAAGCTGTAGTATGCCAGAATTTGTCTGATGATGCACAACGGGATTTAGACCTTGTTCTGCCTGCACTAGATGCTGCAACAAAAGCACTTGATTCATTGAACAAAAGTGAAATTAATGAAGTTCGAGTCTTCATAAGTCCTCCTAGCTTGGTGAAGTTTGTGATGGAAGCAGTCTGCCTTCTCTTAGGCCAAAAGTGTGTTGCAAACTTTACTTTAAAAAAAATAAATTTAAAATCTTCCTTTTACAGACAAGATTGGGCCACTGCCAAAATGGTCCTTGGTGATGGTAACTTCTTGAAAAAATTGAAAGAGTATGACAAGGACAATGTATCTGATGCTCTGCTGAAAAAACTAAAACCTTTTATTGACAATGACGAGTTCAACCCTGATGCAGTTGGAACCCAGTCATTTGCTTGTAGATCCTTGTGCATGTGGGTCAAAGCAGTAGACACTTACGCCCGCGTGTTCAGAGTAGTAGAGCCAAAGCGTCAAAAGTGAGTAATCCAAGTTAAAATTAAACTCTAGATTTAGATAATAACAATGTTTAATCAAAGGGTGCAAGAAGCAGAAAAAGAATTGAACCAAATAATGGGTATCCTTCGAGCAAAGCAACAAAATCTTGCAGATGTCGAGCAGCAGATTGCAGCTTTAGAAGCCAAGTATGATGCAAGTGTTCAAGATAAAGCAAACTTAGAAGCTGCAATGGATCTATGTTCTGCTCGGTTAAACAGAGCCGGACGTTTAACCTCTGCCCTTGTTGATGAACAAATACGCTGGGAACAACTAGTTGAAGTAAGCTAAAAAAATATTTTCATCCTTTTAAAAACTAACAACAATGCTATTTCAGGCATTTAAAGATGAAATCATGAATACAATAGGTGATGTGTTAATTGCATCAGGATGTGTGGCTTATCTTGGTCCTTTTACTGTAAACTACAGAGAAGAGTTGATAAGTCAATGGCATAAACTTATAATTAAGTTAGCTATTCCTCTTTCTCCTATGTTCAGGTTTGACAAAAAATAAGTTAATTTTTTTGTTCAAACTTTTTATTATTAATTTTTTATTAGTTTGATTACTGTGTTGGCCGACCCATATGAGGTGAGGTTTTGGAACTCGTGTGGTCTCCCTGGAGATACCGTTTCTATCGAAAGTGCAATATTTGTGACTAACACCATTCGCTGGCCTTTGATGATTGATCCTCAAGAGCAAGTAGGAAGTTTTTAAGTATTTAATTATTTTATGAATACTAATATTAATTTCACAGGCAAATCAATGGATCAGAACCATGGAAGCTGAGAACAACATAAAAATGGTCAAGCTAACTGATCATGGATTCATGAAAACTCTCGTAAATGCAATAAGGGCAGGCCTGCCGGTTCTGATCTGGGAGGTTGGTGAAACTTTAGATCCAAGTTTATCACCTATACTCCAAAAACGAACGTACATGCAGGTAAATTTTTCAAATGGAAGTTACCAGTACCAACAGATTGACTTTTAGGCCACAAATTATTGAGTATTATCTGTCTCTTCACAGAGTGGCAGAATGCTTATGAAAATAGGTGACACAGAAGTGGAGTATGACAACAAATTCAGGCTTTATATAACAACTAAGCTCCCTAACCCTCATTACTTGCCAGATATTTGTATTCAAGTGGCTATCGTTAATTTCACTGTTACACCTAATGGTTTAGAAGAGCAATTACTTGTGTAAGTATAATGTTTTCTAAATGTTTAAATATATTACCTAATTTATTTATTTAACTCAGGGATGTGGTTCGTCTTGAAAAGCCTGACTTAGAGGCTCAAAGAACAGAACTTATTATCAATATAAATAAAGACAAAACACAGTTGAAAGCTTTAGAAGATAAAATTCTTAAAATGCTTTACACATCTCAAGGAAATATTCTAGACGATGAAGAACTCATAGAAACGTTGAACATAAGCAAAGTATAACTATATTATGATTATTTAATAGTGGACATTTTCCAAATTTGGTTAATTTTAGGAAACATCTGCCATAATAGCGTCCAGGTTAGCTGAATCGGAAGACACTGAGATACAAATCTCTGCTGCGAGAAATGTTTATAAGACTGTTGCAGCTAGAGGGTCATGTCTTTACTTTGTAATAGCACAGTTGTCTGAAATTGACCCAATGTATCAGTTTTCACTGAAATATTTTAACCGAGTAAGTGCCATTTAAATATTTGTGGATTATTGCAGTGAGGACTGAGAGGTAATGTAACGTGTTGGCCTCCAATCATGCACTACCTAGACTTGCTATTAATTTCAAAATTATTCTTTTACATGATTTTTGCAGATTTTCAACCAATGTATTACCAATGAGCCACATGAAGACAAGTTCAGCAAAAAACTTGAAAACTTAATCAACTCATTAACTATCGCTGTTTACAATAATGTTTCACATGGTCTGTTTGAGAAAGATAAACTCATATTCAGCTTTTTGCTTTGTACAAGCATCCACCGTCAACTGGGAGAAATCAACGAAGCTGACTGGGAGTTTTTTGTTAGGGGGCCTGTTTCCATGGCACAGGTGAGTTTAAAATTATAATTTTTTTTGTATTTTCTAAAACAAATTGGTATTGCTTTGGGTTTTAGAAAGCTCCACCCAAGCCTCCTTTGGCAAATCTCACCGAGACAATTTGGAACAGCTGCTTTTTCTTGGATAAATATCATCATTCATTCAAAGGTCTTCTTACAAATCTTCATAATGTTATAAAGATATCACTTGGCGATCTTAAAGTGGTAAGTTTTTTATTTACATTTTAATTGTATAATAATAATAATATTCACATTTTAATTATTTTTTTAGATATTCCATTTTCCATCTCGTGCGAAAACTGCTAATATAGCACATCTGAATTTTGAAAAGGATCTAACTTTATTTGAAAAGCTTATGCTTATTAAAGGTTTAAAAGAAGAAAAGGTAAACTGAGTTTTATCTTCAATAATTGTAACGTAAAGATAACATTTTATGATTTTTTTTTTATATTTTACAATTATTTTTCAGACTGTATTTGCAATCACAGAATATATTAAGATAAGTTTAGGAAAACAGTTTGTCGAGAGCCCATTGGTTTCACTTCATTCACTGTGAGTGTGAAAAAGTTTTGATCAATTTAAAATATTAATACTGAAAATGTTAGGTTCAAAGAAACTTCTAATTTGACTCCTTTGGTTTTTGTCCTGAGCACTGGGTGTGATCCAGTTGGTTCATTTTTGAGGTTTGCTGTTGAAATGGGCTACAAGGATAGAGCACATTGCATTTCTTTGGGACAGGGGCAAGGACCAATAGCGCAGAAAATGATAGAAAAGGGAAGGACAAAAGGGGATTGGGTGTTTTTACAAGTAAAAATAAAGGAATATAATAATATCTAGGTAAAGAGAATTTCTTAAAATGTTATATTTTTTACAGAATTGTCATTTAGCTTCTTCCTGGATGCCTCAGCTTGAATTCATACTTTTGAACATTGCTGATTGTGTACCCGAGCTGCATAAGGACTTCAGAATGTTTTTGAGCTCGATGCCTTCTAAATTCTTCCCTGTGTCAATATTACAAAATGCAGTCAAAGTAACTAATGAACCTCCTAAGGGAATCAGAGCAAACTTAAAGAGGGCTTTTGCTGAAATTGACCCGAATTTCTTCCGAGACCACCGTAAGTCAATTTTTATTTTATTTTAAAGGGCAAATAAACAGAATGTATTTATAGCGATCGGTTCACGATGGCGTAAGATGATATTTGGCCTGTGCTTTTTCCATGCGATTGTGCTCGAGCGGAAAAAGTTCGGCCCACTCGGGTGGAACATCTTGTATGAGTTCAGTGAGAGTGACAGGGAATGTGCCCTACTAAATTTGGACCTTTATTGCCAAAAGGGAAGATTTGGCATTCCCTGGGAAGCTTTGCAATACATTACAGGTCTGAACTTGTATATTTTAATTTTTTTTTTAAATAAGTTTATGGTTGTTTTATTCCAGGTGAAATCACATATGGTGGTAGGGTCACTGATATCTGGGACCAGAGGACATTAAAAACAATACTAAAAGGGTTTTTCTCCCCATCTTCACTTATGGATGGTAACTCGTAGTAGCAAAAATATGGTCATTCATTTTAAAATTATTCATGTTTCAGGCTACAAATATTCTCCATCAGGAATCTATTTCTGTCCAGAGAGTGATATCTGCAATAATCTGGAGAGTTACAGATATTTCATAGAAAACATGCCCCTTCTCGAAGAGCCTGAAATTTTTGGAATGCATGAAAATGCTAATCTTACATTCCAGGTATTTCTAAACAATATATACTTTATCTGTATATTTCATTTCTACACTTTTAGAGCAAAGAGACGGCATACATTCTGATTACCATTATGGAAATCCAACCTAAAGAGTCGAGCATAAAAGAGGGTAAATCAAGTGATGAAATTGTATCAGATCTGTCAGAATTTATCAAATCGAGCATCGATACAAAAATCATGGATGATGAAGTTTATCCATTACACGTTAAGGTAAAGAACATGCCAATTATATCAAATGAAAATTATTTCATTTTCATAATTTTTAAACTAACAGCAAGACGAGACTGGAAGAGTGCCTCCATTGTCTACAGTCCTGTTCCAAGAAATTGACAGATTTAATAAGCTTCTGAAGATTATACATAGATCATTAAACGACCTATTGAAAGCAATCAAAGGATTTGTTGTTATGTCTGATGCATTAGAAGAAATTTACAAATCATTTTTAAATAATACAGTGAGTAAAGGAGATTAGTTTTTAATAAAGGAAAATATTAAAAATTATTTGTAAAGGTACCAAAGCTATGGAACAGAAGTGCTTATCCTTCCCTTAAACCACTCGGAAGCTGGACGCATGATCTACAGTTAAGACTAGACTTCATAAATGTATGTAACTTTTCATGTACAAAATTTATAATAGATTTTATTTGCCTAAGAACAAGTAGTTAGAAGAGTGTAAACAAATTTAATCATACATAAAAAATTTATAATTTGTCTATCTTCATTGTACTGTCATTTTTCCAATTTGTTTTGGTTGCTACCAGTATTAAATAAACCTAATAAACTATTTATAAATTTAATTAGAGGACAAAGCCATTTTACATGTACAAGGTACAACAAGAGTATTCAAAAACACTGGCACCCTGATGTATGACTTCAGGGGGAGGGGAACTCACAAGAATAGCATATTGAGGAAAAAAGGACTGCGGAGAGTCAGTGACTTAAAACCTAAAAACAAATGCTCCAATAGCTTCATTTCACTTAAAAGAGAGAGAGATTTTGAGGTCTGAGGTTTATGAGCCTGTAACGTGATGTCACTGATCATTTTGGTCTATCTGACTTTGCTATTTTGGTAGTGGACTTTTTTTTAATCTAGAGCTCCTCGTTGAGCTTGAGGTTTTTTACCAGACTCCAAAACTTTTTCAAGGGCTCTTGTGTGTATTCTTCAGACCCTGACATTTTGTCTCCTAGGATTAGGAATCTCAGTTTAAATAGGCATTCACACCAACAGAGGTCATGTTATGCTGTTTCTTCTTTTTCTTGACATGCTTGTTTCTGCCATGTATGCCTCCGGAGAATGCAGTCAGCAGTCCTATCATGCCCTAGATTTAGTAGTTCTTGCCCTGTGATAAACTTTTTTGCATGCCTCTGTCCTGGGCTACATTCCCATTGAACAGAGAACTTATTTGTAATCCATTGTCTGATCGATCCACATTTTTTGGCAGTTCAGTTTGCCACAAACGAGCCAATAGATGTCTTCAACGAGCTTTCCTTGCCAATTCGTTGCCACTCTGCCCTTGATGGCATCCAGACAAGGGTAATTTTGTTATTTTCCCCAATGTCTGACAGGGCTCTGATGCAGTCTCAAATGATTCTGGACTTTTATGCAGCAATTGGCTTCAGTGCCACCTGGCTGTCTGAGTTGATGGCTATTCTTCTAATGATAGTACCCAGTATTTTAATATCCTGGCATAGTGTTCAATAGACACAGTTTCCGCTTGAAAGACAGTGGCATATTGTCCAAGGCTTATATGATTTCTAGACATTGTTCTCTTTCTATAAATGCCAGCTCCTAACCCATTTTCTGTTTTGGAGCCATCTGTAAACCAGATATGGTCGGCATTAACCAGGATTGCTTTCTCCCAGCATGCTCTACAAGGAATTTTGATTAGATTTTTTTTTTTTTTTTTGTCAAAACTGAATTTAGGGGTCATGGCATCAACAGGCATCCCCAGAGTTCTGTCTAGCTGAAGCTCCCCTCAAAGCTTTTTAGTTGCTCCTTGTTATGGGAGTAGGCTATTGGAGCCTGTCCCTGTATTATCCTATGAATTGTGGCTCTGGCCCCTCCCTGGATAAAGATATGTTGCAGGTGTTAGATGTAGCAATATAGGTGTTAGATACAGAAATACTTTCGGGAAACCGTGAGGTTTCATTGCCCCAGTGAAGCTCAGACCCTACAATTTCTGAGCAGTACTGAGGATCTTGATCACCCCTAGCTGCAATGTCTTTTTCCAGGGCCATTAAAATGGAGTCCTGGAGGGCTATCCAGCTTATCTGGGGTCCTTTTAACCATCGGGTTACAGCAAAAATTCTCACAATTAACTTGACAAATCTACATTATCTTGTCCCTGGATGAAGAAGAAATATAGAAAAGAAATGATTAAATTTGTAAGAGAAATTTAATCATCAAAACATCCATTAAATTGAAATGTAGTAAATGATAAATTCTCATAGATTAGTAGAGATTAATGATCAAGAGATCAGTTGGCCTCATTTTGGATCCACCACTGAAGGTGGAGAAAGGCTGAAATATGTTTGACAGGCCAATCCAGCGAGAACAGACATACCAAAATCATTGTTAATGACCTAATTACTGTTTATCATTTCATAGACCACACAGAAATTATTACAATAAAAAAAATATTGGCTGTTATTTCAATATCTATTATGTAATGTAAATGGCATGTGCATAAGCAAAAATAAGTTTTAAAAGGTTAATTATTTGTAATTATTGTGTAATTTATTTTTTATTTTGTCAATTGATTAATAAAATTACAAATTTGAATGTTTTCCAGTTTTGGAAAAGAAGTGGATCACCATCATCTTTCTGGCTCCCTGGCTTGTTCTTTCCACAAGGGTTTATGACTGGAGTTTTACAGACCTCAGCAAGAAAAAATAGCTTTCCCATCGATCGCTTAAAAATAGATTTCTATGTACAGAAGGCACTCATTGATCAAGAAGATGTCCGAAGATTCCATTTAAAATATAACAAAGATGTAATATCATAAGCGATGTGTATTAATAGCCAATTAATTCTGTGTATTTCTGTTAACAATAGGTTATTGAGACATACAAAGGTTTGAAACCACCATCAGATGGAGTTTTCATTCACGGATTGTTCCTTGATGCTGCAAGGTTTGACATTAGCAAAATGCTTCTAACTGATCCAAACCCAGGTAAATGTGTAATTAATATATGAAAGAAACAAAATTGACTAAAATGTAATCAGGAGAGATAAACCCAAAACTGCCTGTGCTTGCGCTAAAGCCGGTAAAACATGGTGTACAGCCTGCTAACCGCTATGAAGCTCCGCTGTACAAAACGTCAATCCGAGCCGGTGTCCTTTCAACCACAGGGCACAGTACTAACTTTGTCATAGCTGTTTTACTTCCTACTGACAAACCTCAAAGCTACTGGATCCTCAAAGGTACTGCTTTGCTCACACAAATAAGTGAATAACTGTGTTAAAGTGCTGAAAAATAAATACAACTTTTTCAAAAGGCCTTTGTTTGTTTTGTTCCTTTTTACGTTACTTAATAAGAATGGTCATTTCTTAATGGACAAAATAAATTTAGGGCCTCTCAAGGGATTGCCCTAGCAAATGAATTGACTTTACATTTAATATATTTTATGAATTAAACTGGGGTACGAATGGATACTCTGTGTCTCTAATAGCCTCTAATACTCAACTCCGTCTTTCCACCTTCAAAAAGCGAGTATACCCTGTTAATCAAACAGACAGAAAAGAGGGATGCTGAGGAACAGGAGCTGGACGTTCACCACCTAAACCCTACAACACACCTTACTCCTCCTCCTATCCTAATCCCAATATTAATCTCATAATCAAGCCTTAATCTAAGGTGTTATGTGACCTGTTATGGATGGATGGTACAGGGGAAACTAAACCCCCTTGAGTAATCAACCTTATACTGGAGATCGGATTCCTCTGGTGCGGACCTTTAGATCCCTCATACTCGTGGGAATCATATGGATAGACCAAAAGAAAAGAAAAAAAAACACCAGAGGAACCTGCAAAGGAAGACCTCAAAAACCATCAATCTCCTTGCATCACCTTCTGCAGATGTGATGGAATATAGGATCAGGAAGACCAAACCACTCAAATGGAGGAGACGGAGAAGATGAAAAAGCTACAATTCAAACCCAAGAAAATCTCAGGGGATCAGAGGCATAAAATGGCAGTTGAACAAGCCAAGCAAAAAGAGAAGCAAATCCTAAAAAGAATCAGAAAAGTAAAACACAACCCCAACTCCATCATCGAGGCTGACTACTGACGCCTTAATTAATCCCAAAAAACCAGTGCCAACGATAACCTAAAGTGGTAAAAGGGACAGGTCACTGGGTAGCACCTCATCATCAGTGGAAGTGTCCCAAAAAATTGAGGGAAACAATGTGGAACAAACCATCCCCAACATAGTTTGTGGGGAAAGCAACATTTCAGCAAGCCTTCAAAGCTTTAGTGAAAAAGAGTTAACAGCCAATCAGAGCAGGGCCATTCTAGTTGAAGTTTGGAGCTGCAAAAACTCCAACGGACTTCAGTTGGAGGGATAATGGGTCTTTTAAAAAGGGGCTGCTGTCCTGATAACCTGTGAGAACCAAGGAATGGCTCATAGAAACAGTACCTACTATTTACCTGTCTGAGTAGGCCCTTTTAGAGAAATTATAAAAACTTGGATCCTGCCTTCTGGGCACTATGGACATTGCCACAATTCTTGGGATGATGAAATCCCAAAACACAGGTATTAATACTGGGCCGGGAATGGAGGGTTGTTAGCCAGAGAATAGAAAGTAAATGTCTAACACTTGCGGTAGACATAAATGATGCATTCTTTAAGGCTCTAAGCAAAGCCAACTTAAAACTTTATCTTGACTTTCCAATGATAACCCTAAGGGTCATCAAAAAAGCTGTAAAGACTGATGCTTGAGGGTGCTTTAACACACAACTACAGAATACCAGTAGATTCTTCTCACCCATGGACCCAAACTCCCAAACTTATAAAAAATAATTGCGAACAATTAAAACCTTAGCTAAACTCAAGGGATATCAAGAAAAATGTGTCAATACTATTACTATTATTAAAAACAATAAAAAATCAATGCTTGTGCCCTAGAAAACCTTAAAAGAGGTTACACTGGCAAAAAATCCCAAGATCGGATAGCCAAGCAGCTATTAAAGCATTATCATGTAAAAAAAAAATCACATCAAAACTAGTCAATGAATACAACCAAAATCTCCAAAACCTGTGGAAATCTGATGATATCTTTGTGAGGGCACAAAGGAATTTTGGGTACCAAAAAGCAGGCACAATGATAAGAGGGGATCTGCAAGACCATATAGGCCTAGAACCTATACATGGGATCACAAAAACAAATACAGAATCCTCCATCACAGAATAGTAACAAAAAAGAGAAGTGGATAAACTCTAGGGATGTTAGACATCATAAACTTATGCTAAAACAACCCTCACCAAGACTGGCAAACTCACTGCTGCAATTGGAGAGGCCTTTCTCAGAGGAGTGATAGGACTATTAACTGGTTGGTAGCATCTGAAAAAACATCCACATAACATGGGCATATTCAACAATGATCCCATTTGCAGGTTATGCAATGAAGAGAAAGAAACATCCATACCCTCTTTGAATGCGATGCAACCGCTTAATGGAGATAACCTGGGATACAAAGGAAACCCAGGAAAAGGAATGTAATAATGACTCCTTAAAAGAAGGATTGAATCGACAGACTGAACTAACAAACTAGGAAGTGCAATAAGTCAGAAAGCTGCATTGCTTGTAAAACATAAACCCCCACTTCATAGTCTTCTTTCATCATCCAGTATCGCAATATGCATTGCAAAGATCCAATGACTAGAAAAACACTTTGTAATCAAAGTTTCATACTTATTGAAATTGTGTATCTTTAATCTATCAACCTATGATACAAAAAAAAAAAAATAATAATAATAATAATAATATTAATAATAATAAAAATTAAAAAAATAAAATTGTACCAGTGACAGTCAACGACCTAATTGACTAATGAAGAAGGATTGAGTCGATTCGAGTTCCTGAACTAGGGAACTGGGAAGGCACAAAAAGCTAGAAGGCTGCAGTGCCTGGGGAGCACAAACTTCGCTTCCTAGTATCCTTCATCACCATCATCATCATGACTTAAATTTAACTAACACTAAAAAACACCAGAACAATTTCAAGGCCTTTGAGGTTGATTATTTTTTTTCAAATTTGATCATATCAAAAAGTGTTTTATGATCATACAAAATAGGTCCAATAAATATATTAAATTCAATTTATACAATTTAATAGACATTTTACTTATAAAAAGTAAATTTAAAAACTATTACAAAGATGGGTGGGTGAATAAATTCTACAAAATAACAATACAAATTTATAAATTACATAAATGGATTTAAGTTTTTATCATAATCGTCTATCTCTGTTTCATCATCTCCATCATAATCACCAAAAGGATTGGATGGAACCTTAAGGTCATCGTTACGCTTTGTTGTTTGCGAATCTTCTTCATCACTATAATCGCCAAACGGATTTGCGCTAATGGATGCCATTCCTTGAGGATGAGAACTTGCACTACTTGAAGTTTTTGGTTTTGGTTCGTAAACGGATTCACTTCTGTGTTCGCTCGTCTGATTATAACCTTTTACGATAAATTGTACTAACATATCTGAAAAAAGAAATGTTAAATAAATTCCTGTAGTGATAAGCCTATAACAAACACACCACCGAAAAATTTCAAAATGCCGAAATGTGACTTACAGACCAAAGCAGTGCAATTTATTATTTTTGATATTGTCTAGAAACATGAAAAATACTTACTCATTTCAGCATCCATGAAATTGTTTAGCTTTGTGAAAACCCCTCGACCTAAGTAATCAGTAACGAGAGAAAAACCATCTTCGGCATTTTCCAACTGACTGTGGAATATTTCATGGAGATCTGTGTTTTCTTCCTATTTTTCAAAATAAAACATTTATTTCAGATCAAAAACTTATGAGTTAATATTGACAACCTGAGATTTAATCGCTTTCACTGTTTGCTTGTTTCGTTCTAAGCAAGCCGGGCATTCATTTTCGTGTTCAGCAAAACTTTCAATGCAGCTTAAAAAAAAAAAAAAGAAAAAAGAGGCATGATATGATTATAGAATAATTACAAGCTGGTGAAATCTGTCTTTCTATTCTAATTAAATTTTTCTCTCTCCAATTTATGGATTTTTAAAGAAATAATTACTCATATGAATGAATCCATGAAAGATTATGTGGATTTGGAAAAATAAGATAATTACTGTTGGTGAAAAGAATGTTGACATAGAAAGTGGACAGTTGGCAGCTCCAGCTGTTTATTGCAGATCCCACACCGAGAAGCTTGAAAAACGGCCGGCCTAAAATTTCTAATTTAATTAACTTGTTCAATAATTAGATTAAATTAGACATACATTGTCTTGTAGGATTCGATCATCTTTTCAATCTCTCCAATTTCTTTACGGAACTTCTCAACATCTTGTTGCTGCTTGGTCAGTGTTGATATTTCATTATCGAGTATTTTTTTAAAATAATCCCTAACATTTTTTAATTGTATGTTTTGTGTGTGGCTAAGAGCATCGATTACCAAGAGTGTTGATAATAAATTTCCTCTTTCTTAAATAAACATATGAAGTTTTAATATATATTAAAAAAATTAAAGACTAAATATATTTAAATGTACCAATAGCATTTAAAATAGTTGAAAGAATTCCTTGCGGTAAATTTTCATGTGTTGTAACTGACCATAACGCTTGAACCCAAAGATTTGGCTCTTGATGTTCAAAGCGTTTACAGAAAGCAACAAGTGAATCATAATCTTTCCCGTTCAAATGATACTTCATAATCGCTTTAAACCTACAACCAGTGTATAATTTTAAATTAAACAAAAATTGAAAAACCAAATATGACACACATTTTATTCTGTTCATAAAGATAGAGCAGCCCAGATTTGAAATCTGCAGCTTTACAAAGGACGAGGGCTTGAAGTTTCTCATTGGTGAGATCTTGCTTTTCACTGGCAAGCTCCATCGACTCGAGCAATCTCATGATCTTCCCGTCATACACGTTTCTCGAATGTCCCTTCTGGGCAGACCAGACCTCTAAATAGTGTTCCAAAAGTGTTGTGTAGATTTGGGGCGAAAGTTGTGAAGAACTCTATAAAACCACACAATAAAATTTCAAAGGGTTTGGAAAAGATCGACAAATTTATTATCATATAAATATTTATTATTTATTAATTTATTTCATTACCTGAATCAGATTTTCAAGGAATTCCACTAGCATTTCAGAGTTGTTGAGAAAATAGTGTATGAAAGATTCTGGAGAAGAATGGTTTATTTCTCTATAGAGGTAACCATTTAAAGAATTCTGCAACAATTTTCATGTTATTTTATATTTATATATTTTAAAAAAAAGCAAATTTTACATTGTCAACTAAAGGCTCATCACTAGGCTTGTAGTCAGTGCAGAGTCTTATCAAAAGTTTTGTTGTTTCCTTCGGTTCATGCTCCAGTAAAGTTATCCCATATTTCTTCATCATATTTTCTGCCTAAAAGAAAATTAATTGTTGTTTACAAACTAACTGACATTAAGGCATCATCATTATTATTATTTATTTTTTAAAGAAGTTTGAAAAATTAATTAGAAGAGGACTGCGTTAGTCAAGAAGTGTGTCAGACTCTCACAGTCGTAGGTTCGATTCCCACTGCCACCCTGGCCTTTTGATACCCCCCTCAATACATATGTATCATCAATCTGGCACTCTTAACATGACTCACAAGAATGACACATCTACACGGAAAACAAACAATTTGAGCCCTGAAGATGATCTCAATAAAGATCGAAACATTGGCATGATAAAGAAAATGTTTAGAAATGATGAATGGTGGAGTGAGTGTGGTGTTCAATCCTTTAAAAAAAAGATAGTTCCTCCTCACAGTAAGATGTTTTGCAATGATCCGGATTTCGAGCCCTTAGCATGTAGAACTCCTTCAACCTGATAATGAGCTAAGGGCTCGAAATCCGGATCATTGCAAAAAAACTTACTGTGAGTAGGAACTATCTTTTTTTTTAAAAGGATTGAACACCACACTCACTCCATCATTCATCATTTCTACATAATTGTTATTACTCATTTTGTAGATGCAAAAGATTGCGTCAATTGCCAATGAAATTTTAATAAGATTTCAATCGGAACCTACCTCTTTGCCAAATTTTTCAAACCGAACACTCCCTCTCCCAATTTCACCATGCATTTTAAAAAGACAATGTTTTTCTAAAACCTACATCACATCAGACCGCAACTCACGATCTCCATATAATTTTATCATCAATCTTGTCTCTCACACTCTGGCTAATATGGAAGACTACTAAAAGTCATTAAAAGATTTTCAAAAATGTATTAGAAAATTTATTCTCATACTTGTTGATAAAAGCAACAGTAAACTTATGATGGAATATTTTATTCATTTTACAAAATGTGCTTCTCAGCATCTCCAATGCAATCAGTTCCTAAATCCGAACTATTCACCCTCTCACTCTTAAATACATTCTTTCTTATTTACTATTCATTCGGTGGTGGAATACTCAACATTCCTCTATCACCATTTTCACATATTACATAAATAATCTGATTGATGGGGTTACTCAATATTCTGCTATCGACCCTCTCACATTACACATTCATGCTCATAAATACTGTCACTCTCAATATCCACAAACAGAAACACAAGCGAGATATCTACACAGCTCTGTTTCCTCCAAAAATCGGAAATGAAGCCCAACTCACTAATGTAACTCACTAATTTTGGGTGGCATTCCTATTTTCTCTCTAACACTGGAACCAAAGAATGACACTCTTCAAGTATGTGGGGCGCATCGAGCAGCCACATAATCCATCCATGTATCAACTGCATATGGCTTATTCTAAGTTGGGTCAGGATTATCCCTCCTCAAGTGAATAAAACTATCCTTTTCAACTACTGATCCCTCCTCTTTTATTCAGCCCCTCCGAGGGCCACCCAATGACAGAGCTCTTAATATACGAGAGCTTTTCTGCTTATCTGGCTTCTGACTTCCATTTATTTTTAATTGTTGTTTAAATGTTAATTATTGTTTTAAACGTTTTTAATTTTTCACACAATATGTTTGTTTTTTTTAATTTCAAATGAGAGTTATTTTACTTTGGTAATAAATATCTAAATGCATTATTCCTCCTTCAAAAAAAGGTGATAAAAAAGATCTTTATTAATTTAAATAGGTTTACAGCATGTGTTCAGAAATAGGAGAAAATATATTGTGAGTTGTCCCTACTCGGAACTGTCCCAATTATTAATCAAAGATACATATACCTATAATATAAAAATAGGAATAAAATAATAAAAAAGAGGAAGTAATTAAGAAACTAAAATCTTGAAAATAAAATAGACCTGTTTAATAAGGATAAAATAAAATTCGACCTTCTAGCTCCAAGCAAGTCTTGTGCACACCTGAGGCCCAAGGGCTGAGCCCCATTCGATCCTCAGGCAGGAGAGGGTATTGTAGTTGTCCCTCTCCCAATTGGTAGGCTGGCGATGACAATATATTTTAAATTGTAAAAGAATAAACGCACCTCCATAAAAGGCAGTTTAGCGATGTAGTTCAGAGCATCTTTATAATTCCTTTGATCTTCGATCTGTATCGTCAGATACCAATCATGGCGGGAGTGCTTTTCCGCTAAAAGAAGAGCATCCTCTGACGAGACATGCCGACATACATCGATAGCGACTTCCACATCAAAATCCACATCTCGATCTTTCGTCTGAACAAATAAAAACATTAAACAAATGATTACCAGTTTCTGGAACCAAAACAAGTACCATACCATTATGAATTCCTTGAGTAGTTGTGGTTTGTTGAGTTTTGTGTAGAAATTCAGGAGGAGTGTTGTGTGCCCACCATTTGCAACGCCTTCCTTATGAAGTGCTTGTAAATAAGTAGTAAGATTCTCTACTTGTTGGGAACCCATGTACTAGGGGGAAAATGTTAAATTGGTTTTACTTTTATAAAATGATTTATTCAATGTTGACCATTTACCTTTCTTATAACATATGATGGTTCTAATTTTCCTATTGTTTTAATGTACTGCTCTATAGCTCCTTTATGGTCACCTTTGCTATATAAGTAATCACCATACTGTCTGAAAATCTCCATTAAGCCATCTGAATCATATTGGTTGTATTTTGCAACCCTTAAAAATTACAACAAATATTGTATAAAATGGTTAACCAACGGGATTGGAAAAATTACTTTATCGCAACATCGTAAAGGTTCTTCTTGAATAGAAGAGTGAGTTTTGACTGTAAGTCTTTTTCAGCTATGATCGAAAGGCTGTTATCAGTTGAGAGGACATAAATAGAGCCCCATTCGACAATTACTGCCATTACATCAAACAGTTGAGAGTGGTACGCAGTTATATTGTTCAGCGTATCTAGAATGGTTATGAAATACGGAATTTGTCCGGCATCTCTGTAAATAAAATTTTTGTTTAGCTTGTTCAGGATTTTTTTTTAATACAATAAATTCAATATATGTGTATAAATAACTAACTGTTTATATGAATGTACCTAGATTGGTGTGCCTGGCCGAGTGTTAAATTGGTTTGAGAATCTTTTGAGATAATCACTAGATAACCACAAAACCACTGCAGTAGAAACTTCTCTCCATCTACTGCATAGCAAGGTCCTAGATTTCCATTCGTGTAACAAAACACTGCCTGTATACAGTAATTTATTATTTCAAAATTATATTTATTCATAAACTTTTTTTTTGTCACCGACATTGCAGAAAAAATATTTTATTAAATTTTTACCTTCTTGCGAGCAACAAAATAATGGTTTTCATCTTCATGTTCAGCAAGCACGGAGCATCTTAAAGAACAGCCAGCTTTATCATCAAGTGTGACCTAATTCAAATATTTGTATTTAATAAATTTAGGTAAAGATGTTTTCTAAATATTAAATTTTCATAATACTTACTTGTTTTTCCTTGTCTTTATGAGAGACATCAAACATCTCGGTTGAATTAACCGTAGAGGCATAAAGTAAGATGCTCTTCTTATTTTGGTACAAAGCAAGGCCTGTTAAGCTAGATGCCTGGTTTTGGCCACGCACTTGAAGAACTGTTTGTTTGATTGATCTCTCCCTCTTTACATCGCCTGAAACATTTTAAATTTAATAATCGTAGACAGAAAACTGAAACAATGTTGTATACCTCTGTACAGAAGGATGGAGCCATCATTGAAACCGACAGCCATCATTGTAACATTGTCAAATATCGTTAAGCAAGTCGGAACTACAGCATGGTTTGGAATGGATGCTTTAATAATTTTCAGACAAACAGGTACATCGTTTTTGTCGAGTTTTTCAACATGCCAAACCTTGACGAGTGGATTGATCCCTCCACCATCCTCCTATCAAAATAAAAACGACATTGCATTATTTTTGAAAGTTCAGAAATGTGTGTTGTACTTACACCTATTGTAACAAGATAGGGACAGGTTCGACTCTGCTCAGTGAGTGTCACACTAATGTTGTACACTCGGAATGTGCGTATCTCAAACGGCTTATTTACTATATGAACATTACCAGAGGAATCACCGAGTATGATGAGACCGTATCCACTGGCACATGAAGTAACTCGAGCTTTCTAAAATGAGAAAATTTTAACTCTTCTCAATAATTCTAATGACAAATACTGTAACACTTGTTTTTACCCCAACAGCTTCAGCTATTTTTCCACAGTCGGCGTTCTCCTTATAGTCAAAAAATGTGAGACGTCTCCTCTGAGAAAAGATAAAACAATCAAATAAAAATTATGGATTAAAAAAGATGACTGTGGTGACCAAGTGGTTAGGGTGTTAGACTTATATTTGCTACAATAATAGTTCAGGGTTTGAATTTTGATGTAGCTCATGGCATTTTAATTTAACAAACTATGAAAAAAAATATATTGTAAAATGGTTCTGTCCTCTCATTTATAACACCCAATGTTTTTTTCAACTCTCCTATATGACAGGAATTACTTTACTTGACTGATTTAAAAAGAAGAACTGCTAGCCTAATGCTAAGTTTATTATACAAATTTTCTAAAACGATCATTTTCATTTGTGATATATCTTCAAGGGGTCTGAGGAGTGATTCACTTGTAGCTTGGTCTTTTTTTATTGTTTTGGTCTACCTAGCCTAACTGATTTGGTCTATCCGTGTACATTGTCTACAGTCTTTCTTATTTAGTCTTTAACCCTTTTCACCTATTATATGCCTAATTGAGGGTTGATGCGGTACTCAATATTCTGCCATCGACCCTCTCACACTATACATTCACGCTTATAAATACATTCACTCAACACCACTAGGATACACAACAATATCAGCTCTACATACAGTAAAACAAGGAACAGGGGACCCACATACTCGCTGTTGTACTCAAGAACAATTCTCATATCCAATGGCATTCCTACGTGCTCTCTATATGGCGCCATGAAATTGCACCTTTCAATAATTTCCAATTTTTATGCATCGATGGTTGAGAAGAAAAACAGTTTTTTTAAAATTTTTTTTATTTTTTTTATTTATTGGCCTTATGATCTTGCATATTAGCCATAGTACGAATTCTTGTGTTCAAATTGGGGGTTATCGGGAAAAAAGGGCCAGAGGCGACGGTGGGAATCGAACCCACGACCGCGGCGTGAGAGTCTCTCATGCTAACCACTCGGCTACCGTGGTCCCGGTTAAAACAGTGTTAAAAGCAGGACTGTTTTGCGTAAAAATTGGAAATAACAAATAATAATAAACAGTTAACAATTAGTCAGGACACATCGAGCAACGTTTCTCTGCATATGGGAGCTTTGGCCCAAAAGTGTCTGTGTATGTGCCAAACTTTTATGGCCTGTCCCTAATTGCAAAAGGATGACTCTTCTTCTACAGGTCAGATCATCTAAGGACCACCTGCCACATTCTTTTAATCATCGTTTTTTTATTTCATGTGTCACCATGTGTCAGAGGGACAGATGGTGATAGTTAAGTCCAGAGGTTGGGACAAGGTTGTCCTCTTTTATAGTTACAGAAACAAATTAGTCAGTGGATTTCATTTCTCTTATTTTTTTATTATTTATACTCCATGTGGCCTAGCAGATGAACTAAATGTTCATGGTGTATGCATTAATAGCAAACAGAAATATAATTAGTATTCATTCTGTAAATAAAACAGTATTATCTACCTATTGATCTCTATTTTGACTTAATAAACTAAAATCTAGATCATAGAATAAATAAAATCAGTACACTCATTATCCACTCAAGTAAACATTTCTATCTTATAAAAAGGAACAAACAAAAATCCCAAATTCTCCAGTGAAACCAATGTTTGAAATTTGATCACAAAATTCGTACAATTCCATCATTCTAAATGATTTTCAGAAAATAAACTTTGCATCTGATTTCCCTCATAGTTTGACTGTTTTAGCCTTCATACTTCCTTGGTCTATTATGTTTATTAGCAGTATTAAGTCAGATCTCCTAAAACAGCAAGACAAGGGAAAGCAAAATTATGGAAAACAAACAAATTACATCACTTTGCAGACAAGTAGAAATAAAATTAAAACTACTAATTCGTTAGGATTAAAATGAGAACCACAGCTAGTGATGAAGTCAAGTTGTGATCTGTGAAAGTTGATGATTTCATAAGGGTATTCAAAATTAGACTGCTTACTTTAAAACGAAAGTCTAAAACATTTTAACATCTACTGCCATCCATAAATCTGACCACAACAGATACCACTAAGGAAGAAATCAATCCATTATAACAGGGTAAAATATGTAAAATAACTTCAGCTCAAAGGGACTTAGGAAAAACTCAAATCAAAACTATAAGTATTAAAAAACTTTCCTTTTGTGTTTACCAACTTGTTTTCACACTTTAAAACAAAAACGCAGTTCCTTAAAAGGCAATTTGATTATAAATACCTCTAAATAGGCCATCGTTTTGATCTATCGCCAAGTGCAAGTAAACATTAAAAAATTAATGATGGACTGTACACTGTCAGAGGAATCAAGTTTGATAACAGAATCAAGATAACAGTTCAGCATTGAAACCTCCCTGTAACGGCTATCACGGGTTGTCTCAATACTTCAATTACATCTTAATTTCAGTTACTTAAATAAAGATAAATCTGATTTTTTAACTGTTTTTTGTTTGTTCATTAATTAATTTGATCAAAATTAAAATTATTCTCCACCTTTTATTTTATAGTTAATTAAATAAATTGAATAATTGCTTATATTTTTAATTATAATTATTGTATTTTTTTAAATAAACAACTATTGCTAAATATAAATTTAACAATAATGAATTTTAAAATCTTATTGATTTAAATATTTGTAAAATAATAGATTAAATTTTAACTGAAATGTTTGGATTTGTTTAAAGTTGTGACGTTTTGTGTTGTTTGGCTTATCACACGTGGTCTTAGTGTGGCCTACGGGGAATTGATGTCTACAGTTTACAGTTACCCCTTGTAAGTTTCAGAGTTCAGAACTTCAGACTCAGTCACAGTTTTAAGCGAGAAAATTCTTCGATGGGCAAATCGTACAAGAAAAAGCTCAGGCAGGAGAGGGCCAAAGTGAAACTGAAGAAGTCTAAAGAAGCCAAGACGATACTGCCAAAAGGCCAGAATCTGACAGACACTAACTTCAAAGTGAAGAAGATAGTCATTAAAGATCAGATCAAAATCCATGACTCCAGCGAACTACTGTTCAGAAACAAATTGTCCGTTAAGGTATAGACTATATAGTTTCAAAAGTACCGTTTCTAGTGGTGGTAGAAAATGTAAGATCATTGAAACACCTGGGGTAATATTACACACACCACCAAACCTCGCCTGCTATCTATAAGATATGCCAGCACTATACTTCAGCATATTATATTGACTCATAGTCAAACAGTTCAGTAGTCTCTAGACAAAATTTAAGTAAACATAAAAAATACTATATCCACTTACAGGATGCCTGTAAGGTAATAAACCTATCACATGATCATTTTGATCTGGTACGTCCTCACTACTGGTCTTTAAGTTGCGTTTTGGCACTCTGTCGGTTTGTTATTATGTTCGTTTTCTCATTGTGAGATTTCCTCTCGAAACCAAAGGGGTGATGAACCTGCAACTGGCTCTTTTCAGATCATTCTGATCTGCTTGTGCCTGGCTTTATTTTGCTTTGTTAGACACTTTCCTATGTTTACCAACTGCATTTGTGTGCTTGCTTTATGGGTTTTTGCTATTTGGTTGCAGGAACTTCGCATATTCTCTTAATACATTACATAATTTTTTCGACCTGCAAATAATAATTTTTTACTTGTTATTATTTCTTTTTTTATATCCACCTTTTTCATTGAAATTTCAAGAGTGGATGGCTAAAATAAACTAAAATCCTGAACAATGTAATTGCAACAATAAATTGTGTTATGAGATTTCTTCTTGCGGTTCTGGAAATCCTTGTGGTGGACTTTTCAGACCTTTCAGATAGACTTTTCAGATGCATTTGATATTTCACCACATGTTTGTTTGATGTGTTTTGATATTTGATTACAGCTCCTCTTTGACCACACTATTGTATAATTTTTCTTTTGCCCACGAGATTTTTTTAATAACAATTATAATAGGAACTTGGTTGTTTACAATTGTTTTAGACTGCATGTCCTAACAGTTTTGGTCAGATGAGTTTCAGCTGCTTACCATCTTCATTACTGGGATGTCAATATGTACAATATAAATAATATGTGTGTATGATATGTGCTGTTGTAATTACTTTAATTTATTCTTGAGGCCTGCGGAGTGATTAATCAATAAATCAAATAACAGTTTGATCATTGCAGATTATTCCCGTTTGCCTACTCTTCTGTTTTAGTCTGTTAGCAATAAGACATATTTAGTAGTGAATTAGTAAAGTTTAAAGAAAGTGCACAGACCAACCACTAACATCCACCAACTTCAAGAGTCTTAATATCTTAAATAAATTATATCCTAAATATCTTAAAATAGTGTGAATATATATATATATNTCGCATAACACCTTGGATTTGGGCTGGAGAGTGGGACCAGGATAAGGTGTGGGGTGGGAAGAGGGGTAGGTGTTGGGTTTAGGATTAGGAGGTGTCAGGTCCAGCTCCTGTCCCTCCATACCCCTCTTTCCGTTTGTTAGTTAACAGGGTACACCCGCATAAGCTTCGTGAAGGTGGAAAGTCGGAGTTGGGTATTAGAGGCTATTGGAGGCGCATAGTACCCGTTCGTACCCCTATTTACTTAAGTAATTTTTTTCTTTGTTTTCTTAGCTTTGCTTTTATATTGTTATATTTTTTTATATATTGTATATTTCTTCATTTAAACAGTTTTATAAATTGGATTAATTCCATAAAATATATTATTATTATTTCCAGTCATTTTGATCTGTCAGATGGGTTTTGACTTTTTATGATTTTCAGTGGAGAATCATAAATGAAGGGTTTTAATTTATTGTAATTTGCCTTTCTCATACTGTGACCATGATTCTGTGGTTACTGAAGATGTACTGAAATGTGTCTAACAGTGTAAATTAATGAGAACCAGTGGACTAGAATAATCAGAGATGACCAGACTGAAGGTGCTGATTTCAAGGAGAAATCTCGGAACATTGAAACAAAATTAAAAAATTTAAAAATGATATATTTATGCATAGATGTATTTTTCTTTGTTTTTCCTTCTTGCAATGCTGCCTAACCACTATTGATATTGAAAAGCTGAAACAAATCTGACAGACTAAACTAGCAAAATTATTAATAATGATGACGCTTAAGACATTGCGAGTTTTCCTCATGTGGTCTATGGGGTGATGAAGTTGTACTTTTGTCATATACAAATATTTTTGCCTGTCTGCCTAAACTCGGTACTATGAACTGCTAGATATGTTTTAACCCATGACGAGAAGCCGAAACACATCTGACAGGCCTAAAAAGTGAGGATAGGTAGACCAAAAGATCAGAACCCAATAAACTTAAGAAAAAGTGTCACTTTCAGATTTAAGTTTATTTTCTCACAAAAAGTGTATGACTTCAAATGTGTTGTAATTTGTATTTTCCAGGAATTGATTTCTAGGCTAAGGCACCATAATGCGAGCATAAAAGTCGAAGCGCTTGAAGGCCTCAAACATCTAGTCACCATGATGCCTGCCGAGAAGTTTGACATGGAATTTATGGCACTGACCGAAGCGATCATGAAGCTTGTCTTGTCGGAATCGAGTGACGTTCGGAAGGGTGCGAATAAACTTCTTGGATTGGTTTTTTCCAAGTTGGGCATCAGCAATAGAATGACCGTGTACCACATGATCAACTCATACCTAATTTGTGGACTGACTCACATAGATAAAAATATACGCGAAGACTCTTTGCAATTCCTAGACACCTGTCTCAAATTCGGGTCGGAGCTGTTTGCAAACTATGCTTTTCAGGTTATATTTATCTTTCTGGATCTGGTGTCAGAAAGGTCGGAGGATTCTCGGACTCTTTTACTCAACCTCGACTCACGGAAAGGGTCCAAGGTGTGGAGAGCGAAGGTCTTACAACGAATTCTCATGCTGCTGTCAGTATTACTAAAGCATCATAAAGGTAAACATGTTTCTTTTTGCTTTTCCTCGATATCAGATTTAAAATATCAAATATTTTTCAGACTATAACAATACATGCGAAAAATTATCTATGAAAGTTCATCGGTCCATAACTGTCAAGGACATTAAGAGTAGCTGGATTCCTTTATTTACTCCAATCAACCTGCATTTTGATTCACCTCTATTAGGAAATATGCTGAATAAAAATGTTAATCAAGATGTTTCAGTTGAAGTATGTTTTTGTGTACTATATTTATGCTGTTTTGAGTCTCATTGAGTTGAATTTTTTCAGGAATTGTATGATGCAATTATCCCTGTGATCTTCCAAATGTTTGTTGAAATCTGTCCTCCCAGCAGCATCTGTAAATCTAAGAACGATTTAAGTAAGATTTTTCAATCACATTATTTTATTATAATTGTTTATTTACAAATAGTGTGCATTTAATTAGTTCTTAGTGTGATATAAGGCTATTAATTGTAATGATAGGCTTTGTTTTTTTTCTTTTTTCAACAATTTTTATATTAATAAATCATATTAAAAAAATTGCTTGAAATTAATAATTGAAGCCCATACTATAAGAGAGATTTCCCTTTTCAGCAAGTGTTTCCAATGAAGATGCAATATTTTTAAGAACAATTACACAAATATTTGACACTCTATGGACGATGTGCGAAAGGAATGATCTGTCTGGTCAACAGGTAAGTGTTTAACAAAGAACAATTTTGGTTTATTTGTAAATTTATAAAAACAATGCAGATAAATAAACAAATATATTGCACCTAGAGTAATCTGTAGTTTGGCCATTTCCAATCATTTTTGGTCTGCCAGGCGATCTACTGATAAAGATGGCTAGAAGCCGAAATAAGTCTGACAGACCAAAGCTGTCAGAAATTACCAAACTACAAAGACAGTGTAGTTATAAAAATTTAATATGAGTTTGTCTTTTCTCTGATGACGCAAAATATTAAAATAGTGTTTCAATTTAACCACCATTTATTAATATTTTTCTTTATTTGAAATTGTTAAAAAAAAGTCTACTTTCACCATGTCAGGAGTTCCACATTCGCTTCATATATAAATTAAAATATAGTATTTTGCTTTTTCTATTAAGCTATGATATTTATATAATAAATTCTTCCCACAAGCAAACAGGTTCTATTCAAAGTAAGCCACAATTGTGAAGTTATACTACGATCATGCTATTTTAAAAACTGTTCATGAAAATCAACTTGTAATTACATTATTTTTATCATTAATTAACAAATTGTTCCCTTATATTTTACTGTTACGCAGAACAAGGATCTGAAACTGAAATATGGCAGTCTCTTAGTGAAGAATTTGATAGAAGGAAGGTTCCCGTACTACATCAACATGAACCAGGCTCGAAATCCAAATTCCCAGTTCTTAGAGAATGCTGAATTATCTTGCTTTTCACAAAACCTCCTTTTGGCAAAGCATACATTTTTCTTTGGGAACTTACAACATTGGGACTTAGTGATACCTTATTTGAAAAGTATGATCACTTTCTTTGGTATCATTCTCAGATTTTTTTCAACCATTTTGTTTTTAGCACTTTTTCGAAACAATGATAAATTAACTCAGAATGATCTGGCTTCGTTTTCCACGTGTGTTGAAAACATTTGCAGGCAGAAAGACTGCAGCGAACTCAAGTTTTTCCTGTCAAAGACTGTTACTACTGCTATCCAGGGCAAGGATCCATTTTCCCCATATTGTTTCAAGATTCTTTGCTCTCTTGCTCTTGATCCAAGCTTGGTTTTTATTCATAAGTGAGTTTATAGCCTTATCAAATGAAATTTCAATTATCTAAAGTGTGATAAAAATTTACAGGGATGAAAACTTTATAACTTGGCTTGAAACACTTCCTGACAAATTGACAAAAAAGAAAGTCACCTCATTCCAGGTTGAAACTATCTGCAAGATCGCCGTTCGTAACTTTGAAGCGTTCACCCTCTCCCTTAGCGGGCTCATAGAAGTCATCTTAGGTATTTTGGTGTACAGTTGACATTTTCAGTTTAAAGTTACGAACTTTTGAAATTTTTTACAGATAATCTACAAAAGCTGGAAATTGTGGGACATCCACAAGATTCAAAACTGCATGAAAAGGTGGCCAGCCTTTTATACTGGGTGGATTGGGATGACGAGTTAGCGACCGAATTGAAACATGCTGTTGAGAAAAATTACTGGGGAGATTCAATAACAAATTACATAAAAGGATTAATTATTTTAAAGTTAGTGAAGATTGCTTTCCAAAATTTTTTGTAAACAAATTAATTTTTTTTTTTTAATTTTTAGAGAAAGAAAACTGGCTGATTATTAGGAGAGAGAATATGGCAATATTAAAATATTATTCTTGTACTGTAAATAAAATTAAATTTCGTAAAAAAAAATAGTTTGTAGATTTTACAGATTATTAGTGAAATTTTCTTAACCCTTTCTTTGGATATTCACCACGTCTAACATTTTGACCAAAGCATAAAAATAAAATAATGACATGAATTATGTGTATAAACCATAAAATACTGGTTTAAAAAAAAACTTTTGGGGTAAACTAACAGTAACTTTTAAGAGATACTTGTGGTTGCAATGGTTAAGGCATTGACACAATGATTCATCATTGAAAGGGTCCTAGGTTCAAATCTCAGCGGCACTGAATTTGTTCACATGAAATAACCTGCAATTAATATAATAATAAAAAAATTAGCTTTTTGCTTAATATTTGTAAGAGTCAAGTGGACCACGAACTTATAAGAGTATTGTTACACAGTTGGTGTTCTCTTTGAGAAACCTGAACATGAGACATCTCTTCTGAAAAAAGAAAAAACAATTCAATAAAATTTTACTGATTAAAAAGACGAATTTATAGTCTGAGAAGTTTGTTTTTAAAAATCTTTAATCTTTAGAAACATTGTTTTCCTTTGTGATATATCTTGAGCTAGTAAACACCTTAGTTATCAAGATAAACACAAAGAACAGGAATTTTTTAATGTTTTATTCAATGTAAAATTAAGCTCATAGACCCCATAGTTTTCAATATAAATGCTAATTAGAAATAATATAAAGTTAAATGTGGAAGTATATACATATACATGTACAGAAGTGCAAAGTAAATGTTATATGAAAAACATTTTATTTTTTTAAAAACAATGAAAAAAATTAACTTAAATTATACATAATAAATGAAGATTTAACGAGTCTGCACTCTTGACTGTAGAATGAAGAAAAAGACGAATTAAAAATTGTAAGATTTGAAAGTTATTGGTTGAATGCATCATTCTGTCAATGAGAGTATTTTTTATTATAGTTTTAAATGGGCATACTTTTATTATAGTTGCAAATAGCTGTTCTTATTGAATGGGAAAGAATTCATCAGGATTTTATCAGAAATCTTTTCCAAGGAATGCAAAGATATTTGATGGACATGATGTGTGCCAGAGACGAAAAAGTTGTTTATTTTTTTTCTCAATATTTTTTTTTTTTTTTATAATTAGATAAATTTTCTTTTTAAATGCCTTTTTTTTACAAGTCTATTTTTGGTATGTAAAATATGAATAAACCTAAATACATTAAAATTTAAAGATGGTGAATTAATTTTGTCCATCTATGTATAATTACTTACCTACATTTTAATTATATTTTGCATTTACTTTGTTTTTCTGGTATTAGACTTCTAATCCTGTGTTTGTAATAAATAAATATTATGTGTTATTATCTCGAAAGAAACTAACAAATAAAAACATTGAATAAACATTACTTCAAAAACTAAAATAAAATGGAATTATTGCTATATTTTAGTGGTTGGAAACAAAAATCAAATTCTTTTGGAGGGGGACGCGCGAAAAGGTAGCAGTCTGTGAGGATGTACGATTGAGGAGGCAGACTGTGATCGGCTGTATCGTGTTATTTTATCGTCCAGGAACCGGCGTCACCATTTTGTTTTCAACTTTTCCTTTTCTTTCCTCACTTCTGTGATAAAATAAAAAGTGACAGGATTTCAAAAACCCGCATCGCCGGCCCTCACCGTCGTCTCGCAGCGTAACGCCAAAGTAAGTCCTCTCTGTGAAAACAATTCGAATTTATCCGATCCACGAACTCGCCGGTCCTTGTTATCGATTGCCGGCTTTAAATTTATACTCCTCTCATTGTTTTTTTTATCTGAGATATTTAAAATCCTTGTGAGAATATTTTAATAATAAAAAGGTCAATTACGTCTCAACCGAAACTGTTTCTCATCTATAAAAAAAAAAAGGAATATAACTCAAGATATTCGTCTAAAACGGGAAACCTGAAAACTCCTGGTTATTTATAACAATTTCTCGTCAAACCCTCCTTGTTATTTGTTAAAATTATTTATTAATTCGCCCAAACCCCGAGAAATATCGAGTACTCGGTGGGTGTGGATGTGACCATACTTTTATTTTTGTGTTTATGTTAATTTATAAGAATGGATGTAATTTATTAATGTGAAAGGATGAGGTAGCTTAACCCCGTCCCTAGGAATATCGAGTACTCTGTGGCAAGTGTGTGACCACTGGAGAGTAAAAGTAAGTATTTGGACTTTCACACGGCAGGGTTGTCACTCCATGCTTCTGACCCTAGTGTCTTCACTAGGGAGTTTCCTACCCAGTTATATGTCTGGGTTGCTAGTATCCCTTGTAGCTACCCAGGAGATCGTCGCTTCCATACCAACGGGGGTTAGGCTTTGATGGGGGCTATTGACAGCTAGGTCATTTCAATCCCAAACCCATACAAACTATAATCTAGCCTAAAAGGATGTTTAGATCTGACGCTTGTATCCAGAAATATATGTCAAGTGCTTCAACTGTTGACATTGATAGAAATTATCAAAAATTTATGTAGTATGATAGTTCTCAATACTTTATATATATATATATATATACGGAGTGTCCCAGTTCCTTCTGACGAAACTCAGGAAATCGATTCTACTCTTCGTTTGGAGCAAAAAATGCCCAGGAGAAAATTATCAGAAAGTTCTCTATTTTTAAGATATTCGTCAATTAGGTTTTTTCAACTTTTCACTACCTTACCACAAAAAAACGCTTACAACTTCCAAAATGTTGAGACTACAACAAATCCAATTACACCATTTAAATTTTGTAATTTTGACATGTTCCAACTGATATTGGCTAACATTTTATGTCATTCAGATTATTGCAAAAAGAAGTATCTTACAGTAAATTTAGTGTTCTTTCAAATGGTGTAATTGGATTTGTTGTAGTCTCAACATTTTGGAAGTTGTAAGCGTTTTTATGTGGTAAGGTAGTGAAAAGTTGAAAAAACCTAAATTGACGAATATCTTCAAAATAGAGAAGTTTCCGAAAATTTTCTCCTGCATTTTTTGCTCCAAAGGAAGAGTAGAATCGATTCCCTGAGTTTCGTCAGAAGGAACTGGGATATCCTGTATTTATATTATTATTATTTTTTTATTTTTGTATTTATTTATTTATTTTTTTTTTTAATTTTTTTTTTTCCAGCGCATCCAACAGCTAGGTCATTTCAGCCCCGAGCATAAGTAAAATACTGCAACACACACTCAATACACAATCACACCAATAAATACATTCACACCTATATACATTGAAACTCATTCTGTTTGGTAGATGGAGTAACATGCAGAGGGATGGTGATGGCCTAGCTGTTTGTCAGGCCATAAACCTCCCACTTTATATGTGGGTGGGTGCGCGCACGCGTGTGGGTGCATGCATGCGTGTGTGTGTGTGTGTGTGTGTGTGTGTGTGTCTAGTTGATTTGTTTTTCAACATATATGTTTATATATATAAACATATATGTTTATATATATATATAATCTTTAATAGTTCTCATGCAATAACTCAGTTTTAATTGTGTTCACTGATTGCAGATGCCGGTGAGCAGCGTCTGTACGTTCAAGATATTCATTGGGAATCTTACCGACAGCATAAAGACCGAACACATAAAACCACTTTTTGAAAAATATGGGAAGGTTGTTGAATGTGACGTCGTTAAAAATTATGGATTTGTGGTGAGTATTTTAAATATTGGGTGTGTGAATGGGAGTATACGTTTCGACCAGTGGGCCTGGCATGATGATTCATTTCGACCAAAAAGTTCGCTCTGTTTCAACATAGGAAGTTTTTGAAAGGTTTTGACCCAGTACAGCACCTACCATAGTAACTATATGTGAATTTATCATGATGTAGAGAAATTCACATTAGCAAATCATTAGATTGTTGTGAGTCCTTAACCTTCCCTACTGATTACAAGATCCATTATTGATCGCAAAGATGCACGGATGTACACAGAATACAGACATACAGTTCACAAAGACTATTGCACAGAAACTGGTGAAGAGCAGCTGACTGAAAGATCACACCTATATAATGGATCTGTAATGGTGGAAGGTAAGGTTGGGACATTCAGGACTTTATTTTAACAAGAGGACTTGCAACAACCAAAACCAAGTTTTGATACAAAGTTTAATTCCAGTACCTAATAAATATAAAATAAAGTCTACCACAAGTGAATACCGTCTACACAGTCTACCTACCCCCTAACTACCCCTACCCCACAGTGAATTGAAAGGAGGGTAAATCTGACGCTAGGAAGAATTAATGAAAAATCCTCGCCTGTATTGTCGTTTATCCTCCGACCTTTGCTCAATTTAGGCCTTAACCTTTCAATCGTAAATAAATTGTTATAACAAGCTGGGAAAGTACAACAAACAAGAAGGCTACAGTGCTTGGGGAACAAACCCTCACTTCTTAGTATCCATCATCACCTCCTGCTACCCCTGTTAGCTCTAGAGTGAGAAAAGCCCAATTGAAAGAGATTGTTTTATATAAATGATAAATAGTGAAGTGAGTATGTTGTTCAATCTTTTTAAAATGAGAGATTGTTTTGTTGTTATTTTTATTTATATACGCTCAGTTACATGAACTTGTGTACATACACATGCAGAATTGCGCCTATGATTTTTCCTAGAATCACACACTTTGGTGTTGACCTTGGTCCATACCACCATCGTATGGCTCAAGGGACACTCGACAAGTCTTTTAGCCCCTGCTTTGGGGCTTTGACCCAAAAGTAAGGGTCTATGTGTCAACCATATATGGACAATTTTGAGTCGGATTAGGATGACCCTTCTGTGGTTTAGATTCTCTGTGAGCCACATACTAATTGTGTTCTTGACTCACAAGAGCTTCTCAGACAACCTTGTCTACTGACCACCTTTTCTTTACCATTTTATTTATTTTTAAATAAAAGGTTAGTTTATTTCAAAAACATTTTTCTTTTTTTCTTTACGTTTTGGGCTGTTAATCACCCATCATCAGAAAAACCCTAGCAGTCTTACTTACTCTCCCATAGCAGTTTTATGATGTAATATACCTTCAATTGTCTCTCCTCAAAATAGGGCAATTTTTAGAGAAAGTGAGAAGACAAGGCCGACCAAGGGTTTCCTGAAGATGGCGAGAAAAAGCCTGAAATGTAGAGGATTTTTTTTTTTAAATAAACAAACCTTTAAAAAAAAAATTAAAAAAAAATGCTTGGAGAAACCATATTTAAAATCTCTTTTTAGGAAAAGGAAAAAGGAAACAATTGTGTATAGTTTTCATATGCATTTGGCTTGAAAAGAGATTGTTAAGAAAGGGGTAACTGATCCCAAAAGTCAAGTTTAGAATAAACTGTGGCATGTGCGACATGTGGACTGTGTAAAGAAAGTTTAAAAATTCAAACTTTTTAATTATGTAACAAATATGTTAAATCTTGTTTTGTCCAATAAGGGCCTATGTAACCAGAGTTCCTTACACCCTTTTTCCTGATTTATTCCAGCATATGGAAAATGAAGAGGCAGGTAGAGCAGCAATACAGAATTTGAACGGATCCATTGTCAATGATCAGCAGATGAAAGTAGAAGCAGCTACAAGTCGTAAAGGACCCAACACACCGACGACAAAGATATTTGTCGGCAACCTTAAAGAGGGTGTCAAAGCCTCTCAAGTCCGTGCCCTCTTCTCAAAATTTGGCACTGTCGTAGAATGTGACATTGTGAGGAATTATGGTTTTGTGGTAAGTTGTCATAAGAGTGTAATCGTATGACCTCTTACATTTGATTTCTTTCATCAAGCACATTTCATCTTCTGATGTTAACAACGTTATAAAAGAGCTCAATGGATATGATCTGGAAGGACAGCCAATCAAGGTTCAGGTTTCAACCAGCAGAGTCAGACAAAAACCAGGAATGGGCGATCCAGAACAGTGCTACAGGTTGGATTTAATATGTATCTTTCAAATCAATGCCATTTTATATATATGCCACACTAATTTTACTGTTTGATTATTATAGGTTGATAAAATGTATCTTTATCTTTGCATTCACTTAAATAAGACTAACGAAAACATTGCAAAACCCTGGGGGTTGATAAGATCTATACTGTAAATCCCCTTTAAAAATAAATACATAATAAAATAAATAAATAAAAATTTAAAAAAAACTTAAACCAACTGTTGAAGATAGCAACATATAGAGTGGTCAAGCTACTTTATTGGTTAAACTGGTGCTGATTTTTACTAAACATTTTGCTCTCTTATTATACTGTCCATTAAAAAAAAAGTTTTTTTAGCTTCAGTTATTCATTAAACAATAGGTTTATACATGGTAAAATTGGGAGAGAGAGTGTTTGGTTGAGAGAAATTGGCCAAAGAGGTAGGTTGCGATTGAAAGCTTATTAAAATTTCATTTGCGATTGGCGAATCTAAATCCCAAACATCTTTTTATCTACAAAATGAGTAATAACAGTAGAAATGATGAATGATGGAATGAGTGTTGTGTTCAATCCTTTTTAAAAAAGATAGTTCCTACTCACAGTAAGTTGTTTTGGAATGTCGCGTTGGCAGGGGTATCGGCGGGTTCACTTTTGCAATTCATGAGAGACGTGGTTGTAGAAATCCTTCAACCTCATGATGAACTAAGGGCTTAAAATCCGGACGTTGGAAAACAACTTACTGTATAAAAAGGCAGTGCAAGATCTAAATAAAGTTTAATTTTGAAATTATTATAAAACAAACATTCAGGTTTTATCATTTTTTTAAACAAAATAACTTTATGCTTGTAGGTGCGGCCGAGGTGGTCACTGGTCCAAGGAGTGTCCCAAATCTGCAGGGTAATTACTTTAAATAAATCAAATATCAGATCCTGAAATATGTCTTGTCAGTTTTGGCACAGCGATTTGTTCACAATGTTACAATGTAGTCAAGAACTTTTGCAGGTCGAATCAACGTCGTCTTGTTGTAACTAAAAAATTAACACTTTCGTTATGTATGTCGTTTAAGAACGATGAAGCAAGTCTCCATATGGAAGTGTTGTTCCAGAATGACAATGCTCTGCCTTTAAAAATCCCACATTTTTGTAGTGATTAGTATTACAAATTGTCGCTGTAGTGAAAGTGTTAAATGTGCAATTGTTTCCATATAAATGTAACACGTTTAGGGTAGGAGCCTCCAGCAAGGCAATTTTTTCCCTTAGTAAATAGTCTTAAAATTAATTATAAAATGGTATATATATAAATTTATATCTTTCATCTAAATTAGCATTTCCACCACCTAAGATGACATATAAGTTATGCAACCTACTTAACAACTAGTTTCCAATTACCCATTTTGTTTTTTTATTTTTAATGGTTATTATTTTTTGTTTTATAATTCAGCAACTTTAACAAGTAAAAGTTTTAAAAGGGAGTAAGTTTGAAATTTCTTATTAAAAACCAAAAAACAGACAGTTTCATAAAAAAGCCACTTAGGGATGGTTAATTTTAGTTGGTTTAACTGTTATACATTTAACTAAAATTATTAACAAAATATAATTACAAAAATAATCTATGTAGAATGGAGCTCTTTGAAGCACTGTGAATCAGTATAATTTTTCCGTCACATGCTGTCCAGTAGAAGCATGTTCTCACTTTCTTACCTTGCCCATCAACTCTTATGCTGCAATTTACACAAGTATTTTGTCCTTTTTGTCCCCCAGACATTGAAAGTAGAGGAGTAGGAAAATGAACTACAAGAGGACAAAGCTCTCTACGGATGTCATGTCATGTCACAATTAAAAAAAAAAAAAAAACAAGAAGCTATCCACGAGCAGCGTATGGTAGAGGTGAAAGGTCAACGTTTTGTACTGTACTACTGTACTTAACAAAAACTAATGTACAAAATTGAAAACCTAAAAATTGATGTGACTGTGATTATAATAACCAATTTTTTTAATTAATAGATTACTTACAATTTAAAGGAAGAAAATAATAAATTTTTAAACTTTTGGCGATTTTTCTGCAGAAAACCTCAAAATTATTTAGCATTTAATAGTCTATCCTTTAACACCTTTCAAAAGCAAAAAAGGTGTTAATTTTCTCAGGAATCAGTGGAGCTACACTTAAATGACACATCGCATATCATTTTAAAGTTGGTTTCACACAGAATGTAAAAACTGATTCAAATAGGGGAATAATAGCCAATAGAAAACTGTATGTCTGAACAATGGCATGGATCTCAAATAAGATCTGCTCCCCTGCATGCATTAAAAGAAAATGAAATATTTTACAATCCAAAGTACATCTTTAAACTCGTTTAAATGACAGACACAAGAGTACACTATGTAGGCTGAAAAAAAAGTCTGGCCAAAATGGCTTTAAAACCCACTTTAAAAAATTAACAGAAGACTAACCCAAACCATTGTAAACTATTTTAGTTTTTCAATCATTTCTGTAAGAATAAACAATTACTGGACTTGTGACAGGATCTGGTATAATTTGCATTTTTGTCAGATATTGATTATCCCGTGTTTCAGAAGACCTATGGGCCCAGATAGAGGTTTCCGAGATAGGCTGTTCGGGGGTCCGAGAGACCCTTATCCAATTCCACCACCACCACCTCCGTTCTTTAGAGACAGATTACTGTCAGACCATCTGAAGGATGATTACTATTTTGGTAGTTACGATAGGAGGTTTGATGACTTTGACAGATATGGACCACTTCCACGTAGTGAGACAAGGAGTCGGGAATACACCAGGGGACGGGATTCCTTGACTGCCTTGACTAGATCCACCACCGGTAGCTATGAAAGAAGTGATTATGAAATTTTTAGCAGGAGGTCACCAGATCCTAGTACACATTTCAGGTAAAGTTTCAATCTAAAATTGTTTTTATTTTCATACTGATTCACTTGATTTTACAGGAGAAGCTACAGTGACTATGGTTTTGATAGCTATGACAGTCATTCAAGGTAAGTCAATTTAATTGTTTGAAATCAATCCACTGTCTCCCAAATCGTTTTAAATTGTTTAAATTTTTTCTTTCTTATTTCTTCTCCTCGTCGCTTATACTGATTTAAACAGAAATAAATTAACAATTACATAAAATCGCTCAAAAGTATGAATTTATAACATGTATGAATTTTATTATAGATAGAGCCCATTCCTAAAGTGTCAAAACATTTCTACAAAAAATTGCTTTTATTGATTTAATTAATTAAAAAAATATATTACAACACAAAACAAAAATTATTTAACATTTTATTTAAATAGTGTCTTCTTCCAAATTTGCACTTTGCAAATGATAAAATTAACAGATTTACTTTTTACTCTTTATCTTTTCACTGTTGAACCGCCCTTGATCATGGTTCACATTTTTTTCACCTTCCAAATGCATTTTGCCAGTTCAAAAACATTCTCTTAGCAAAATGTTGAAACAAGCAGCAAGATGATCAGGGACGATGAAACTGCGGTCAAATGTTCAACTCAGTCCAACTGTCAAAACTTCACGATTATTTTTCAACTTAAAACAACTATTTTTAACTTACTAATTCTTTTAATTATAAAGACTGATCTTTTAAAATTAAGTGCAACTGATAAAATTGATTTTTGGTCAGATTTTTTACTTTGAAAAGTTTTGTAATGGGTCCTTTTATTACAATATGCAATTTAGGTAAAAATCGAAGAGTAAAAGTAAAATTTGATTTGAAAAAGAATTTGTAAAAGTAAAAACTGCGATTCTAGCTCTGCTAAAAGGTGCCGTCACCCCAGTAGAAAAATCATTAGTTCAATAATTTCCTAACGAGAGATATATGTTTACATCGTTTATTTACTTCTGTTCAGAATGGGACCTCGTGGTGCTTCGCCGCGCCGTTACTCCCCTTACTGGAAGCTCAGTTCTCGTGATGACAGCCTCCCGGCATCTCGGCGGAATTAAATCTTATCATCCATTCTCTTAACCATGCGATGTATTAATTTCTATGTTTAGCCCGATAGAATAAACTTGATCATTTATATAATTTCTTTATATTAAACCTAGACATGGCAAGAATGCCAGTGCATTTTTCGTGTTTCGTGTTAATGACTTTATGTAAATATTTACATATTTTTACATTGCTTACTAACATGACAGGATTTTTTGTTTTCTTAATAAAAAAAAATATCGAGATAATTTTTGTAATGTCATGTTTTCATCATAAAAATAAATTTGATTTTACAAAAATTCCGTGTCTCCTATTATAATTACCCTCGTTTGGTGGATCAAGAAGCACCCCGAGATCGGATCGAGTTCACCCGTGTTCTGGAACCCTTCGGCCCGGTAATACGAATTTTCGCCACAGCCGTCACCACCTTCTTCGACTTCGAATCGCCGGCTCAAGGTAGGCAACTTTCGCTTGAATCGCTCAGACGTTCGTGACAGCGGGGTAATAGCAATTTATTACGGTCCCTGTATCGTGTTGCTGTCGAGGCGTAGCCCTATAACGCGATAGCTTAAATATTATGTAATTAAATGTAAAACAATATCCTCTGAGGGAATTTGATGTTTCAGTGGTTAGAACAACTGCCTCCTAATTGCCTTGTAGATTCTAACACCGACGCTCAGCCTCATGGCCCCTTTCCACCACCAAATATGTTTCCCCGGTACACATTTTCAGGTTAGTTATTTTTATTTTTCTTCTTTATTTATTTTCTTGTGTTTTCTTTTATTTCTTGTGAAAGTAAGTCTTCTAAGTGCATGTTATTACTACGTGAAATATATTTATCTGCCTCGGTCTCATGTCAAAATTCATCCTGGTGGGGGAGGTGTTTTATATATTTTTTCCTGATGCATGTAAGCGTAATGTTAATAATTAGATATTGTTCAATTCTAAATTATTTATATTTGCAATGAATTAAATTTAAATTTACCATTCATATATAGAAATAAATTTTATAAGCATAGGAGTATTAAATATTCATTATTTCTGATTGTTTGAAAAGTTAATAGAATCAAATTTAATGATTTATTAATATTAATTTACTATTTTAACCACTCAACACAAAAACCAGACACTCGTATTTTGTTGTTTATTTCAAACAATATGTATTTTTATCATTATATTAATTACAACATTTTTATTTTAATGTAAACCTAATTAAACAAGATCAGTTCAGGGCTCAAAGTGTTTGTCTTCTGTGTAATTGTGCCATTTTTATGTGTCGTGTTGAGAGTGCCTTATAAATGGGCTTTTTTTTTCAAAAACACTGGCTCCCCGATGGTTGATATAACCTCTGCTGTTGTGAACCTTCATAAAAAATATAAAAAACATATTACTTCTTTTGGCCTTGTGTAGGGCCTTAAGTCTCCTAGACATTGAGTAAATAATTGATCAGATTTCGTCTTGAGTAACAGAATCCTATTCTGCATCAAGAGCAATTGTAGAGCATTATCATACATTCATATGAAGTTGTCCCCAATAAATGGATCAAATGGGACCACAGCTTCCAGAAAAACTTCCTCAATGTACCTTAGTGCAGCCAAAGATCCATTCTGTTGGTAATCAGTTCAGTACATATATGAACATTAATTCCACCCTATACTAACTGTCTTTTTAAAGGCTGTGATTACATGGAACATGAAGCAAATTTCCACACATGGCCATAGCCATCTGATTATCATGGTCACCTTTCTACTTGATGCCTCTCCAGGAATAGAGACTAAGTATTTACTTTGGTGATTGATCAGTCATCTCAGTTTAAATATTTTTCTTTTCATTAGATAGATTGGGGGTGAGGCCTCATCTCCAATCTACCTAATGTAAAGAAAAATATTTAAGTAGAGATTAGACTATTCTCACAAAGCCTTCTGATGACTGTTTTAGAGCTCATCCTTACATTTTGGATCATTTGGAGTTGACTACCTATCAAGGAAGCTGTAGTTTCGTAGTGTGGTAAGAATAATAAAATGGTCGTCTCTTGCCATCATACATTGTGGTCAACCACTACCTTCTCTTCAATCGAGACCTCTAGTGGCCCATAAACAAATAAATACAAGTATCCAGTTTTTGTCTTCGAATGTATTTTATTACCGAAGAAAGAAATGATAAAATCTGTGAATATCAGAGCTGGCGGTATTATAGTTTAATAAATTATGCAAATATGCTGGCAAATAAGTAGAAAAACTAAGATTATTGAGATCTGGGAGAAGACAAACCTGTTTCATTGTCTCAGATCATCCTGATCTGCCTACCCTTGCCAATTTGGTCTGATGTATGCAATTTAATTGTTTACAAATGTGCAAAATTAGATTGCATTTGGTTGCAAAAAAGGCAAACCAGCAGGGTTAGGCAGATTGTTGTGAGTGGAAAGGCCAAAATAATTTATTTTCTTATGTTTACATGCATTTCATTGGAAAAGCTAAACTTGGCTTAAAAAAAATTCAATTGTGGACAACAAGATTGGAAGGCAAAGCAATGAGTATGTATTATGAACTAGGATTAGAAATTTTGTGTAAGAACATATATTAAATACTGGTAAATAAAAGCACCAAGGGCGTGCACTCGTATTTACCATGCTGGTGGTTCTGGATTCAAATCTCAACAAAGCTCATGTACTTTTATTTGAAAATAATTAGGAAAAAGTATTGTCAAGAGGTTCTGACCCCTTGCCATGATTATCAATGCATAATTAGACATTAAACCCTCATGATTAACATTGTCTGCAGTAATGGAGTTTTTCCTCCCCTTTTCTCTGAACATATTTAATCCCTTTTTTATTTCATTTATTATAGAAATAGTTGTCATTTTACATAGAATTTGAGCTATCTCTCTCCATTACAGTTTCATAAAAGTAAGTATTGGGAGTCAATTTATCATAACTTATTAAAATTGCATAGATTGGTGTATCTATAATAAAATATTTGACTTTCATTTGCAAAAATAACAATTACAAGTGCTAAGTATTTAATATTAATGTTTGACACTGATTAGATGTATTTAGAGGAATCCACAACCTTTGTTGCTCTCCCTATATTGAGAAGTGCAATTTTATAATTAAAATGCATTTTAATGGCTAAATTATATTTGTATCAAATAGAAATGCTTGATTTTTTTTCATATTTTACTTTCTCATTCTAAGGGTTTATAATATTCATTAGTTTTGATTTGCTTAGCACTTTCTTTGAGATAATTTATATTGCAGTCATGGCTCAGTATGCTGGTAGTGGGTACATAATCTGGTTAATAATAAAACACACCTTGTTTTTGTTCAGTATTATTTCCACTCTTTAATTTTAACCAAATTTTTGCTGCATTTTTCTTCTCTTTTTTCATTCGAAGTAGATGTATAAATGTTAATATTTTATTTTCAGGATTCTGATTATATTTAGACTAATATATTAATCTGTTTTATTTACATTTGTATTTACTTTAATGGTAATAAATCATCTACAAAAACATTTGTTTGCTTATCCCAAAAACTAAATATCCTAAATATTCCTTGTACCAATAGTTTAATCAAATACTTCAATATGGTAGTCAACAAGGCCGAGTGGTTGGTGTCTGACCATTCTAGCATTTTTGGGTTCAAATCCTGGTGTAACACATTGATTTTTAATTGAAAATAGTATTAAATATGTTTTGTTAAGTGGTTATATACGAATGGCAAAAAAAAAAAAAAAAAAAAAAAGTTCAACCATTGAAACCTGGGGAATTAAATTTCATTAGAGCCTAAATTCACCAACTAATCGGTGTGATATAGGTACAGAATGGGAGATACAATAGATCTCAAAAGGCACATTATATTGCTCTCTACACTCTAAACATCTTAGTTGATTAGAAATAAATATTCGTTGTTATTAGAAAAATAAATGTATTTTATGATTTAATGTAGTAGAGTGAAAGTATAGTTTCGAGTGTAGCAATGGTTTTATTTTCTTCCAAGTCAATTTAAAGTTTACTAGTGTTAAAAATGCCGCAATTTAATTTACTTATTGTAAAGAAATATTGTTAAAACGCGCACATACAGATTTCACATGATAATAAAAAAAAAATAAAACAAAGAAAGAAAATGACAGGGAATATGAGCAAGAGTAAGGGAAAAAGAACTATGGAACGACATTCTGAAAAAGAAAGAAAATGTTTAGGGGATGGGATGGGGTTCCCTAAGAGAATGTTTGTGAGTAGGAATGAGAGAAAAAAGCTACAGAGCAATATATTTTGAAAGAGAATGTGAGCAAGAGTAAAGGAAAAAAAACAACGATATATTGAGGGGTACATTTGGAAGTTTACTAGTGTTAAAATACTGTAATTTAATTAAATTATTATAAAGAAATGTTAAAATGTGTGCATACAATTCCAGATTGCACATGGCAATAAAAAGTTTAAAAAGATGGAAAGAAAAAGGGAGGGAAAGTTCATGAGCAAGAAAAAAAGCTATGGAATGATTTATTTTGAAAGAGAATGTTTATGAGTAGGAATAAAAGAAAGCTGCTATAGAACAATATATTTGGAAAGAGAATATGAGCAAGAGTAAGGGAAAAAAGAACAACAGAAAAATATATTGAGAGATAAAATTAGAAGTTTACAAGTGTTAAAAACGCTGTAATTTAATTTAATTATTATGAAGAAATGTTATAAAATGTGTGCATACAATTCCAGATTGCACATGATAATAAAAAGTTTTAAAAAATTGAAAGAAAGAAAAAGGCAGAGAATGTTCGTGTGTAGGAATGATGGAAAAAGAGCTATAGAACGATATATTGTGAAAAAGAATGAGAATGTTTGTAAGCATTAATGGTAGAAAAAAAGCTTCGGAACTATATATTGTGAAAAAGAAAGAGAACGTTCGTGAGCAGGAATTAGAGAAAAAGAGTTCCAGAACGATATATTTTGAAAGAGAATAGGAGCAAGAGAAAAGGAAAATAGAACTATAGAAGAATATGTCGAGAGGTAAATTTAGAAGTTTACTAGTGTTAAAAACGCTGCAATTTAATTTAATTATTATAAAGAAATGTTAAATTGTGCGCATACAATTCCAGATTGCGCATGATAATAAAAAGTAAAAAAAGTGCAATAAAAAGAAAAAGTGAACGGTCGAGAAAGGAAATAAACGTAGCGTATGGCGTAGTATCGATGATTTCAAGGTTAGACCCGTCTTCTATATTGAGGTTTTTATTCTTTAAAAATAAAATTTTGTTTTAAAAATATATATGTTTTTCTTGTTTATATGTTCTGGTAGTATTATGAAAGTAATTATTTTTAATTGATGTATATATGCAAAAGTGATGTTCGGTGGTCAGTCACCATCTTCAGTTTTCCGATTGAAAATAAATTTTAAATAATTAATTGTGTAGAGAATTTAATATTTTGGGTGTTTTTAAAAGGAAAATAGCTTGGAAAATGTATATTTTGTGTTTGGAGAATGTTGTGGGGCGGATCGTCTAGGTCGTGGACGTGTCCTGCGGGGCCCCCACTCGTCGCCGGCGTCGCCCACTCGTGAATCATCGCCCGTTCGGCGGACTCCATTTTCAAGTACAACCGAGGTTGCTCTTATTCGGTCCGCGCTTCTTCGCCCAACTTTGTGCCAGCAATCGAAGGTAAATTGACGTCGGTCCGCCGCCCACGGGAAAAAACTCGTCGTCCTCTCCCGGCGGCGTCGATCGTGCAATAACGCCCCCGCTTTCAACAGTTTTCCCATTCGCCTCCCCCCCCCGCGGAACCGTTTTTTTTTACTTATCCAGCCTTTCTCTCCACAGTTTCTCAGCCTTTCGTTGAAAAATGCCGGTGAGCAGCGTGGGGACTTTCAAGATATTCGTGGGCAACTTGGCCGACAATGCCGGCGCCCCGGACATCAAGCCGCATTTCGAAAAGTACGGCAAAGTCGTCGAGTGCGATGTCGTCAAGAACTATGGCTTTGTGGTAAGCGTTACTTCACAACCCAAACAATCACGACCATTTTCAAATCTATCATTCTCTTGCACATTCTTAGATAGTTCTCTACCTCTCGTTCTCTTACTCGTGCTCATACTCTCTTTTTTTACAATACATCTTTCTATAGCTCTTTATGCCTTACTCGTGCTCACATTTTTTTTCAATATATATCGTTCTGTAGCTTTTTTTATCTTCATTATAACTCGCAAATATTATCTTTCTTTTTCACACTATATCGTTCTACAGCTATTAACACAACCTATTACTTAAATAACTGTAAAGAGAAAAAATACAATAAAAGCTTATAACTAACTCAACATTAATAAAGAATAAAACACTATACTATACAACAATGAGAAAGCCAATAAAAACCTTATAAACAAAATAACATAAATATTTAATTTAACACCCAGTCAGTGTAATTATAACGACTAGGAATTATACAAAAAAAAAAAATAATAATATAGTAAATAATTATATTATTTTCACAGTATATCATTCAGGTTTTTTTGTGTCATTTTTCCTCACATTCTCTTTCGTTGTCACAATATTTTGTTCTGAAGCTTTTATATTTCATCATTAAAAAAAAAAATTCTTTTTTTAAACAATATATTGTTCTGAAGCATTTTTTAGTATCATTATAACTCGGAGACATTCTCTTTCTTTTTCACACAATATCATTCTACGGCTATTAAAAACCCATTTCTTAAGGAAAACATATACAAAAGTAAGGAGAAAAAATACAATAAAATCCTTATAACTAACTCAAAATTAATAAAGAATAAAATTCTTTACTATACATCAAAGAAAAATACAATAAAATCCTTATACAATAAAATAACATAAAGTTTATTGAACCTCTGTTTATATAATTATAATGACTAGGAATTATACAACATAAATAAATAATTATATTATTCACAAACATTCTCTTTTCAAAACAGTATTTTGTTCTAGAGGTATTTGTCTATCACTCATGCTCGCAAATTGAGATCATCTTCAGGGCTCAATAAAGATCGAAACGTTGGCACGATAAAGAAAATGTTTTTCTGAAACCTACATCACACCAGACCGCATCTCACGATTTCTGAATAATTTTTTTTTTTTAAATCTCACTCTTGCTTACAAACATTCTCTTTCATTGTCACAATGTATCGTTCTAAAGATGTTTTTATCTCATTCTTGCTCACAAACATTTTTTTACACTTGCACAATATATCGTTATTTTTCTGCTCAGTTTCTCATGCTTGCTCGCAAATATTATTTCCCTTTTACTTATATAACATATTGGTCTGTAGCTCTTTTTTTCTCACTCTTAAAACATTTTCATTCTCAATCTTGAATCTTCATCTAATTTCACACTCACATACACTCTTTCTTTTTTTCCTTGTCTCTTACTCACTCACCCTATACTCCTATACACATTTTTATATCTCCACTGCTTTCCTTTAATAAAATAATAATAATAAAACGTAAATATGTCAATCTGTGGACATATTTAATATAGTTTTGTAAGTTCTATATAGTTGTATGGATGGTTAAATCAGATATGTTTTTCATAATATAGGTCCTGATGATCGAAAGCTTGGCATTAGCAACTTAATTGCTTTCTTCTTCTTATGGCCTATACCTTGATCCCAGAGTGTTTGTAAATAATACATGGGAAACTTATAAACACACAAAATCCACAACTCGCACATATTATTTTCTGTGCTGCATTAAAAAAAAAAAGAACCTTCACTTATACCAAACATTTGACAGAAATTGAATAAAAACTTACCACTGACTAATGTGGGGAACACACTTACCCAATGCAACGAGATGACACTACCTGATGCCTTGCCTTGTAGAGTTGCCCATCTGTTCTACGTTAAGCACACGTCATGGACGTCACACACTATATCACAAAACAAACACCTCTTTTGCTTATAATCCATTATTATAAGCAAAACCAGGTAAGAAATTGTTAGTTATATTCATTCCATCAATAAATGGTACACCAGTGTTTTGATAAATTTTCTATCAAACCATCATAATTAAATAATTTTTATTAAAACTCAGGAATTTTTTATCTCATTTAATTTGGTTTACATTAAAATAAGCATGTTTTAATTAATATTAAAAAAAAAAAAAAAAACAGTTTGAAATAAACAATGACAAATATGAGTGTCCGGTTCTTTTGTCTTGGACACTACTGTATGAAAATCTGGACAGTAGGGAACTAGTTTGTGTAACGTAGAGCATGGGTAGCATTAGGCATATGTGCACCGTACTCGGGGTTAGTATAGTCTTATGAAAATTGGACATTGGATTGGCTTCTTAAAGGCTGACCATCAACATCTTGACTTGAATGTTTTCGTTGTTTTGAGATCTGTGGTTTGTAACTTGTAATTTATTCATCTCCTTCCTCTCCTGCCAGTTCTCGCTGTATTTGCCAAATTACCAATTACAGGCTAAAGAGGGAGAAAGAACAACAACATACTACAATACACATAACAACAAAAACATTACTACAATGTCCACCTATTAACGAATCAAACAAAGAATTTAGACAAACAAAATGACACAAATAAACACACCTGAACCATATTTACATAAAAGAGTTGTACAAACTATCCTCTTTGATAAATTATTCATAAAAAGTGTATTTTAAAGATCTCATGTCAGTTAACATTCTAACTTAATTATTTATAAAACTATCCACAACAAATTGAGTTTTTTTTATTTTTTTATAATTATTGTTCATAAAATTTCATTTAAATAGAGAAAATACTTGTAGGAAGGGGGTATTTTCGCTCAGGTGAAACATTTGCTTTTTTTCTAATTTCTTTGTCTAATTGTGTTAAAGATTGAAATCACATTTTAAGTGTGCTTGAAGGACAAAAATACATGTTTCTGCTGAAGAGGTAGCCAAGAGACCCCTCTCATATTCAACATAGTTTTGTTTGAAAATATATTGTTTGATAAAAATTTCTTCTCTTTAGCATATGGAAAGTGAAGAGTCTGGTAGGGATGCTATCCAGAACCTCAATGGCTACATCATCCATGGTCAGCCGATGAAGGTTGAGGCGGCAACAAGCCGTAAGGGGCCTAACACACCCACCACCAAGATCTTTGTCGGCAACCTTGCCGACGGCGTAAAGGCCGGCCAAGTTCGATCTCTTTTTTCCAAATTCGGCACTGTCGTCGAATGTGACATTGTACGTAACTACGGTTTTGTTGTAAGTATTTTAATTAATTTTAGATTTTTTTAACCACCCTGCTATGGAAAATTAAAATGGTCAACTTTCAAATGGACAGCATATTGACTCAAATGAAGTGAACAACTGCATCAAAGAACTGAACGGTTATGTACTCGAAGGTCAGCCTATGAAAGTTCAAGTTTCTACGAGTAGAGTAAGGCAGAGGCCTGGAATGGGAGATCCTGAGCAGTGTTACAGGTAAAAAAATAAACAAAATATAAAAGTATTTAGTAAAATTAAGATAACAAATTAACAGTTTAAATTCCAAATAGTCACATGGAAGATATGCAATTTAAGTCCATTGTCCCTGTTCCATCTTAGATCCAACTGTGTATGAAGGGATATTAGGGCCCCTTCCTGAAACTTGGGTTACTTTTTTCCAAACCTGGACCACTTAAAAGGGTCTGTTACGGAGTTCATGGTCAACAACAGATTATTTGAGTTAAATTTTTTCCTTTGTAGATTTTTGTTTATTAAGTCAAAATTGAAAGTTCCACTCCTCTCTTAAAAGCAGGGTTTCAAGTTTCAACATATTTTGTGTCGTAATTTCTGTTTTTATAATTATTAATAATAAAAATAGACATAGTAATGAACAAAGCAGAAAGGATGTCGAATCATTACTAAAAATAAAAACGCTTAATTTATTTTGGCTTAATAAACTAAAATCTAATTTTAAGTTTTATAAATGAGATCAATTTTTCTGTTTTATGGTTTTACATAAACAACCTTAATTGCTGAATTAGTAATAAAATTTCGTTTTTGCCTGACAAATTTTTAATATTTTTTCCTATTTCTTTTGTCTTCATTTTTTCTATGAAACACCAACTTTATTTATAATTATTCATTTTAGATGTGGCAAGGGTGGGCATTGGTCCAAGGAATGTCCTAAAGCAGGAGGGTGAGTTTTTGATTATATCTTATTATTTTCAACATTAAAAAATGGGTGAAATCCCAGATGTGTTTAGTTTTATATTGAAATTTGTTTAAATTATAAACATAACTAATGATTCCAATTTAAAGAAGACCAATGGGTCCTGACAGAATGGGATTCCGGGACCGAATGATGGGACCACGTGATTCTTATCCTCCACCACCACCACCATTTATCAGAGATAGGCTTCTTGGCGCAGAGCCTTTCGGAGGGAAAAAAGTGATTACCCCTTTATTTTTTCACATTAATTATTTATATCTATTTATTTTTTGTTCAATTTAATTTTGCCTTGTTTAGGATTCTTATTATGACCGTTATTATGATCGCCCAGTTAGAGGAGGGTTTGACGATGACAGGAGATATCCACCTCCCCCACCACCCATGGGTCGTGACCCTCTTCCACCACCTGGTCTCAGGCCGCCAAGAGACTTTATGCCTCCTCTGAGATCGAGGGAACCCATGGGCTCACCAAGCATGCGTTCCAGCTTTGACAGGTCTTCAGAATTTGGTATACGCGGCAGCGGTGGATTTGAGCGTTCCTCAGAATTTATGTTCAGCAGGAGATCCCCTGAGCCAAGCAGATTCAGGTATTTTTCCGTTAAGAATATTTTATTATTTTTTTGAACTTTTTTTTACCCCTTTCTCCTTTTGTCTGAGGTGTTGAAAATTCTATTATTTCATAATTTTTCTTGCAACACAATTTGACAAAATCATAAATGATTATAGATTCTTTATGATTTTCTACTAACAACACTTATTTTTATATTTTATTTAACTAAAGCTTAATCATTTTTTTCTAATTTATAGCGTAGTGTTTAACAACTCGTACCGATTTTAACTAATTCTAGTCATTTACGTTCGCATTTTTCTAATTTTATCCGGAAAAAAAGGACGATTTTTATTGACAAAATCTTTTGTTTGAAATATGGAAAAGTAAGCACTGGACAATCATTCTTTCTTTAATTTTGTGAGAAAAAAATATGCGTACCTGTTTTCTTCAGCTTTAATTCATTTCAGAATAAACACTTCTTTAACTGTGGTTCAATAGAAATATTTCAATCTGTTTAAGGAAAAAGAGAATTGTTTCAATTCGTTGATAAATTAATGTGATGTTCATCGTTGGTTTACTTTTGTTCAGAATGGGACCTCGTGGAGTATCGCCGCGCCGTTTCGCTCCTTACTGAAGATCGGCTCGGGACAACAACGTTACGGCAGCCATGTCACGTGTTTCGGTTTGGTTATAGACATTGGATTAGCAACATTAAGGATTTGAAGATATATTTACATAATTATACCTTAGTTATGATCGTCTTATTAAATGTAATCATTGTTTTAACATTCAGACTAATAGTTATATCAACTAGCGCGTTTTCAAAGAACGTGTACCTATTAAACAAAATCCAGAGCTTTTATTTTATCAGCCATTGTGTGTGCCGTAAAAATAATTGTGTCTCCATTCAAGATTATTTGAGCATTAAGAGAGGAAAAAGGATCATTTTGCTATTTTGTACTTTGCCAAACAGAAAATTTTTTATATGATGAATCACCACATGAGACGATTTTCGGGTCGGTCCGTGTTTACGGGAATAATATCCGGTAAATACGAATCCCCTTAAAAAAATGCTTCGGCTGACTACAACGGCTAATATAATCAACTTATATTTTTCACTCAACATAATTGCGTTTTGTATAAACTTACTATAATACTCCTGATTTCTAAGGAAATAAATTTGACATGTTAAGCAGTTTTTATGATATAACAACAGAAATCAGGTATTTTGTTTGTATTTAGGTTTTTTCATATACATATTCTTCTCATTGTAGGATGGTTTTAGTAGAAAGTTAATAGTTTTGCACCATAGAACTTTGCAATCAACATTTATCAAATTCTCTTAGATTTTTTGAGCATGAATTCGGTAAATTATATATATATATATATATATATACACACCAGATTTTTTTCTTAAATATTGTTTTATAATTATAAAAGCATTGCTCAATGCTTAAATTTCTTTTAGCAATATATATATATATTATAATTATCTATTAGCTAAAAAGTTGAATGTATTTCATTTTACTTTTTGGGAGTTTAATTTAAGGTAGTTTAGATTAAAAAGAAATTAATACCTTGACTTTTCTATTTATATAATGATGTCTGTGAGCAACGGCTCTTTGCTTAATAAAATATAAACCCATTTAAACCCACATGAAGAGTGTATGTTGTGTCTCAAAAAACCCCTTGAAAATCGTGTTCTTCCAGTAGGCTTAAAACTAAGAAAGAATGGCCTAGTCGGAAAACCGGTATCGAAAGCGTGTATGTCATGCATAGCTCTAAGTAAAACCGGGGCTTTCTCGAAGAAGATAAAGAAGAGGATCGGATCCCGCCAGTCGAAACGGTCGAACGAATGCGGCTTCAAGAAACTCGAGGAGACTTTCGGGTCTGTCTTAAATTAAACGGTTTTATATTTCGGCACGAGGTGAGTAGCACAAATGCTTTGTGATTTTTTTTCACATTAAAAAAATCCAGTTTTTGTTTTTTCGTTTCATTTTTAAAAAATTTCTTTTGTTTAAAAAAAAGAACCAAACTAATTTTCAAATTAAAGATAAGGATCAACCAGTGGTACTAGTATAAAGGGGAGTTTTAACTGCAATTTCACAGTTCTTTAAGTTCAGATACAAAATTAAGGACTGCATAGATCCTGGATAAAGGAACTAGTGAGAATTGGAAAAGTTTTCCTTAAATCCATTGAAAAGAACACATTCCTCCTTCCCTATTTATCCTAAGTAAAATACATTGGTGCTTTTATCATGGCCTGAGTTTTATAAATTGTTTAATGGTTTTGTTTATATAAATGTCTAATATGTTCATGTATTTGTAGGCATCAACTTCCAACAAATTTAACAGACCATCGCAAAAGTCCTAGGTGATAGTTTAAACAAATTTAAAAAAATCTTCATTAACTATTGTCACAAGCGTCTGGACCTATCTTTGAGATAGATATATATTCAAATGAAAAAAAAAAAAAATAGCAATTAGCATGCATCTTTTAGTGTTGAATATTGTTAACAATAAATGTTACAATGTAGGCAGCATGAAAGAGCGAGTTGTCAGGAATGTTTGCTGGGAGGGGTAGACTGGATGTTTGTGTTGTATGTCAAAGTTTGTGGTTATATCCACACCACTTCAAGAAATATATGAAACTTGCAGTTTTATGCAAGTACCCTGTTAGTTATTGGGTGTACATAAGTTTTTTCGGTTTTCAGGAAAAAATTAACTCTTAAAATATAAATTTATTTTATTTTTTATCCAAAACCAAATTTCATGTTTTCTGTCACATTTCGCCAATGTTCTGGAAGTAAAAAATATTATTTTTGTAAAAATTTGATGAGAAGAAATCCAAGTTTAATTTTCAGTGTTCTCGTTTAAAAATAACCCACCTTTTAAGTGGTCGTCTAGGGAGCAAAACATGTAAAACTCTGGGCATGGAGGGTGGGGTATTTGTTACTAGCATAATGCTACAATTTTACTCTACGAGAGAGTTCAGTGAGCCCTGGTGTTATGGTAAAATACATTGCATCTGTTCATCAGGGCTGCTGTTTTCCTTTCAAACCATAAGGGTTTGGTTGCATCGTAACAGTTGCCAATAAATTATTCCTTGAATAACACACCAAACATAATAGAGACGAGGGCAAATTCTGCTCTAGATGTCGACAGCGGCATTTCTCCCTTGCAAATAGTTCTTCGGCATTTTAACATTTTTGGAAAGGACCCCACTTCTCATCCCCAGTGACCAAGTAGGAAATAAAACTTTTCCATGTCCCTGAGAAATGTCTGATGTTAAAAGTTAATTTGCCCTCACCCTTCAATGCTGCTTGTTAGGTGTTCCATAGAGGTTTTGGTTTGTCTCTCTATTATGAAAACATCAGAACCACTGTTGTCTCACAAATTACTATATTATCACAGTAAATTGCACGTAAATTTTGGCAGACATCTGCCACTGTAAGCCCAAGATGAACTCGTATATCAATGCCTCAAATGAATTTTATCTGCTTCCATGTAATATGTGAGGAGTTTATTCTAGCCTGACATAGGGATAATTATTCCTTTCTTAAAAATCACTTGGAAGGGGTTTTCCCACTCTTGAGATACTGGGTATGTTAAAGGATCAGCTCCTTTATAAGAGTGAAAGACAAAATTTGAAAAAACCGAAAAATCTTATGCACACACCCAATGTATCAACAACCAGGGTTGGTTGTAAAAGATTGTTGTACATCATCTTATTTCATTTTCAAAGTTAAGCTCCTTTTTCATAATTTTTCCTTTACAAGGTAATGAGCTTGCCATTCGGTCTTTCTTTCAACATGGTCTGCCAAATCCTCACTAGTATTGCACAAAACAAGTCGCTTAGTTCTGCCAAATTTGATCAATTTATTTGCTTCCGTAAATTCTTTGGTTGGACCCCCCCCCCCAAAAAAAAAAAAAAAATGTTTTATGGATGGAATCTGGCAACCTAAAAAACTATTAGAGTCCAGATTGAGAAGAATATAGTTTGAACTTATTCAAAACACAGTGCATGGTAAAAACACTAATCAAAATCTCATGGAGTATAATTACGAGCTGGTTTAAAATTGCTGTAGGTCTTTAGTCACTCAACTTGTAAAATCGACTGCTCCTTTTTAAATAAACCGTGATTCTAAAGAATGGATGTATTTTTGTGGGCTAAGAATAAAGCTATTGCTCTAATTTAAATTTAAAATCCTTTTTCATGCACTGACTTCTGTTGGGACCTAGTTAAACTATTGTTATCATGTAAAATGTTAAAATTAATTTAATTTATTTAGTTTGATTTAGAGTTTGTATTTTCTTTTTTCCATAGTTGGTAGATTATCATAGTTAATTTGAGTTAGTAGTCTTGATTTTGTTCTGTTTTTTACATCAACAAACCCATTCAAATCCATCAGGTTAAAAAATAGTTGGTAAAAATTTGAAATAATTATTAATAATAATAATTATAAATTCTTCATCTTCAAAAACCATTTTGTGTAAATATAATAAAGCTTTCTGCCATTCTGAATTAATGTAAATAATTACCTAAAAATGAGTTTTGATTTGAAATAAGCAATTTAAAGTACGATTGTATACAGTCGGGCTCCTCCACTTCAAATAACCGTACAATTTTATTTTCTTGGCATTATTTAATTACCAATCAAGATTCCACATAAGAGAAAATTAGGTCACAGATGATTAAATTTATTTATTTTTAACTATCCACTTATGGGGAAGTTCGTCTGTATTCAACTAATAAGAAAATTATAATTTTTGTTTTAAATTTATCTTCATTTGAATTTGTATATTTAATGCAATAATTCAAGTGGTGTGTACCTTGTTAATTAAATAGTAAATTGTCAATTATTTTATACTTAAAAGTGTTTATTTATCGATGAAAGTTAAAACAAAATAATTAAAAACAGCCTTTCAATTTATTATTTAAATTAGCAACAATTTTCATTTTCAAAAGAATCTGTTAAAAATGAAAAATTTTGTTCAAAAGGACTGTTTGCAGAAAAATTTCTGTAGCTGTTATTTTATTTCATCACATTTCTAGAACGAGATGTTTCAAAATGCTTTGTATTGCTCAATGATTGAACTCATTTGAATTTATAATAAATTTTGTGAAAAAAATTCTAACATAATAGCAGTAGTTATCAAATGAACCATTTTGTATTCAGTGGGAGTACATATTTTTAACTCGTAGCCAGCAGGCTTTCGTTTTAATACTTCAACCGTATTGGAAGTCCTAATCAGTTGTTTGGTCATTTCCTGTGGTCTTGTCCTGATAAAGCCCATACCCATTTAGGGTGCAAACTTTATTCGACAAAATATGTCAAGAGTAGGAAAGTTTATGATTTAATTCGCTCTCGTTAAAATAAGCTGCCATTATTCGTATTTTGCACCTGTCGAATTGCCCTAATTCTATGAAACACCTGCCACCTCCCTGCCTTATCTAAGCTGACGTTGAATTAGACAAGTATGTACTGTTCAATATTGAAAGCTTTTAATTTTTGTATTCTTTTAGTTTAAATAAAAAACTTTTAAGTTTTATCAAATAAGTTCATTTATTTATTTATTTTTAATTTAAGATTTTTGTTCCACATGTTACTTTTGCCTTTGAACAAGGGCAATTTGTCGGCTGTAAAATAAGTATCTTCTTTTTCTTTTTTCTAAATTGTTATAGATAATGGCACTGTGTTGTACTCGTTGTTTCGAGTTCTGTTTTGGATGGAAGCATCCAGAATCGAGGGCTTACCCAAAACCTGAAGCTTTGGAAAACCAAGCTATTAAAACAGTGAGGAGAATATCCAGGTATTGTATATAATTAAATAAAATTACACCAAGTTTTTATGTACTGCTTTCACAGTGTGGGTCAAACTGTAATTGATGAAAATGGTGAAGAAAAAGAAATACCGAGGCATTCGAATATTCTTAAATCTTTTAACGATGTGCCTGTTCCTTGGACGAGCACTACTTTATCCATTCAACCAGGTAACTATATTAAAAAAATTTAAATCTATTTGACACAAAGTCTAGAATTTTTACATATAGGTGTCACAAAAGAAGATGTGATGAATCGGATCAAAGCTCTTCCTACGATTGTGGAAAGCACACCAAAGCCTAAACAGAAAGGCTGGAGGAAAGCATTGTCAAAGAAAGACAGTTACTCCCCACTTAAGGCAAAAGATAAATCGGACAGCAGTGTCCGTCTTTCACTTTTTGCCCGTACGTCTAAAATAAAATTCATATGAAAATTATTTTTACAAAAAAAAAAATTCTTGTTAGCAGTCAGAAATGTAAGCAAGTCAACTGAAGTGATAAATTCGAAAGAAAACCTGAAAAAGGAGGAAAACAAGGCTAAGACATTATCATCTCTTAGAAGGGGCTCTTATGGAAGCTCACCCAATTTGTCTTCAGCTGAAGCCGTAATAATTTCACATTATTAACTTAATAAACATGAAAACTTGAACAGAAAGGCTAAATCATTAACCTCCCTCTCATTGCTGTCTTTGATTAATACAAATAAATTCTAGGTATCTGAAATCAGCACATCTACATCAAATTTCACATTGACCTCTCTAAGTTCAGACAAGTTTGAAAATAAATTACTACTTCCTTTAACGAAGCGCTGGCAACTTTCTCAGAGCATGGAGGTAAAGTTGGTTAAATTGTTTCTATCTTGGTAAGAAAAGTCACATTCTGACATTTTAGGATGTTAACAAAACTGAAACTGTTACTCCGGCAGAATTAGCAAAAAGGTACGGCCTGGACATTTCTCTTTACTCAGAGCCTTTGGACTACCCGTTGCTGAACCAAAAGTCTGTGGAAATTAAAAATTTGTATATAGCCAAGTCAGAGGGAGTGATTGACATGATAGTTTCCTATCATGACTCTGAACAATTGTATGTCTTTGTATTATTATTACTATTTATTAAAGAAGAGCCATATTAAAAAATATTTAATTTAATGTTTATTTTGAAGGTTGACAGTATTTATTAATCAGATCAAAGGACTGTCTGGTGTTGGACCTTCAAGAGAGGCATTTTCACCGATGCTAAAACTTACAGTTCTTGGTGAAAAGAAACAAGTGAAAAACGAGAAAAAAATTGCTCCCAATTTGAACCCCAATGTCAACCAATATTTTACATTTTACGTTAAAGACAAAGATTCTAAAACATTACGGTAAGGATAAATGGAAGTTAAATATATGCAAGTTAAAAAAAAAAAAAAAAAAAAAATAAGGGTATGTGTGTTTAGATCTTAAAACAAATATTACCAGCATGAAGTAAAAAATCTGCAAAATGGCAAATAATGTAAATATATGCCATCATTTTCTATGACTTGAAACCATCTTGGTACCAGACTAGATTCTAATTAGAAGCAAAAAATTCATTTAAAAAATATATGCCATAAACCAGGTTGTTGGGTTGAAAATTCAACTAATTTGGTTTTGAGGATGTTAATCTGTTGTGTTGTCATATTGTAGATCAATTTAGGATATAATTGACATGATTCAGGACATTTGTAGGCTAAAATTGGACAAGCTAGGTCTTGCCAAAATACATAAAGTTCAGATAGATTGCCTTCTATCCAGAAACAACTCAAAAGAACAATTAAGTGAAAAGTTCAACCAAACACCGTTTGAATGGCTTGTATTATACCTCTCAACGTCTAAGGTCCCACAAGCTTTAATCATGTAATAGCAACAAGAGAACATTTTCAACAACAGTTTTTGGGGGGAAGGGAAGTCAAAAATACAATAAACCAGTCAGGTAGTATTCAGACAATTTTATTTCCACACTAGACCGCTTTCAAGATAGTAATCTACAAACAAGGCAAGTCAGCCACATCTCTTAACTCTGGGGATGAGCAAGAGGGCAATTGATTGATTGAGCAACAAGAGGATAGCTTTCTGGATCCTAGATTTGGCTTGCTAGCTAAGTCCCTGACGGAATGTGGCTGATTTACTGAGTCCTTAGGTTGACTTGTGTCCTTGCTTTGGCTGACCAAGTTCATCATCCTGTCTGTTGCTTCCAAGACACTACTACATAGGGCTGCTCTTTGACAGTCGATTCGTTTTGGCCCTGGACAGTTGACACCATTATCTTTGACTGACCATGAGCCACTGACTGACTTGATAGGCCCCTTTTATACCAATTTCCCAACCACGGTAGAAAAGGAAAATCAAAACAGTTGTATCTGCCAGATGGTGATCTTCCTTCCTTAAATGAATTCTAGGTTTGTGGGAAAGGTGTGGGTGATCCGTCAGATGTACGATCTTATTTCCAACATGCGCTTGAAATTCCTCACACCTATTTTTTAACTTGTATTAACAACTATTCTTATCTTATGCTAAGGCAGGGATTGACTTACAATAATATAAAATAGCAAATTATCAATGTCAAGCTCATTTTTCCAATCATTGAATGGAATAGCTAGAAACTGAATACTCTTGATATCACACTTTTAAGTCACTATAATAATTAATTGTGTTGGCTTTATAACAACATTTAATTTTGTTTATTTATTTATTTTTTATTTCAAGAGTGTCCATCTTCAATTCAAATTTCTCAGGAAGGAATGATGCAATTGGTCATGGGCTTTTGAACTTGAAAGGAATTAAAGACGAACAGTCGATTACACTGAAGATCCAGAGACCTTCTTATGTGAGTTTCTTCACCTTTGCTTTAGTCAATGGAAAGACAATTTTTATGACAATTAAATCATTTCAGATTGGGAATTGTCCTGCAATGCTTAGCATGTCGTTTTGTTTCGAAGGGGGTGTATTTCATTTGACTTTGAACCAAATTTTCAACCTTGCTTCAAAATTCAGTAAGCTCTTTTTTTCAATAAACATTCTCTCTACAAATTACACACAATAAATAAACCATTTTTTAATTAATTAATTTTTATTATTATCATTTTTTATTGACATTTGCAGAAAAGTACAAACTCCAATCAAAAATGTCGCATTATAGCAGCTCGAAAAAAATCAAAGAAAAGGTGACCCCTCTGCCACCAATTGAGGACGAATCGAACGGCATCCATCTAAACCATTATATGAAGTTCAAGATCGACTCTTCGGGCCTGAGGCACGATTACATTCTCATTTCGATCAAGACGGTCGAACTGGCTATTTTCAAGAAGAATGAAAAGACAATTGGACGCTTCTACTTAGGGCCTGGATTTTACTACAAGGACAATACCTTGACCCCTTGGGGCAGAGCAATTCTCCATGGGGAAAAAGTCAATTATAGTTTCAAATTGTACTTGTGATTAAAGTATACTTCATATAATAATTCGGAATTATTTTGTTTTCAAACTGAATTATATGCAGATATATTTGATTTGCTTTAATAATATTATTCTTTTAATACATAATTTTAATTGCATTACTTAATTTTTTATATAATAAATTTTTTTTAGAATAACGATATAATTTTTATTTTTCTTATTATCTTGTGTCTTAAAGCAAACCCCTCAGAAACTACACTAAGAGAATTTACGAAGTAAAGAAACATTAGACTCAACTCTCTAGATTCTGAGGTCATGGGTTCGATTCCCACCATCGCTCCTGGTCCTTTTTTCAAACAACCCATCACTCAACTATATATGATGAAATAATCATTCAAATCATACTCTAGTTAAAACACAAACTCTTGAGGCTGTTTAAAAACACGACCAAAATATGAACAAATCGTTAGGGGAGTTTGCCTAAAATCTTGAAAGAGTTTATACTGACAAAAAATCCTCTTAAGATTGGGTATCTATTTAAGGCATATTGGCGTGTAAAAAAATAACAAAAATTAGTTACTGAATGCATCAAAAATCTCCAAAACCTGGGGAAATACAATAACCTGATATCTTGTGTACTAGGACAGGAAGGAATTTTGGGTAAAAAAAAGTAGACACTGGCCAGAGGGATAAACTGTAGAGGTGCTAGACAAAGTAAGCCCTAAAACGACGCTCACCATGACTGCAGACTTGCTGCTACAGTTAAAGAGGAGTGACTGTACCAGTCACTTACATCTGAGAAAACATTTACACAACATGAGCAGATTCAATGATCTTGTTTGAAAGTTAAGGTATGAGGCGGAAAACAGTCACCCATATAATCTTCAAATGTGAAGCAATCTCTTAATGGAGACGACCTGGGATAAAAAGAAAACCCAGGGAATGGAGTTGCAGCAACAACAGTCACTGTCCTAGTACACCTTAAGGGAAGGATCGAGTCGATTGCACTGAACTAAGGAAGTAGGACAATAAGCTAGAAGCTGTAGTGCTTGGCGATCAAAAAAGCCCAACTTACTAATATCCTTCATCATATCTTGTGTTAATTTGATCTTCCGACCCTCAGTTACTCTCCCTTACACTGGGGGGGGGATTAATACATACTTCATTATCGTAAAAAAAAGTACATTATAAAAAGTTTCCAGTTTTCTTTTTATTCATCACTGTGCTCAATTTTACATGTAGATATAATCTAAGTCTTTGGAATGTCTAAAAAACCGGAAGAAGTAAGGAATTCTCTATTAAAACAGGAGTAAAGTAAGGCTGTATCCTAAACCCCCTGTTGTTTTCCTTTACCTTAATTTTAGAGTTTTAGTGGATGAACTAATGTTAGGCATTCCCAGAATAGCAATATGAAGGTGGAGCAGTCTTAAGCTTTTAGTATTCTTTCACTCTCTGGTAATATACATCTGGACACCTATTAATCCATTCTTAAGTATAAAAAATGAAATATGATATGAGTTTTATCACTTTTATAGTAATAATTCGAAGTTAAAGTGAAACTGGATAGCTGAAAATAGATGTGTAACTCATTTTACATTAAGCTAAAATTACTATTACTTAAAAATTAGCTTATTTCTAATTATTATTATTGTTATTTTTTTAACGAGGGTTCGCAACGCCTAAACCGTTGCGGCCACCGACGCCCCCTCTAATAATTGTTATAAATTAAATTGTTAAATTAACAATTTAAGTATCACAGTTTTGAGTGTTGCGTGTCCCAATAATGGAGAACTTTCAACATAGAGTTCTTCCAGCATCATGATTCATGATCAGCATCATGATGATTGTTGCGTTGCAGCAACCATTGGTGAAAATCATAACCTCCTTGTTCGAGCCTGTCAACAGGCAACTTCATGAGCACATGGTTGTTTATACTCACCTCTTTGTAATTTTCAAATGAAATAAGAAATCTGTTAACGGGGTAGGCATTTTCAAATTTAAATTTAACTTTTTATGATTTTATACTAACAAGATACAACAGAATCGGTGCGTTTGTCTGATATAATTCTTTAAAGATTTAATAGACAAATGTACAAGCTGGAGTTTTTATGGAATATAAGTGTAATTTGATAAGCAACATCTTTTTTTCAGGTAATTCGAGATGGTTCTTCTCAGTCCTGAGGAGAAGATTTACATTGTACATGGAATCGAGGCTAACATGAGGGTGGACGGAAGGGAGCAGCTTCAGTTCCGGCCGATCGAGGTCGAGACCGGACTCATGCCGAATTGCATGGGCTCAGCCAGAGTGCTTCTTGGTAAAACTGATTTAATCGCTTGCATCTCAGTGGACACGATAACACCGTTGGTAGAGAGGCCTGATGAGGGCAAATTGGAATTTTACATCCATTTCTCTGGCATCACCTCACCCGAATTTGAAGGCCGTAAGGGTGAGCAGAAATCGGATCAGATCTCGACTATATTTAACAAACTTTACTCTAGCGTGCGGCTCAATAGCCTGTGTATTGAACCGCGCCTTAAGAGCTGGAAGCTTAACATCGACGTGTGCGTTCTATCGCTTGATGGAAACCTTTATGATGCAGTGTCTTTTGCAACGAAAGCCGCTCTTTCTAGCACCAACATTCCGAATATGATTGTAACGAATGAAGACAAAGGTGAGAAAGAGTTCAAAATATCGGAAGACCCGTCTGATACCTGGGTGCCTGATATTTCTGACATTCCTTGCTTCATAACTGTCTCCAAAGTTGGTGAATCATTCATCGTTGATGCGACCAGCAACGAAGAACAGTGCACTACATTCAGCTGTGTTGTCGCTGTCACCGAATCAGGTTTGATTCAAGCGACTCTCAAAGTCGGCCCGGGAAGCCTTCAGCCTGGTACTTTCCTCACAGCCTTGAACCAAGCTGTCGAAACTGGCTTGATCATGAATAAAGAATTGAAATCTATTCTGGCAAAGGAGTCAGAAATCGCATACAGAGAAACTGTCGGGTTTCTCAATTGAAAATAATGTAAATCTTTAATTTTGTATATTAATTTCTTATTTTTGTAAATAAAAATCAATTTTACCCAGAATTTCATTTCTTTAGCACTTTAATAGTTAATACCTTTGTTTTAACCACTTCATTAACATGTTGGCTGCAAACAAGTGTCTGCCCAAGGATGTTTTTTGTTTTTAACTGTTCTTATTTACTTGTTTGGATATTTATAATAATTAGTTATATTCTTATATATTATACAATCATATTTTTTATGCTTCCTCATTGCGTTAAAATAGATATTGTATAAATAAAACAAAAAATTGATATAATCAACCCAGATGCGACCAGACTTGGTGAAGCCTTAAGGAGGGCTGGAATGACATGGTAATGTTAAACGAGCTGGGGAACTAATCCACTCCACCGTCCTCGTCTGGCTAACAATGTGTTGGTTGTTTATTCCACCATACCTTTACCAAGCTAAGTTCTTAGAACTTACATTGAGATATTGCCAGTTCTTGCCAACACTTCATTGTTGCTCCCTTCAGATTGTCCATGGTGGAATTGTATGCATTGCAACATGCACTCGAGGTGATTCAAGACAATGGTGGATCTGCTTACCTTGAATGCACTGACTAAGTAAATGCAGTAACATCTGTTTGTGATGTCCTCCATTGACCCTACGTTCATGTTCTTGTTGGAGAGACCATAAACTGGAGTGTTTCAGGAAACTGGTCCATATATCCGAACGCTGGTTTGGTGGGTAACAAAAAGGTGGCTAAGACCAGGACGTCTCAACCTCCGGATTTAGCCACCGCAATAAAAAAAAACTATTAGTGGCATTGTTGGTGGGATTGATTATCCCCCTCATTAAGAATAGGCCATGCAAGATTGACATACAGACACTTTTGGGCCAAAGCTCGCATATAGAGAAAGGTTTCTCAATGTTCAAATAATTGAAGTGTACCATGCTTTGGTTCCATATAGAGAACGTGTAGGAATGCCACCCTATATGAGAACTGTACTTGAGCACAGCAGCAAGTGTTGGGCCCTATTTTTTATAGTTTACAGTGCTGATAGTTTTGTGTCACCTAGAGTAAAGGTATTTATTAGCCTGAAAGAATAATGAATGTGTGAGGGCCAATCGGCAGAATATTGATTGATGGGTGATGTAGGAATTCCACATTACTTAGTAAGGGGATGAATGCAAATAAGAAAGCATGTAATTAAGTGTATGAGTGAATTTAATAATAATGCAGAGGTCTAACCCTGGAGGGGTAATTCTCAAGTCTTGCCATTAATTCGCTGTAAAATATAAAAGCTTTATTGCCGATGTACTGTGTACATAAATCAATAACTATTTTTGACTTTTATCCATTTCCTTTTGACCCCAAAAAGTAACCATTTTTTAATAACGAGATTTTACTGGTGTATTTTCAGGCAATGCTGCTAAATAAAAATTTGTTAAGTTTTGAATGTAAAATTCGCTGAAGGTTTTAATGTTTTAATCTCTCTGCTGATCTTCATAATTCTCCTCTGTTTCCACCTTGGAATGTAGTGCAATACCACAGAGCTGTTCAACAAAATGTCACAACTGGGTTTACTGGTCAAGGGGTAAAAAATACAAACAAATAAAGCTCTCCGAGGCATCTGTACTCGTAATCTGTAATGTAAACAAGAGACAAACAGTGCTGATTTTCACATGGTCCTTTACAAAATAGGCTTTAAATATATAAGTAAAATATTATTGTCATGTTTTCACTTAGAACCTTAAAACACTCAAACAGCAACAATGTCAAACACAATGACTTCAATGTTTGGTATTAGTTATCTTTGCAATCATGTAATTGACACTATACCATCAATATCAAGTATCTCATGCATATTAAGATGACTGGTTATGTTGAATGTTGTTTATTAAAAAATAAATATATATTAGAGTTGATGATGGTAAGTGATCCTGTACCGTTCATCATAAATAACTATTGTATATGTTTTGTAACCAATAAAACTTATTATTTTCGGAAAACACATTGTTGGAAGAGAAAAGTACAGTAGTGTTCATTATTTTTTTATTTGCTGAATTAATCCACACAATATTAAACAAACATAAAAACTAAACGTAAAATATAAAGATTCCATATTATGCTGAACTAATTGTGGCTGTTTGAGCATTAAGGCAGGTAAAAATAAACTGGTGATAACTAATATGTATAATTTATTAATTTTTGTAGGAAAAACAATAAAAATATAAAAGATAACGATAAAAATTTGATGTTTTACTTTTCTTTTACAGACATTAATCCATAACATTTTAAAATGAAGTATTAACAACTGGCTTTGATTGAAACCAATTTTGATTTAAAACTTTTTGTCAACTTTTACAAAATAGACAAAACTAAGATAATATGGCAACTTATTTAAAATATTAAAATTTATAATCTCAACCATGTAAGTAAAAACTCAGCCATAACTACATTATTTTATTATTAATTACTATTATTTACACCGATTATTACTGGGCAGTTTTTAAATAATACAGTTTTAAAAATACATTTTAACAGACCTCTCCAGTCTTTGTATTGAGATGCAAATTTTTTATTTATTTTTAATTTTTACAAAATTTACAGACTTCGTTCTGTTTTCTAGATACAAAACTAATGTAACTATTTCTCTTTGTTTTATTTGTTAATCTTCTATATTTACAAAATACCTCTTTTTTTAATCATTATTTTAGAAATTATGACCATAAATCTAATAGTTGCAAGAGGAAAATACACTTCTGGTTCAGTAACAGTAGCGTTTTGTTTTTTAAATTATTTTTTATTACATTCAGTCATTTCAAATTGCTTGCAAGGCATCTGCTAAAACCCTCAATACTGACAACAATCCGAATGTTTTCACGCATACATTTGCAATACTTTCCTCAAAAGAAGATTGAATGTGAGAATCAGGGAAGGAAGTGTAGTTCTAAGTTTCGATAAGAGCTGACTAGCTGAAAATTCTTAGATTTAGAAATACTAAAATACTTGTTTGAGTTTTAAATCAAAACCCTTGATCCATCAAGAATCGTTTACAATCAACTAATAATGGAGTGACCATCACTCAGTAACCGTGCTCATTCATAATAATCTTATGTAAGTTAATAATTAAGAAACTAGTAAAGATTAAAACAGTATCCAAGATTGATCCTTAGCAATCAATAATAACAAGTTGCAAATATACGATTGTTGTATAAATTTTTAAGTGATAGATTCAAAATTTTAACCCTCAACACTTAAAAAATATTCATTCATATATATATTCATTTATCTATATTTATGATCAAAAATTTTAAAATAGAAATACTTAAAAACTTTTTTTTAATGGTATTGAAATTAAATAAGATTGCACTATTCTTTGTCTGTTCAAATACAGGGAAACAGAATGCAGAAAAACAGAATTTATCACAGTTTTCAACTAGCAGAATATACAAAAATATTTACCCTAGAGAAATATTCAATGAGCCGTTCCTCGGGATTTACCAAAGGATTTAGTTTCAACTGAAAACTGTGAGAAGAAAAATAAAATCCTTTTATGTATTCTTTGAAGCTCAAAAGTTCTGCTGGCGCTTCCTTTTCTGGTCCATCGCATCTAGGATTGGCTGCCTCTTTGTCTGGTACAGTCGCCTCAGCTCATCTATCTCCCGTTCCATCTCTGAATCCAGAGTCGACATCCTGTGCTGAAGCTCTTCGTAACTCAGACATTTTAACTAAAATTAAATGAGAAAATTTAGTAAAAAAAAAATGAGTGGAAAGATTAAGCTTTTCATAACCTTTAATGATTAATATTGCTTCACAAAATTGATATTAAATCATATTTTCAACATTAATTCATTATCAATTGACTGCACTAACTTCTATTTTTTTTTTTTTTTTTTTTGAAAATTTAATTTCAATTCATTCTACATGGACGCTGTCCTATTATTAAAATTTGTTATTCGCTTCTATATTTAAAAACAAAAATGTATTTGGAGCTGCACTGAACAAAATAAAATTACTATTTCGGTGTCAATTTGATCAACAGATCATGATGATGTTAAATTTCACTGACAAAGGCTACAGGCATGGGATCTCTGATAATGACTTAACTAGATAGAAAAATGTAGTGACATGTTCAAGAATCAAGGTTGTAAGGAGAAAAAATATCAGTTTTTCTGCCTTTGTTATGCCTGTATTTCAAACTTATTCTATATAAGCAAATTTTATTAATATAATAATTTTTTTTAAAATCTAGGATAAAAAAAATAAGTAAGATTATATTAAATAAAATCATATAATAAAAAATTACTTTCTTGGATGAGTAGAGACTTTTCCCCCAGAAAATTAAACTATCGTTGTTTGTTGTATTCCTACTCCTGAACAAGAAGAAACAATAGTTTAATTTTCCGGAGAAAAAGGACCTCTCTTTCTTATTTACATACCATTCATTCAGTAAGAACAATGGAGTATTCAATATTCCTCCATCACCATTTCTCACCTATTATTAAATTAATCTAATTGAGAATCGATGGGGTACTCAATATACCAAGGGCCCTCTCACACTACACAATCACACCAATAAATATATTCACTCTCAACACATGCTAGGGACCCAAAACTATTAGTACTATTTACAATAAAACAGCCTTGTTTCTTCCAAGAATCGGAAGAAAGGACCCACATACTTGCTACCATGGTCAAGTACATTCTCACATTGGGTTGCATTCCTACGTGCTCCATATAGATATGAGCCAAGAAATTGCCCCCTTCAATTAGATGGCACAAATTGAGCAACCTTTCTCTACATAACGGACAAGTGGGCTTTGGCCCAAAAGTGTCTGTGTGTCAACCTTGTATGGCCTATTCTACCAGACCCTTCTTTTACGAGTCAGGTCCTCTGAAGGCTTCCTATCTACAGTGCTTTTGATAAACCACCAACACTGCCACTTTCTTTTAATCATGTTTTTTTATTATATTTTTAGCAGGGTGACCGGATTGTAGTGGTTAAGTCCGTAGGTTGGGACATCCTGGCCTATTCGTTACCTTTCAGCTCTATGTGTCCAGGTACCCAAGCAACAACCACAGTTTTGCTGAAACTTGCCAGTTCATAGTATTTCTCCAACAAGAACATGTTGATAGGATTGACTGAGGACCTGTCACAGTAACTACCCCGAGGGAGTCGATGCAGACGAGTAAGCAGAGCCACAACCCTCTCGAATCACCTTAAGCACATGCCAAATCACATAAAATTCTGCCGTGTAAACATTATTGTGCAGTGGGAGAGATCCCAATACACACCCTCACTGGTCATCTGTGAAGAAGAGATGAAATTTGGTGAATCTCGATGAAAGTTTCAACAACTTAGCTTTATGGTGAAACAGACGACGACTAAGATGGCGAGATCAATCTGGACAAGAATGGCTGGAAGGACCCAATGCGGAATTGGGTGTTACCCAGCTTGAGTACTGTTCCAAGAGTCATCCCTGCCCTTCCTAAGGCTTTGTCAAAGCATATTCCTAAGGGCCGTGTCCAGGTCTTAAGTTGCTCGTATATTCAGCTGTTCACGACGATTTGCAAAAGCATTTGCCCAGAATAGAACAGGGACTGCCGGATGAGGGTCTTTTGGTGTTTGTAACTGTTTATATTATTATTATGCAAGTCTTTATGACTAAATGTAAGATATTTAACATGATATAAACGTGTACTTTTAACATTTAATACAATCTTACTTACTATTTTTTTATCCTAGATATAAAAACTCAACTGATTTATTGCAATACGTCCAAAAAAGTACCTTTGAACATATTTTATTTAATATAATTCTGCTTATTCAAGTGCTAGATAAAAAACAAAAAACAAATTGGCTTATAATACAGAATAAGATTGAAATACATGCACAAAAAAGGCAGAAAAACATATTTAAAAAAAAATCAATTAATTTTTTCCTCAGTTCCAATGGGCATTAGCAAGAATAATTGGGCACGCAAATTCGGTGATACCACAATGGTAAATTTCCCTTGAAATTTACTAAAAAAATCTAAACATTATTTTGTTGTAAGTATATTTAAAAATAAATGTAAATAGACATTTCTTAGCCCCTTCATGGAATCAGTTTCTAGGAAAAATACTAGTAATAAAAAAAAGTATATTGGCTTACTCAGATCAGAATACAACAAATATAAAAGCGCAAAACCTAAAAACTTTTTACCTACGCTATAAAACTCATGCAATTTGATAAAACTTATAAAAATTAAAATAGTTACATCCTTGTACATGAATTGCAAACATATAATGAAATAACAAAAAGAAATGTACATACAAACTCAAAGTCGCCATCCATAAAAGCTGAATGGAACTTAAACTGATGTGAATCCGAAGGGTAAAGCGTTTCATCCCTCTGGCTCTGCTCAGTCATATTTACTACGGATGCCCGCCTTTCGTCTAAATCCTGTTATTAAAACAGCAATACAGCTACCAACAATCATATAAACAAAAAAACAAAAGGAAAAATTTCAAAAATATTATGGCATGCACTTTCTGAACATGCAAGTCATGCTTCGGTTAATAAATGCATTTTTTCTAATTAACTCCGTACCTGGGATATATGAGTCATTGACTGCACATCACCTTGCATCAGTTTTGCATTGACCTGACCATTCGCCTGTTTTAATAAGTTTAATTAATTAATGATTATGTTAATGAGGGACATTATATTTTTTTACAAAATCTTATAAAAAGCTTATTAATGATTTTTTAACCTCTAATTGAACTTCCACCAATTTATAACTTCACAAACACTCAATAGCAAATGAGTATTTTTGGTTATGTATATATAGGAAAAAAGTATTATAAGAATAGTTATCACCATCATTTTTTTCTCAATTTTTATTACAATACTTCTAAATTAATTGAGATTGGTTAGTTTTTCCTAGCAAATTGTTAAATATTAAACAACAATACCATTATACTCTCAGCTTCCTTTTTATCAAAGTGATCTAAGAACAGTGGTCTATATTTTTTTCCGGATTCCCCTGGGCCTGTGTCATGTCCTAAAACAGATTTTTTTTTACAATGATTACACTTATTTTTAAAACATCAGAGACAACATACTTTTCATTGTACTTTCATCTTCTGTGTCACTATTGATCACCATAGTGCCGAGACCTTCTGCTAGGGAGTTATTACCCTTGACAAGTGTCTTATCACTTTTTAATGTTCCATCGAGATCCCTATCCGGAACAAGGGTTGCACTATCGACATCATCGTAGTGAACAAGAGTACCACTGTTATTTCCTCCTTCATCATCCTGTAAAAATAAACGTAAGTAACCACAATTTAATGGATATTTTCTTCATGGCTTACAGAATCGGTCACAGCTTGTTTATGAAGAGCGGTATTTGCAGCGCTAATTCTTGAGTTTTGATTCTCCCTGATTTCCCTGGCCTCCAGAATCATTCCGTTGAGTATACTTGGAGGTTTGGCATTTCCTGAATTACAGTTTTTATTAGTATGCTTCCATAATCGATAATTATGTTTCATTACCTATAAATTCATGTTGTAGCATTTCCGTCGCAGTCGCCCTTTCTTCTGGGTTTTTAACTAGGCATCTGGAGACAAAATCGATGAATTCAGGACTCCACTGGTCAGGCTCTCGGAAAGAAGGAGGAGGTTTAGTCGGTATCATAAATATCGCACGCATCGGGTGGATATCACCATACGGGGGTTTTCCTTCAGCCATTTCCAAAGCCGTAATTCCTGCCAAACCAGACAGAATTCTATTAATGTTCCATAAGAAATGTGGAATCCAAAATCTTTACCTAAACTCCACATATCAGCAACACAATCATATCCAATTTCTTGAATAACTTCTGGCGCCATCCAAAACGGAGTTCCAATGACTGTATTTCGTTTTGCCATTGTGTCCTATTAAATTAAAATTGATAAACAAAAAGAAAATTAAATAACACAGACAAAAGAGAAGCAATCAACACGATAGAACAGAAAGATTTTGGACGTAATCCTGAAGAATATTTTTTTTTTAAATTGTTTTTAAAATCATTTAAACTTAATAAAATAATGTATTTAATTTATATTTAGAGCTTTTTTTGCTGTCACAATTCCCACTGGCTTAAAAAAAAAGTTTTTTATATAAGAGGTAAAATCTTTATCCTCAAATAATTTATTACAATTCAATTTTTTATTTAAATTTATTACTCGCAATTTGTTCAAAATGAGACCAAACAAGTACTTACAGTAAGCTGGCCTGCCACACCAAAATCTGCGAGTTTTGCATGCCCTTCTGTATTGAGTAAGATGTTGCCAGCTTTGATGTCTCGATGTATTTTCCTCCTTAGGTGAAGGTATTCTAGGCCTTTCAGTGTATCACAAAGAATCGTCGCTATTTCATCTTCAGTCAGTGTTTTCTTCCTAAGTCTCATTATGTCAGAAACAGACCCTGCTCCACAATATTCCATTACAATCTTTAACAGAAAAAAAGAGTTAAAATTAGAAAATTTTATTTGCGTATTAAATTTTATTTGTGTATTAAATTACCCAGAGATCAGTGTTTTTGAAATAAGATCCGTAATATTTAACAACATAAGGGCTATCACATTGTTGCATAATGGATATTTCTTTTATTATTTCTTGTAAATCCGTATCAACAGGTACTTGTTTAATGGCCAAAACCTGGCCGGACTCTTTATGCAAAGCTTTATAAACACTTCCATATGAGCTGAAAACATTACAGTTAAAGTATATGTCTTTTTGTTTTAAAATAATATAGGAAACTAATAATTACCCTTCTCCCAGTTTGCATATAATGTCAAACACTTCTTCAGGCTGCCTTGTTAAACTTTCTTCAGACAATTTTTTCAGCTCACTAGAGTACAATAAAAATCAAGTTATTATACAAAGAAATAAATTAAGTAAACTAAATGGCTAACTTAAAAATTTGCATTTTTTTAAATATCAGCTTTTATATTTAAGAGAGAGATGAGCAAGTGGCAAATTTTAGGATAGCTTAAGCCATAAGAGGAATCACAGCCATCTACACTCTTAAGATAAGCTAATCTTGTCTAGCTGATTGAATTCTATAGATGTTCTTTTACATTATTATTTTTTAACAAAATTGGGAGGTCCGGATAGCCCACGTGTAACATAGTCCAGGATTAAGAAATACTCCGAAGCACAAATGTCTATTTATTTATTTAACAAAATTAAAAAAAAAAAAAAAAAACCTAGGATAAAATGAATCTATACTGCGCCTCTCACCTTTTCTCCATAAACTTAAAATAAGAGAAAACTGTCAAGCAGATGCCACACAAACTTCAAGCTACTAATATGCATGACAGTTATGTTCTACGGGTTAGCCTATCTTACTAATTTCTTTAATATTTGGTACAAACTTTAATCTAAACAAAAATATTTAACCACCATCTTTGAACATCTCCTCCTTAAAAGACTAATTCCCGTATTCAACTGTGAAAATTTAATTCCAAACCATCAATTTGCATTCTGATCCTTCCATTCTACTGTTCACCAGTGCTTCAGAGTAGTCAACATGACATCCTCGGTTCTAGAAAACCAACAATATTGCTGAGCCATATTTGTATGTTACAGTACCCTTCAACAGAATGTGGCACCCCGGCCTCCTTCACAAGTCATAAATGTATCCTCCCTCACACCTACCATCTCATCCAGAAGACTTTCCTCTCAGATTGATTATTTAAAATGAGAATCAGATCGATTTTTCATCCGTCACACCAATCAAAGCTGGCATTCTACAAGGAAGTATCCTAGGTACAATACTCTATACCATATACACTGCTGACATACCTACACATCTAATCACATAACTTACAACCTATACGGACAAAACTACAATCCTATCTACACAATCCAATCAATCCACATCTGAACCTTATTACCGACTGGTGCACTCGGTGGTGTATCAGGTTGAACGAGAAAAAGCCAAGAAGTAACATTTATGATCAAACTGAAGAACATCAGAATACAAACAAGGTAAAATCTCTATCCAACCAAGTCTGCTATCTTACATAGCAGACGTACCCCATACAACATTAAAAAGACAACTTAACAAAAGATATGAACTACTCAGACACCTTCTGGGACTAAAATCAACACTAAGCATACAAAAAAACTAACCACTTACAAACAAAACATTCAAAAAACCCATTTGTGAAGGAGCTGATCCGAATACGCTTCCTCAATTTCCACCCTAAACTATCTCTCTACTCTAACCCACTAGCTCAAGCTCAAATTCAACGCCCCACCATTATAATCCTTCAAGTTGCCTAAAATTACAATACCCTTATGACTCCTATCTTACCCTCCTAACTAAATAAAAGAGTTCCAGCATTGGTTGGTTTCTCTCCCCTCTGTCTCCTAGTCTGGTAATAAATTATCTATTATGTCTATTTGTTCAGTGTATATTTATTTTGTACAGACAGCAACAAATAAAATTAATTTTAAACATATATCAAATTTTAATAACATTAAAAAAATAAGCGAATTTTAAAAGTAATAGATAAATCATAATTTTTAAATTGTTTTATCAAACAAATTCTTGTTAATTGCGTATTTTCTTCATTTTGTTAGTAAGTTTTATAGTGTAAGTGGTCTTTTTGACCTAAAGTTCTACTCGTAAGCTCGTGATTTTTGAGCAGAATGGGTTTTCCAGTTGTGTTTTCCTTCGAGTTGTTATGGCAAAGCAAGAAAATCGACCTTCTTGCTTTCATTAAATATGAATTCGACCGTTTTAACTTTAGCGCCGTTCCCTTTTTAATATTCAAGGGGGTGCTTATTCAAACTCTTTCACGTCCAATGGCCCTTTCTTCCTCGAGGGGGTATTTTTAGATACGGGTGAGAATCAAGCGTTCAGTTTCATAAGGAAACTAAATAACAAAAACCTTCCTTTGCACAAAATATAAATTGTATGCTTTCCTCTAAAGAGCTCAAGCCTGCAGTTGAGCAGTCTACCATCATTTTGGCCCGCTAGATCAAGCATTTCGGCTTCTCGTAGTTTTCAGTGGTAGGTTTGTGGGTTATTTTAACAGTTGTGTCCCTTATACATTAGGCATAACACACAGGCCGATCAAAACAGCAAGGATAAAAAGACAAAAATAATCGGAAATGACCAAAATATTAAATATAAACGAATGTTTAAATGTCCGAAATTCGCAACCTCGATCCTAAGAAATTGATGTTTATGTTTGAAAAGCTAAAACCGTATAATTTCCACAGATTTCTGCTATTTGATCGATTATCGCCTCAAAAAATAAAACAACACGTTTAAAGTAAAAAGAGAGGGATTGACAAGTAAAGATTAAATCCAAACAATTGCAGTGTTTTCATTTTTGATATACAAGCGTAAGTTTAACAGAAGCTTATTAACAAGAGCGAGATTTTCCGATAATCTAGCCTGCCTAGTCTTGCAGTTTTGTACGTCAATACGTTTTTGTGCGTAGCATCAAGGATATAAGCAGGGCGAGGAAGATGCACAGACTAAAACGATCAAGCTGCATTGTATTGCCTTACAATACAACCTGTCTATTAGATAATATTGAATCTTTAACACCTCTGCAATCACAAATCAATAAACAAATCTCTTAACTATTTATGTAATAAATGTCAGACGCCCTTTAGTTTAAAGCAATCCACAACTGAAAGTGTGTAAATGACCAAAACACGAACTTATTCTATTCTTAAATCATCTATTCCATGACAAACGTGACTCCGCTATGGAAAAGCTTCTGAACGTTTGTTGGGGTGAATTAATGAAAACTTCCACACTTATCAGTAGTCTAGGATCAAAGAAAAATGCTTTCTATGACAAAAAAATATGTTTATGTTTTTATTTAATCCTAAACCGTCGCATAGTTGGACAGTGACAGCCGATTCAATTATAGCAGCGTGTTGTTGACGTCAACAATTTTGACAAACGGACCTGATTTCATAACAACTTTTATCTTCGTAGGGGACAAGGATACAGATTGCAGCCTTGCAGTATTGATGTTACATACCAGAAGAATGAAGCCCGCTTCCTTTCCTCGCCATTAACTCTAACTATTTGTGTATCAAATACAATGTCAGGCGTGCTTTAACATTAACGACAACTAGGGTGGTGAAATGACCAAAACCCGGACTTATTCTCTTACGTCATCTATTCCATTATGAACGTGACTCCGGGTTATGGAAAAGCTTCTAAACGTTTGTGGACTATGAAAGGGTGAATTATAAGCCCCTAAAGACTTTCACACTTTTGAATAGTCAAGGATCAAAGAAAAATGCTTTCTATGACAAAATAAATGTTTGTTTTTAACTAATCCTGCACCGTTGCATAGTTGGACAGTGACAGCCGATTCAATTATAGCAGCGTGTTGTTGACGTCAATAATTTTGACCAACGGACTTGACTTCATAACAACTTTTATTTTCGTAGGGGCCAAGGATGCAGGCGTTGATCTGCATTGATGTAACATACCCAGTTGGACGAAGTCGTGCACGCCTCCTTTCCTTGCACGTGTCGCACGTCATCCCGGGGACGGAAACACCGAAGATGCCTCCTTTGGCGAAGATCAACGTCCCGTCGGAGTTCATCACCTCGCACTATTGACAACTCGCGCCTTTCCGTTGAACCGGGAACTCAAATATTTTTAGTCACATCCCAGAGCAATAAAAATGACGAGGGCGAAAGAACCGAACAAATCGGCGGCTCTCAGAATAGTAGTCGCAGGGTCGCCCCTTGGAACGGGCCCAATCAACCCAATCTGTTCCTATATTTTCTTGGCAAATGGATAAAAACACATTACTTTCTTTAAAAGGAAACGAAACTATCGCTTTTTGTCGATAGCACGAAACAATTACAGTATATGTGCCAATTTCATTATAAGTATATATTTTTTATATTTTAATTTAACTCATCACAAACTTTTTTTTTTTTTTTTAATCACAAACTTAATTGATTATTTACGCTTCAGTCAAAAAACGGGTCAAAGGACTTGCACTCTTCGCACTCTCGGGATGACTGGCCGTTCATTTTCACATGAAAGGTCCGCAATCTACCATTCTTGACTGCAAAATCACTTCCGCCAAAAGCCCACGGTAACGTTTTATCAAGCAGGATAGCGAACTCTTTGAGGATCGAGAGTTCTAGTATATGCTTCGTTGTGACTACCTGACATAATTTCAGCAGAATATTCAGGTTTTTCCCGTTTGAAACTACAGTGTTCTCTCCGTAATCCGAACTTCGGTCCTCCGAATATTCCAGTGCTCTTAATTGGAAAAAAATTCAAGAAGTTGAGAGTGAGTGAGAATGAATGAATATTATTTTATTAAAAAAAAAATCTGACAACATTTGGGTCGCGAATGACTTTTATTACAATTAACAAGAAACAAAGAGTGTGAGTGTGTGTGAGAGAGAGAATGAGAGCGAAAGAGAGATAAAAATCTGGCAAATTTGAGTCGTGGATGACTATTATTACAATTAACTATTATTAATTACGATTAAGAGTGAAAGTGAGTGTGTGTGGGCGTTTTTCTCCGTGTGTGAATGAATATTGTTTTGTTTAAAAAAAAAAACTAGCCTATTTAGGACGTGAACGACCTTTATTACAATTAACGAGAAACAAATAGTGTGAGTGAGTGTGAATGAATGAATATTGTTTTATAAAAAAAATGTACATGGAATAATAAATAACACACCTGGCCGGTTAATTATCAAAAATTTCAATAAATTTGTATTATTATTATCTATTTAGACAAATATATATTTTTTAGAAATAGAAAAATTCTCTCATTTTTATTTTTCCTATTATTTCTTCTTTCAGAAATAATTCTATAGATATCTACCTAGAGTTGAATTTGTTGTTTTTAAAAATCTTTATATAGAATAAACTTGTGCTATTAGACTTTAAGAATTTAATTCACAAACCGACTTTATTGAGAAAAAGATCAAATCTACATGTCAATTCAAAAAAATAAATAAGAGTTATTAAGCCCTGAATAAGGAGAAAATCTACGAAAGCTCGACAAAAGTGACTGTCTCGGTTGTTTGTAAATAACCGAAGACTTTACATCGGCCTTTTGTACAATTTTGACGAATTTTATTATCTCTCCCCCGTTCGACTGCGACGGAAGTGACTACAGAAAAATCGGCTTTAAATATGAAAAATCTAGAACATAAGAAAATTATCAGTAAGGAATATCGACCAGCATTTTTGGTTTAGATGTGAATCAGGAATGTGGTCCGATGAATATAAGTTTATATAAATTTGCCAAGCATATATCGCTTTCCTCTGGGCAAATTTATGAGGTAACTCGTTATTCTTTTTGTTTAAGAAAGAGGTGTTTTTAAAAAATTATTAAAGTTCTAAATGTTTCTTGTAAATAATTGTTATTTTAATGACGGTTTGATCACTCAGGTCCGCTTCTTCTCGTCGTGCTACACGACCGATGTTTAATTTATAATCAAATAGTTTAAAACGCTAAATTTTGTAAGAAAATCAAAAAATTTTCCAGCCTCGGCATTGCATAGTGCAAGACGCTACTTTGAATTTTTTTACTCCAAGTCCAAACGTTTACAAATAATTTTTTGACAACAATCTAGGTCTAAATAAACGTGGGAGTCCTTCCTCACTTTTTGTTTCCAATTCCTGCGTTTCCTGAAGAAGGGTGCCAAAGGACGTATTCCCTTATTTGTCTAGATAACGACACGAATATACGTTTGAAACTATTATTAATAGAGAAACTATTTAGGTTGTATGGAACCATTTTTCATGTAGGATGTATTTTTTTTTTTTTTTTTTGCGAAGTGCGACAAATTAGTCATAACAAATGTTCGTGACATTGAAAATTTCCTTCAATAAAAATTAACTGATTATTTAAGTAATATAAAATTTAACTACCATAATTAATATGAATATCTTATATAAACAAGCATACTTCTTTTTAAATTACACTTTCCTAAAACGTCTTAACATGTTTTATGCTACCATAATTCATATGTGAATATTGGCCTAGAGGGGGAAAAAACGAGAGATGAAAATTGCAAAAAAATTGATAACTTTTCTAATATGCAATATTTTATTATTTCTAATAAATAAAAATATTTTAAAGAGAAACAAACTCAACTTGAATCCATAGGCTCCTAGTCTTTGCTATAATGAATAGCTCATCAGTTAATTTCTTTGAAAACATTTCAATTCTTGTGGAGGTGAATTGCATCACCTGCCGGTTTCTCCTTGAGCAACTCTTGTTAATTATTTGGCACATTTACGTTGACAACCACACAAACAAAACAGGGCAAACAAAAAGTTTGGACAACTCGACAATGATTGGGTAGAAATTTGTTTTCTTCCCTCAAGTGTACTAGTGTACATAAAGTGAGAGAGATGAATTCACTGTAAATAATTCTTGAGTAGGAAAAAAAATACATTTCAGGGTGCTACAATTTTCAACTACATATTCGTTCAATTTAACTCCCAACCGTGAACATACACCACTAATGCTTAGGTCTGATATCAGACAACACATGATACTGATGTGTATACATTAAATTTTGAAGAACAGGGACACAAACAATAAAATACAGGAGCTAAAAAAACTTACTTCAGGGGAAGAAATAAATCAATCAACACCAGTTGATTTAATTATTATAATTATTTGAGCACCATGGTATTTAATGTAATGTTTATATACTTTAACAACTCTGCAGTAGTTGCTGTCACATATCAATGTTAATTGAGCCACATCAATTTTTTAAATGTGGGTGTGATTTGTATCTTTTTTTTAATTAGATCAATTGTAGTTTGGTTGTTTCTGATCATCCTGGTTTCGATATCCACCACTGAAGATGAAGTAAGGCTGAAACGCATCTGACAGACCAGATCAGGAAGATCAGAACCAACCAAAATACAGGTTCATCATCCCTCAGACTCAAGAATAAATTTGTATTTATTGACTACCTCTATGCAAATATATCAGTGAAAAGTGCTTTTAGATTAAATTCCTAGGTGTTCTTCAGTGCTGTCTTGACTCTCAATGTTACTAAGGTTTCAGTCATAGAAGACGTTCCCATCTGCTTCTTGCAGGCACTGACAAATATTTTTCTTAGATTGCCTATTTTTCAGGTATTTCAATTTATCTTTCTACATTAGTTACAGGTAATCAACAGCTATCATAGTCAAAATAATAATAATAAATAATGTTTTGTTTACTTCCTTTATTTACTTTTGTACTGATTAATCCTATTTGCATATATTATGCCCTTCCATTCTGCTAAGCCTAAAGATCTCTTTCAGTTAATCTTTTTCCTTTGTTGATTTCGTCTGATATTATTCTTATTCTTAAATCTTTTTCAATGGTTCCAGTCAGGCATTTGAGTGAGTATGATAGCGTCAGGCTTCAATTCGCATGTGAATTGGATACTGGAAGATAAGGAACAAATTTTTTTTTACAGATGAGGTGAGAGTTGGCCTCAAATATTCAGATGGGCATAATTTCATATGGAGAAGCACAGGAGAAGGTACACCCAATGCCGTGTGGTTCCTCAGGTGGCATCCATGGTGGGTCAATGATGTTGTGCGGTGGCATTTCCTTAGACCTCGCACCAAATTGGTTGTTATGCAGGGTAGTTCCCTAACTTCACTGAGGTACTTACAAAACAATCGAAGAACATGCAGTGCCATTTGTCGCACATCGATGAGAGATTGTTGCTAATGCAGGATAATGCCAGGCCTCATAGAGCACAAATTGTGGATGACTACATGAATTAGGTTGGAAGTGAATGGATGGTATGACCAGCTCGAAGTCCAGATTTGAACCCAATCTAACCAATTTGGGGCTAACTTAAGCGGACTTACTTTTGACAGCGAAATCCAGGTCTGAATATTCTAGAATAGTAATAAACGGCTGTTCTTGATGAATGGGAAAAAATTTCTCAGAACTTTACCAGAAATCTTTTTTAAGAAATGCAGACTTCGGAGGCAAATGTATAGATGCCAAATGGTAGAAAGAAGCCTATGCAGTTATTGCCAAGAAGAAGAAGAACAAACAGTGGAACACATCTTCAGGTGGTGCGAAAACCTATGCAGGCTGATTCCTAATCTTGGAAGGGAAAAGGCGAGGCCTGAAGGGTACGGGGGCCCTTGAAAAAGCTTTGGGGTCTGGTAAAAGCCTTCAGCTTAATGAGGAACTCTAGATTAAAAAAAAATTGAAGATTTTTACAGACCAATACTGGTAGAGGTAAACCGGCCGGCTTCTGTCTAATCTAATCTATCTTAGACAAGTCAGATAGGATAATTCATATTGTTTTATATAATTGTTCTCTTTGTGTACATCTCTACTGTTCTAACAAAAATGCCATCAAATTTTTTCTTCTCTCCAGTAGATGGAAACAACTACAATTTGTAATGCTATCTATCTGTTTATTAAGTGTCGTAACAGAAATTTCTCCCTGTTTTTACTACACACGAAATTAACTCCCTTGTAATTGTCATTAATATTAGCATCTAATTGGATTGACCATTCTGTTTTACCGAAGAAGCTTTCGGGTGGCAATCAGAATTTTGGATTCAAACATAAACTCCACTAAATCACTGTACATATTTCTATTTTGTAGTTGTTATGATCAGTTTGATCAGCCAATCGTCTGATAGACGTATTTTAGCTTCTTGTAAGCAACCCGACTGCAGGTTTCTCATAGCACAGACCTCAAGAGAAAATCTCACCATGATATGTGTAAATACTGAGATCAATTTATCAACGTAAGACGAAATTAAAATACTGATAGATCTTGGAAAAGTTCAACGATACTACTAATCACTGTTTGAACAGCAAAAACTACAATGTAACTTTTAACAATTAAAAATAACGAGTAAAAATAAAAATTCTTTTCTCCAATTCATGACAATGGATGACTTAATTTCTAAATATAACACAGGAATGTTTATTTTTTATATATTTTCTCGAAATCCACCAAGGTATCGAGAACTATTCTTATCAATTGTTGATAAGTGGTTCGACTGTTGTTTGATAATAAAACGTTAGCACGACAAATGAAAGTCTAAGTTTGACAAATTACGAGACAGTAAATTATATATTTGTACTGATAATTAACAAATTATTTTAATAATAAAAAAATGTCAGGATTTGTTTGTTTTTATTGAAGAGACGAAGATGTCTTGTTTAAGGCTCGACGACTCCCAGCGGATGAAGATTTCAATTGATAATTTCCTTATTTTCAGAGAAGAGGAATCGTAAAAGAATTCCCACAGCCGGGCTTACCTTTTGGAAGACATATCTGCACTGAAGAATGAAGATCTGTCCGGGTTTTTTTTCGAGAATGAGAGGTGAAATAAAAAACTATTATCAACACAAATACGGAGCAAAAAAAGAAAAACCAGCCCTTTTAACCGTCCGTATTTACATTTTTGCCGGGCTGGTAGTGAAATTAAACACGATTAAAAATAAAGGTCGAGCCCCCCTAAAAAAATTAACGACTCGACTGAGAAGCTTGGTTAGGTTTCGGGCAAGGAATAATTTTCAATTCTCACCAGGCTACCACAAACAAAGACAAGAAATAAACCGGGAGGGTGGTAAAGGAATTATAGGAAAAAATGCCTTTCTTCAGAAATATTTTATAATAACAATTTACAAGGAAGTCAATTTTATTTTAGTCCTTTTTAAAAAACTTATTATTATAGAAAAAATAATCAACCTGATTGCAAAGTCAATCTAGAAACCTGTTACCAATCATGCGGTCTCGATCTTGAAACCTTCCACTGATAACAAATCCACCAAACAAAAATACACTATCCACAATAAAAAACAAACCGGGTACAACATAATAGAACAGATATTTAAAAAAGTCTTAAAATAACAATTTATCAGACTAAGAAGAAATGTTTTGGTTTTGGAGTAAAACAGGTTTTAGCAGAAACTTTCTCTTGAAAGGTAAGAAGTACCTGTATCTTAACTGCTGTTGAATGCTGCTTTAAATTTACATAAAAACAATTGATCTATATATGTTTCTTGTTTGTAATATTGTTCAGGATATTTCCTCCGATTGTACTGGTTTGGTTTTCCTCACTGGACATTTTCTCTGACAGTCAGGACGCACTTAAGCCCTTAGTCTCTTGCGAGATAAGGGTAAAAACTGTATGAAATTTGATGGAAGCCCTGGCAGAAGTCAGTACACCAATGTCCTGACCTTAGCATGGGTCCCTGGGCATTTGGGTCTGAGGCAATGTGAAAGTGGACATGGCCAAAAAAATAACCAATATCAATTCTCTAGGCCCCGAACCCTATTGTGGCCTAGCACAAAAAAGTGGGTCATAAGATTAAATAAAAGATGGTATATTGTCTTAGTGGTGAGCCTTCTTGAGGTTGGTGGGGTGATAAATCTGGAACTTGTTCTTTTGATATTATTTTGGTCTGTGAGATGCTTTATGTTTTTGTCTTCCTAGTTTAGTTTTGTCCACCACTGACCACGGGAAAATGCCAAAACACTTCCAATAGACCAATCTATAGGTATTTAATAAATTTAGGTGTACCAAAATTATTGGAAACTATTCAGAAATTGTGAGTCATCAACTAACGGTCACTAATCACCACACATTATTGGAAACATTTAACCATATAACCATAAAAATTTAACCATTTATACATATAATTATTTAGACAAAATTATTGGTTTATCCATCAGTGGTAAGAATCTATCATCAGGAAAAAATAAATTCTATGTTTTTCTTCGTTATTTGTTTTATTTGTTAAAATATGAAATTGTAAATGTTATTAGGTGCTATAATATGTCAAAGGTCGTCGATCGGGACTTGGTCCCCTCTTGCGACTGCTTTCAACACCAGGCCCAGCACCAAGCTCAGCTTGAGTTTCAGCAACGAGAAATCGGTAAGTGAGTCAAACAGCCTACTTCCTTCAATGTCGAAAATGCTTGAAAGAATCCTACATACTTATAAAATCATTCCTTCTCACCAAGTCGACTTCTGTCCTCATCATTCCACAATCCAACAAGATTTAAGAGTTGCTGACACTATCTCCTCTGCTCTAAAGAACAAATAATCTTTGCTTGTATGCATTTCTGAATGGGCAAGCTCTTGATAGGGTCTGGCATCCATGCATGCTTTATAAACTTAAACTCTTTGTACATACTCCTTATTACCTTATCCTGAAATCTTATCTAACTGCTTCTTCAGAGTAAAGTACAGGTAATGAGTTCTCAGAAGTCAGATAGATACAACCCGGCATCCCACAAGGGAGCATTCTTGGTCATATCTTTTATATTATATATACTCCCTACTTATACACCCTAAAACAACAAACCTGTGCATACGACAACGCAATTTTTGTCTTCTAACTTGAATCCCATCCAAGGTACCTCCAACTTCCTAAGACTGATGCAAAAGTGGGGGAGAATAGTGAATCAAGAAAAAAGTTCTCAGTGAATGTTCACATTGGAAAAACGGACTTGCCCTTCCATTGTACATCAACAACAAAGAGATACCAACTTCTATTCAAGTCAGATACTTAGGAATATACCTAGACAGCAGACTGACATGAAATTCCCATATAAGACTTAAGGGACAACAACTTAACAGAAGACTTGGACAACTATATAGACTTCTAGGGCTGAAAACCATCTTAACAGTCAACATATACTAACCTTATTCAAGATTTTTCTGCAACCACTTTGGACATGCGGAGTGGAATTGTGGGCTTCTGCCATCTAATATCCATTGCATCCAATCTTTCCAATCAAAAGTCCTCTGACAAATCATCAAAACTCCTTACTAAGTCACTAAACTCACTATGCACTATGACCTCAACATTTCTTTTGTCAATGAACTGATCCATTCCCGATTCCAAAAGTTTCCCACTGTGTCAATCCATCCTGACCCTACTGCTTGAGTCTTCCTTGCCTTTTAAACCCTCATGCTGAGTGGCCAGTGCTGATTACCTGGTTTCTCATGGAATGTGCCCTCAGGTGCAGTGCTGGAATTAGTGTTAGTGCAGTGACAGTGTGAGAAAAAAAGCATTTTGTGATCACATTGTAATATGTACTAATATATATATATATATATATATATATATATACTACTACTACTACTACTACTATATATATATAGTAGTAGTAGTAGTAGTAGTAGTAGTAGTAGTAGTATGTACTAATATATATAGCAGTAGTATGTACTAATATATATAGGGTACAAATAAAATAATTAAAAAATTACATTGTTATGATTGTTTTGTTTTCAAGGGTCTTTTTAGGAAAAGTGAGTTGAAGACATATGACGGTTTCTTCCTACTCAAAGAAAATGTTATTGCTGCAACGGACATCCTGGTCCAGGAGACTCTTGATTCAAAAAGGTCTGTTATATAAAATTGCCCATAACAATTTTTTATATCATTGATTTCATTATTATCACATTCATAATATATATGCTATAATTATTTGAGAACCAATGGAATAAATAGCTTTGTCATTTTGTGTTCAACATAATGCTACGTTTTTTAAAATATATGCTCAATCAGTTAAAATCTTCAAGAAGGAAGTAATGACATTTTAAATTCAATTAGTTTATACATTTCATTGTAAAGTTTTGCCTTGAGTTAAACTGGATTACTCAAAAGTGTAGATTGAATTTGTCCTTGTGTCTGGTAGTAATGACATGGGATAAGAGTTTTAAACTTGTCTCGGTGGTCACAGACAGTATTTATTTTTTTGTAGGCTATAACATCCAAGAACTGTTTAAATTTTGAGGAATAGCTGTCTATCTTTGTCCAAAAATCACTCACGAAGCTCTCTTTTGAAGTAGGAAAACCTTATGAAGTAGGCCCCCAGAATCTGCCATATCTAACATGGACATAAAAAGAGGCTGTTAGCAGATGAGACACAATTTCTGTAAGCCAAAACATGCAACAGTCAATTTACACACCAGGAAAAACAACAGCCAAAATGAAGGCTGTAGTGAGCTTCAATACCCAAAACCTCATGTTATCCACAATGTCCAATTGCTCACACGAAACATTAAGAAGGAATTTCAACATAACAAGTTCTTGTCCTGCAGATTACACATGATGATTTAGAATGATTGAAGTCAAACTTGTTAATAGCAAACCACTGGCTTGCACTATCAATTCTTTTAAAAACCATATAAAGGAATGAGCTTGATCCACGAAGTTGATATCATCAGTGCAGTTAGTTATGAAGCAATGGGAGGCACAAAGGTAGGAAAGGCAGGTCATTAACATAGAGCAGAAACAATAGTGGACCAAGTGTGGTTCCTTGAGACTCTTCCATATTATCATTCTTTATGGAAATCAACTGCCCAGGGCCAACTTCAAAATTAATATCAACTGTAGAGATGGTTAGTGATGTCTGTCTGTCCTCTTCAGTTATGAGCCAAACCATTGGAGTACTTAAGTACTCTTACACCATAAACCTTCAACTTAATGATAAGTATAACATGACAAACCAGGTCAAAAATTTTGTATGGATCCACGATGTTAAATATTTTTACAATGATTTCTGGTATTATGTACATGTATAAGGATTTTTTAAATCGTGTTTTTGTTTTCTGATTGCTATTTTATTATTTAGAACGAGGAAAATGGTGGATATTTTTGATGAACTTTCTGATACTCTATGTGGTGTCGCCGATCTCGCAGAATTTGTTCGTCTGGCACATCCTCAGCCACAATTTTCATATGCTGCTGAAAATGCTTGCATTGCTTTGAGCGGTTTGGTCGAAAAGTAAGAATTTCAAAATAAATAATAAAATTTGAAATTACACATTTTCTTTTCCTGCAGGTTAAACACCAATCGTGAACTTTACAATGCGTTAAGAGACACTGTGACAAATGGGGATAAAATGCCTACAACCACTGTCGATGATCACGTCGCATCATTGTTCCTGTTTGACTTTGAACAGTGTGGCATCCATTTGTCAGAAGAGAGTCGGAAAAAAGTCGTCACCCTCAATGACTACATTTTACAATTAGGCCAAAGGTTCATGTCTGGTGCAGTCAACAGCAGAGCTGTCAAAATGGATCTCGTGCCGAATCATATAAGGAATTTGTAAGTTACATTTAAATAAAAAAAATAAATATTTTTCTATCCTAATTTTTTTTTTAAAGATTTAGTTCTGAAAATGGAGATTTGGTCGTAGGTGGCCTGTACACAGATGCAGAAAACGAAGTGGCAAGAGAAGTTGCTTATAAGGTATTCCTATCACCTGATAAGGAACAAGAGTATTTGTTGGATGAGTTGCTGATCTCTAGGTATAAGCTCGCTCAACTTTGTGGCTTTTCAACTTACTCACACAGGTTTGTCAATTTATAATCGATTTTTATTCCAAGCCGTTTAATTCATCAATTTTATATAAAAATTATTTCAGAGCATTAAAATCAAGTTTAGCAGAGAGCCCGTCCAATGTCTGGGAGTTTCTTGTCTCTCTAAGTGACAACTTGAGGACGAGGGTTGATGAAGATTTCAGTTTTATGCTCAAAATCAAGAAAGAAGTTAACCCTTCAGCCACGGTAAAAAAATAAATAATTATGAATATAGCAGAATAGAATAGAAATACACTTTATTTTACTACACATACACCAAGAAGTGAGAAAGAGAGAAAGATTTAGTTTTCTAAACGCTTCACATCGTGGTTTTAACTCTCTCTGCTAGAGTTCTTTCTATAGCAAAAGTAAAAAAGAATTTAAAAATTGCAAAAAATAGGTTACTTATGAAAAAGTTGAGCCTTATAAAAGTAAAAGTAAAGAAATTCCTGTTATACAGGAGTGTTTTTACTACTCATTGGGTGACACCGGTGAGGAATCAAACCAATTTAAAATACCTTTTTCATATTGTTCACAAATAAAATTTCTTGGGCTTTTCTGGGATTCAAATGCAGAAACGCTAGAATGGCAAATATGAGTTGGGTGCCTTGTTTGTACTATCGGGTTGTCCGGAAAATAATGCAGGATTTTAAGTTTTCATTAAAAAAAATCTATATAAAATATTCTGTTTACGTTTACAGGATTACTCATTTGTATGAATGTCAACACTTATTAATCCTCTTCCAAATGATATTGTTTGTTTACCTCTGTAGCATTCCGCTACTTGGAAATAATTCAGTCATCCTTATAATGTCAAAGCGAGAATTTCGTACGATTTTCTTTTACGAGTTTAAACTCGGCCGAAGCGGAGCCCAAACGGCTAGAAACATTAACCAAGTCTGGGGCGAGGGTTGTGTTAATGAGTGCACTGTGCAAAGGTGGTTTAAAAAATTTCGGGAGGGAGATTTCAGCCTTGAAGATGAAGAAGGTCGTGGAAGGCCTTCCTCTCTTAATGATGATGTTCTGCGATCAGTGGTGGAAGAAAACCCCAAAACAACTGTTCGAGAACTTGCAGAGCAACTCAAAGTCAGTAAAACGACCGTCGCTGACCACCTCAAGGCGATTGGAAAAGTGAAAAAACTCGAAAATTGGGTTCCACACTCATTAAACGATCGCCAAAAAAATCAGCGCTTTGATGTTTGTGCATCACTTCTTTGTCGAAACAAAAATGACCCATTTCTGGCCAGAATTGTTACATGTGACGAAAAGTGGATTCTCTACGATAACACTAGACGTTCTGGACAGTGGCTCGACAAAGGAGAAGCTCCAATACATTTTCCAAAGCCCCCAACTCATCAAAAAAAGGTAATGGTTACGGTATGGTGGGCTTCATTTGGTTTAATACACTACAGCTTCTTAAATCCTGGCGAAACCATCAATGCTGAATCATACTGTAACCAAATTAATACCATGCATCAGAAATTGGCAGTAATGAAGCCCTCTTTGGTCAATCGGAAAGGGCCCATTTTGTTGCATGACAACGCTCGACCACATGTGTCACGTGTAACGTCACAAAAATTATTGGAGCTTGGCTATGAAACTTTGCCTCACCCACCCTACTCTCCGGACCTCTCGCCTACTGACTACCATTTTTTTAGACACCTGGACCACTACTTACAACACATAATATTCAAAAATCAAACGGAACTGGAAAATGCATTTATTGACTTTATCAATTCTAAAAATTCTGAATTCTACTCAGACGGAATTAATTATTTTGATTAAAGAACATTGCTTTAAAGTAACTAGTTTCTTTTTTTTTGTTTAATACCAAAATCCTGCATTATTTTCCGGACAACCCAATAGAACATATTCTAGTACATTCTGTCACACCCTGGCTGTAAAATCCTGAATTTGACCCTAAAAGGATATTTAAATTTTAAATAATTACAAAATTGTCAACAGTTTGTGTACCTATTATAGTGCCTTTAAAGAAGTATGATTGTCTTTAAAGGAAAATTAATATTATTTAAGAGATTTCAATTTTTTTTTTAAATTTTAATTTGCAGACATTACAAATAACTTCATTTCGGTAATATGTAACAATGAGATAGGAAATATTTACAAAATTAAAGATAAGAGTGGAGAAAATACCAATTGGTAATACTGCAATGTTGCTAATTCATCTGTTTAATTAATGCTCGTGTCAATATCACTTTCACTATCATTCGTAGATCTTGTAGCCATTCTCTCTTCAGTCAGTGAGAAGAGTTTGAGGGAATTTGTTGAGATGTGAGTTTTTGGATTTACAGTGGTTGGGAGGGTTTTGTGAAATTGTCGATAATGGAAGTAGATTTCATCTTGGACGAAAGGAATATTTAAGTCTGTACGTGCAATTTTGTTTGATACATAAAATGGAACATTAAGGATTTGTCATAAGATTAAGGATAAGGCGGTTTGGATGCGGGGGATGTTGGAATGTCTAGATAAACCCTATGCTTCCATTATGTAAGTCCTTATGGGATTAACTATATGTATAATGGATTAGAGAGAGTAAATAGTACTCGATAAGTTGTAAGTACGGTCTTTGATGTTGGCCTGTGGGGTAGCACCGTGGTCGGGTAAAAGGCAAAAGCATTCGCTTTCTCCTCGTCTGATTTGGCCCATCTGCCATCTACCTGGCAAAGCGGGGCAGATATTTTGTGGTAAGATAGGAGGATAAGATAATATAGCATTAAAATCGAGTTTGGCTGAGAGCAATATCAATAGCACTCAAGAAATAGTCTTTTAAATAATTTTAATATATCACATGGGTCAGAGTGGTGTAAACAATTATTTGGACCTGAAATGTTAATTTCATACCGTTTATAGGAAACCTGCTTGAATTTATTTTTTTCTAGAGCTTGTCAGCATGGGACATTCCTTTTATTACACAAAAAGCGAAAAGGAATTGGTTGAAAGCAGAAAACTCACAATTTTCCCCTTATTTCTCACTCGGGACTTGCATGGATGGTCTGAACAACTTGATGGAAAGTTTATATGGAATATCCTTTGCAATTGAAAACACAGCGGTAGGGGAGACTTGGGCGCCAGATATTTACAAACTAGCCGGTATCTTGCAAAATAATGTAAATTTTAAAACTTTTAAAGTAACTGTTTCATTTCGACAGTTGTGCACAAGGACGAGGGACTTCTCGGCCACATCTACTGCGATTTCTATGAGAGGGAAAACAAACCGAACCAAGATTGCCATTTTACAATCAGGGGAGGAAAGAAGCTAACAAATGGAAGCTACCAGGTAAAATTTGAAATACCATTATGAAAATGTTAATGTTAAAAAATGTTGATTTTTAGAACCCAATAGTTGTTGTCATGCTAAATGTCCCATCACCTAAGTGGAACTTGCCAAGTCTGTTAACACCGGCGATGGTTGATAACTTGTTTCATGAAATGGGTCATGCCATGCACTCAATGCTCGCGAGAACAGATCATCAGCATGTCACTGGGACAAGATGCACGATGGACTTCGCTGAAGTTCCTTCTGTTCTCATGGAATATTTTGCTTCTGACCCAAGGGTACTGTATTAAGATTTTTTTTTCATTTAACATATTAACTGCAAAAGACCCAACATGTTTGTCCTTCTGGGTGCGGTGTACACATGGTGTCCTCTCATTTGTACTTTTTCAACTCTCCCACTAGACAATTCCCTTCGAAAATCCTAGGGCTACCTCAAAAACAACAAAATCATCAAAATTTTTCAATTGGAAGTAATTTTTTAAATTTCTTTTGTAAAAACCACATAATTTGCTTTTCTGTTCTTCAACTACATGCCCAAATCGTACAAAATTCCTATGGGTTGCTTACTTCATTTAATTAGCGCAGTGGGGATGCAACCCTTGTGTCATGTATATTTTTATCATGTCAGTAAATATATAGAAAAAATTATTTGTGTAATTTTTATGTATCTATTTTACATGTTAAATTGGGTTTTGCCATGTGCAACCAAAACATAGGACGTAGTCAACGTGTTAAATAATTTTACATGTAAAGACAAATTGTTTTAGGTATTGAGAACGTTTGCCAAACATTATGAAACACAGGAACCTATGCCTGAGGACATGATACATAAGCTCTGTGATTCAAAGCACGTTTTTGGTGCATCGGACATGCAATTGCAGGTGTTTTACTCTCTTTTAGACCAAAGATACCATGGGCCACATCCATTATCAGGGACGACAACTGAAGTGCTTGCTGACACCCATAATGAATATTATGGCATCCCTTATGTGCCGCATACTGTAAGTGAAAACAAAATGTTACCCTGCAGTATAAACCTTCTTGAGGGTGTGTCAGTAGCCACAATGATACAGTGCTCATCAATGTAAGATCCTGGGTTTGAATCCAGTGGCCCTACGTTCAAATAACACAATTTATTTTTTCAAAAACACTGGCACCCCCAGGGTTCATATAACCTCATAGCTGAAATATGTAATTTTAAAAAAAACTTCATGTAATAGGCTTGGCAGCTGAGGTTTTCCCATCTTGTCGGCTATGGCGCTAAGTACTACTCATACCTGATGAGCCGAGCGGTCGCTTCGTTAATATGGCAAAACCTCTTTGAAGAGAACCCCTTCAGCAGCAGCCAGGGTGAGCGCTACAGAAGAGAATGCCTCGCCCATGGTGGTGGAAAACCTCCTCATTCTCTTATAAAAGACTTTTTACAATTTGACCCAACCCCACAAACCCTCGCCACAGCGCTCATTAACGATTTAGACCGCCATAAAGTATTGTGATGATGTATTATATGTTCAGGATTCATTTTAAGTGTTTTGTTGACAACACATTTCATTGAAATACAGGAAACAATGTTTTTTATCATATTGTTTTATTGTTAATCATGTATGTATTATAAAAAATGTACATGAGAGGGTGTAAATTAAGTTTTACAAACTGTACCAAGGACCTAAGTCAAGGTTTATCTTCAAATTATTGCAAAACGGTCATGCGTTCTTGGATTGGTGCTTTTTTGCAATTTTACAGTCACTGTTTTTGAATTATATTACAAAATTACTTTCTGTTGGTTTTTTTTCTTTTTATTTAAGCGTTTTTGGTAAAAATCCCGTGATTTGTAAACTTCTATTTTTTGTTCTTCTTTTCTCATTAAACAAAATGTTTTAACATAACTCTCCAGAATAACAGGATATGAATAGGAACTTAACTAGTTCAAATTCAATGTACATTTTTAAAAAAAGTTTTTGATGCAGAATTCATCAGTGCGAAAGGTTTTCAATTTTGCCATCATTTGTATAAAAAAATCTGAATACTGTTTTTTGGATAAATTAAATCTCCAACTCCACCAGTTTATTTATTTATCATTTTAATTTTAAATGATAGTAAATTATTTTCACATGGTACAGAACGATTGATTTTGGAACAATTTTTTCAAATAACATTGACTAACTGGACCCTCTGGGTGTAGCACATTGTATTCACAGAGGTCAGTGAAATTTCAACCCACAAATACAAACTTAAAGAAGTTAATGCTTAACTAACAAAACATAAATAAAAATACTCAATCTTCAACTTACTGTGCTAATCGTATTGTCTCCTGCATGCAAAAAGTGATGATTCTGCTGTTGAGAAAAGTGGACATTTTACTAACTATGGCAGTTATTAGAAAAATATTTATTAGCTCCAATAATAGCTAGGATGTAATATTAATAGTCTCTCCACCTCTGAGGATTGGAGACAGAAAAAACTTATAGAATATATAAACTAGTAAAAAATGTAAAATTAAAGTATTCCTGACACACAGGATGGCTTAATGTCCAACTACTTGTTTGCAGTGTGAATGAGGGGTTAAACCACTACAATTTTTATTACTCAAGTCCGGATTTCATATTCTTTTTGTTAACACTTACGATCATAGTGATCAGATATTTAGCCGAATAATTTCGTAATAACCGAATAACCATGGTTCAAATTTGATTCTGCATATTTTTGCAAAGTTGCATTTTTTGATTACTTAGAAAAATTAAAATAAATTGGGCAACTAAGAACATGAGGAAAAACAAGGAAAAAACCTATTGTGGAAAAGGCAATTTGTTTCCTCCCCCATTATCTTACAACAAGAAAAATTTGATTAGAATTTATTTAACTTTCCAAAAATAAAGATTTAAACCAATGAAATAACTGGCATCATATTTGAGGCTTCATTCCAAAACTTCTTGGTTTAGTTATTTTTGCCTTGAAAAATTAATTTTGCGGAGTAGTTAGGTTTTAGAAGGAAGTGAGGCCTTGAATAAATAGTCAATGTCAGTCTACGTTCATATTTTCACAAAAGTGAGAACTTTTAGGGATTTTTCTTTCAAACGCAAAACAGATATTTTATGTGCTAATAACCTTTATTCCCCAGTGATGCAGGAATTACACAGAAAGAAATTAAAAAACATCCTTGACAAAAATACCAGATATTCTGAATATGGGAAAATTAAAGAAATCTTAAATAGAAAAAAAACAGGTGTTATACAGAGAATAAATGATCCAGTTATTTTAAGTTCCTACAAGTATGCTCCCATCACCTCTGGTGACTTTGAAAACTTTTTTGAGGTGCATACAAATATTTTTTGTCATGAACGCTGTGCTTTTACAGCATCTTAGAAATGTATATTATTGTCAATTTTAATTCAGATCATGAACTTAATTATTTTGTATAAATATTTTAATTATATCATTTTTTTGTGTGTGAAAAAGTTGTTTCTTTTCAAAATGAATACTAGAAAAACAAAATAGTTAATTATTAGTCGAGTGATGTCTCCAACATTCATCTGTATTTTAATTTTTTAAGAGCAAATTATATGGCATATTTGAGGATTTTTATTACTACATCAGGATTACTAATACATTACCAATTAAAATACCAGAACTGCTAGAGTGGCAAGCCAAAGACAAGTTAGACACCGAATCATCGCCGTCCCCCATATAAACCACTTTTACATCAGGGCATAACAACTGGAAATACTTCTTGGAAGGTAGAGGAATGAAACAAATAGAGAAAAATCATACCTATTTAATTCTAATACTTACATTTGAAATTTATTTTTATGGGACTGTAATTTTAATAAAACTTTAAATTCTATTTACAATACTATAACTAACTATACAATAAACTAAGGATATTCTCATCCTGAAAATAAAATTTCAAATGTTAGTTACAGAAAAATGGCAGTGTTTCCGCTACAAAATTTGTTGATTCCTAAATTCTTATAACAACATTGCTTCATTGGTAATGAGGCACCTTATTTTTCATCTTTAATATATAATTATATATTATAATATTAATACAATGGACTGAAATAAAATACTTTTTTTTAATTGGAAATTACAGTAACAAATATTACATATATTATAAATTGTTTATGCCACATTACAATTTAATTAAAGAATAAAACCTGGAAAATATTCTTGTTTGCGAAATGTTAATGTTTGCTCCTCAATTGAGATCAGATGAATGCATTTTTTAAAAATTTGATTAATTCAATGAGCAAACAGGCTTTTTTTAAAAGGAGTAATGCTTTTAAAAGCCCTTACAACATTAGTGAACACAACTCAAAACATTACGCAAAACAATATTATCCGCTAAAAAACAAATCTACACAAAAAACCAAGGAAAGAAAAAATGGTTTAATTATTTTTTTCCTGAGCGATGGCAGTGTTCTAGACTTATTTTATAAAAATGTGAACTACTGATGAGCTACAAACTGGGGGGAAAATTGTCCCTTGTATATTAAAATACTTATGAAAAAGTGTTTTGTATTTCTTATTTATCGTTATTTTTTCTTCTTGTATAAAATACATCCACGAATTTCTATTGGCCACTTGGTAATATAAGACACTATAACTTTGTACCAATATTGCAGACAAGTGTAGATCTTCACACTAGCTTTTTAATCACTAAAAAAAGAAATAAATAGAAAAAGCATTGGCAGTGATCAACTTATACAAAGTTCTGTAGGTTTGAAACTAATTGAACAGATAAAAACAGAGAATGTTTGACAAACAAATCACTTGAAGGGTGTTAACTTTAAAATTGGGTAACTTGCAGTGATCGGTCTACTAGAAAAGTACCGACCATTTTGATGAGTAACTGTATCAATTAATTGTAGACTTATTCTATAAATTTCCGATATGGTATTTAAATATCGAATGAACGAATTGCACTTTTATCATAGCTTAGGTCAATTTAGAGTGAATTTAATAAAAACAGCTAATAATTTAAGACAATTATTAAAATTTTATAATTTTAGTCAATTTGTCTTTTATAAGTTAATCACATCCCATTAAAACAAAAAACAAATTCTCAAGAAAATCAATCATTGAAAATCATTAATATACAAACAAATAATTTACAATATTTCATAAAAAGAAAGTTAATTAAAAATTTCAATGATTTCACCTAAACAAAAATTTTGTACACATAAACAATAAATCTATATATAATTAAACATACAACAGATATATTACAGTTAATTTAATTTTGTGAAAATAAATTATTATTCCATAGACTTTTACTTTGACAATAAATGGAAAGCCATAAATAAAGGTGTTCAACAGATCGAGACATTCTTACAAATTAAATTCAATACTCAAATCAACATATCAAAGTTTGTTTAAGTTTCTTGTCAAAAACTTGACATATTTTTAATTTATACTTATTATTAAAATATTAACACAATGTGACAAGGCTGCCCTGCCATTACAAGCAACAACTAAGGCTGCTTCAGCAGGCTAAACGTTTATTTTACATATTATTTACATATTTTGAGATCATTACAGCATCTTCATTCATTACTTTGCAAAATAGTAAAATCTAAATATATCACCGCACTTATTTCAGAAACATACTTCATTTCATAATATTTGTAATTAATTGTACAAATTAAATTTTTTTTATAATCTACAAAAAAATGTACTATTCCAAATTATATAAAAGAAATAGCTTCTTTTTTTTTTAAATTTACAATGATTATATAAAGGCTCATTTAGAGGTGGAAGGCCTTGCAATTCAATATGAAATATTTTTAAAAACGTCTAAAAGATTTATCGCAAATAATGTTTGATTTCAAAAGTCTATTTGCCTAATGAAATGCAGTCTTTAATACAATTAGAATTTCTTTCAGATTCAAAAGAGGAAATTCAAGATACTTGATATGTAATTCGCCTTGATTCCAAAAGATTTGTACATTTTCTTGGTTTCCCCCTCTGAGCCGGTAGAAGAAAATTTCTAAAATGTTTTGGAGTATCAATCAACATTATTTGCGATCATATTCTAAAATGTACAATGTTAAAAATAATCAGGTTATGATGCTGTGCCGCTAGGACTCTGCTAAAAAAGATGAAACAAAAGCTGACATTAAATTTACAAATAATTTTGAAAAAGTTTAAATTTTTCTGTTAACTTACCACAGGGTGAAGTGTAAAATTATCAAATATGTCCATCAACTCGGACATGCGGTATTCTTCAAGGCAGACGAAACCTTCTAGACTTGGAGCCTGTTTCTTGGCGCAATCGAGGCAGTGGACGACATGCCTCTTCTCTTGCTCCCTTATGAAAAGTATGTTGAATACCTCCATCTGGAATACATTTCAATTAACCATTGGTGTTTATGTTTTTAATAATGGATCCTAAAAGACTTACCTCACACTGACCACAGTAGTGAGACGCTTCGTTCTTACCCCTTCCGTGAAAACGCACCTCAACGCCTTTCTCTTTTACAAACTCGAGAATTAAAGCACAATGTCTCAATGTCCTCATAAGGCAGTGCCTATAAATAAAAATAAAATTATATACAACTATTAGGAATAGGTGTTCGTGGCACCAATTTATGCAAATTTTGTTTAGTCCCTTAATTCTTTTGCCCACTTTTATTCCTTTCCTCTCGCACGTTGCAAGGCAAGACTCAAACAAGTAACACGAGATTATAATCATTGCATCAAGAGGTAAGCAAAGTAAGCAAAGTTTTCAGTCAAATTTCCGTCTTTTCCTTTAACCTAAGTTTATGGAGGCTGGTAAACTCCCTCTTTTTTCAATTATTTTCATTATTTTAATTGTTTTTGCTTGCTACCAACTGCACCCCAACAATAGACTTCACAATCAGATGGTCCAGTGACCATGATGACTCCGACTCCGAAGTTTGGTCCCATGGATTACCTCAAAATCTTGACGAAGGTGAAGAACTGAGTATTTTTTCATTCAAATCAGCTTTATCCTTCATTTTTTCATACAAAATTATAGTAAGATAAGATTGTGTACAGAAAATACAATTTTCTGTAATTTATATCAAATAAAAAAATTGTGAAAATGGTAGCATTAATTTCTAAATGGACCAACTAATCTAAATTGTTTAGTTTAATCAGGAACAACATAAAACAAAAACATAAGCTATGCACTGTTTTTAAACAAAAACTTACTTTATCAACTCAAAAAGTTTTGGGTCGGAGACCTTAATGTTTCTAGCTAAGTTCCATGAGAGATGAACCATCGGCACTATGCTCTTGAAGCTCTGCAGTTTGTTCCACTCGTAGCGCTCGATTGCCAGCTGGTACTGTCTAGCGGTAAGCGGGCCAACGTTCCAAGCGATGTTGTTGCACCAACCAATTGCCTGGACCCAATGGACACAACCTGGTACGTCAATGTGATTAATCAATGTTTTTCATCAAATAACCAGTATTGTTGGAGGTATCGCTCACCAGAATTGACCCAGACTAGGTCACCCGGACGCTGGAGGAACCTGTACACGGGGACATTTTCCTCGTACAGGTCCTCGAGCGCAGGCCACCACGAACCATGGAGATAATTGAGGCTGTTCCTAAACACGATCAATAAGCAATTAGAAGACATTTTGCATTTGTTTGTTTATTCAGGGCAAGTCGTAATTTTTGACTAAGTTCAGTACTAGCAGAGATGATGACAAAGTACTTCACATTACAAATTTTCTGGTAGATATAACAAACGAAGCTAAGAAACTGACCCCAAACAGCAGTAATAGTAACATTTATTTAGTTATTATTTAATACGAACATATTGATATTGTGGTCAATTTTATATTTTCTGCTACCAATGAACAATTTAAGGCCCCATATTTTCTATATTGTTTTTAATTAAAAGATATCTAAAGTAAGCATGTAAATATCAATAAATATACGGATTGGTTTGAGTTTGGAAACGTCTTTTGAAATAAGGTGTCCTAACATCTTGTTGTCATCTCCAATTCAATCAGAAGAAGAGAGAAGCTGATTTAGATGATTAAAATTCGGCACAGGTACCCACCACCATGTTTGACATATAAATTAATATTTATTTTCTTCATAAAATTTTATCAAACTTTATATAATAGATAAAACATGAGTTATACCCACCTTTCACACAAGTTATATATGACACCCCAGTAGGCGTCTGGTACTGCAAACCATTCGCAGTCACCTGGACCGATGTTGATGTTGATAGAGCAATAATTGTTGTTCTCCTGGTGTCCAGGGGTGCGACTCCCAGGCACTTTCATGTAGAGCTGGACTGTGTTCATTCCAAGGATGACGTGCCCAACGTGCGACAGCATATTGCCTGCAGATACTACCCTCGCAAAAGCTGGGAGTTTCATCAGCTCTTGCAACTGCGGTTTCCACTTCCTTTCATCGGACAGGTCTACATTCGTTCCGAACCGGAGCATTTTAGAACCGGGTGGAGCTTTTAATCCAGGAACACCCTAAAATTGACCAGTGTTTATGATTTTACATTTTAACATGCTTTGTCTGTCTCAATATGATTTATCTACCATGGAAATTTAGTTCCATGTCTCATGTAGACTGATTTTAATTTATATTTATTAAATTTAGTTAACTTTTGGTATAAGAAAGGTACTTTTAGTCATGTAATAAATTGACTAATATAAAAATACAATATGAGACTTGTAATGAGGTGTACATCCATTAATGTTTCTTTCACATAAGATTTTTAATTTTTATTTCTATTGTTGATATCACTTGAGTTCAATTTTTAATCATTTTGATATTGTGCAATCAGACTAATTTACAGGGCCCATATTGTTTGTCCTAGAGGTATAGGGGCTGGCTATGTTGCCTTCAGAACGATGTTGCCTATTGCAAGTCACATAAAGCAATTTTTAGTGTTATGAATTTTTTAATTATCAATTTACGTGATTATTTGCCACTATGCCTCATATTCCAGATGTATTGCCTCATCGGCTGAATCATCATGAGATGATATGGCAAGTTTTGCCATAGACTGATAATTTTATTTAAACATATTTAACCAATATTAATAAATATTTGTCAATTTCTCCCCAAAGGGTTGTCTTTCCTCGATGTGCGGGAGGGTGACCCTAGGGTCTACCTCAGGGTAGATCACCTATCCTGTAATCTGGCTGGGTCGCTAGTATCTCCCTTAAGCCAGATGCCCAGGACATCGTCACTTCCCCAACCAGTTAGGTTTCAATGGAGGCTTTTGACTGTTCGGTCAATTACAGCACTCAATGTATGTAAACTATGATCTAGCTAATTAACTTTTATAATAAATTCATTCACACATTTGTAATTTGCACTCATTCTGATTAATCGATGTAGTGCTCGATATTCCTTCATTGAGCTAGACACAATATTAATAATGTATTGGGTTGTCCGGAAAATAATGCAGGATTTTGGTATTAAACAAAAAAAAAGAAACTAGTTACTTTAAAGCAATGTTCTTTAATCAAAATAATTTCCCANTGACATTCATACAAATGAGTAATCCTGTAAACGTAAACAGAATATTTTATATAGATTTTTTTTAATGAAAACTTAAAATCCTGCATTATTTTCCGGACAACCCAATAATAATCCAAATTAAGATTGGTGGGGTACTGTTACAAATATTCTGCCGTCGACCTTAATCACACACACACTACTGGAGGGGTGATGGTGATGCTGTATTTTACCATCAGCCCCTCACTACTCACACTAATGTACTCAATCTAAACATACAAAACATAACTACATGCAATAAAAAAACCCAACATCTGACAAAAAGTGGAACATGAGACCCAGATACCCACTACTGTGTCTGAGAACCAGTCTTAAATCCGGCAACATGCCTACACGCTCTCTGTAAAGAGCCAAGGCATGACAAACTTCTACTATGTGGGACAGATCAAGTAACCTTTATGACCTATAAATTGGGTAAGGATGATTGCTCATTTTCAGCTCAGGTTCTCAGAGGGCTATTAAGGAAACTATTAAAGAATAACATATAACTTTTATAATTATATAATTAATTTTTTATTATTTTTTCTTGAATCCAGAAAACTGAATTATTTTTTGTAATTTTCAATATAGTAAAATAAAGATTAATATTATTATGGATAACTTACAGTGCTTTTCTTTTTCCGCACATTTCCTGTTGAATCTTTCGAATCAGAATCAGAGAGATTGCTGCTTGTCGTATTGTTTGGAACATGGATTCCTGCTGCCCTCTCTCTTTCTTCCTGAAGTTGAAAATTTTGTTAGATTTGAAGGGCACTAGTGTAAAATATACATTTTGACAATTTACCCTAAGGCTATCTTGAAAACTAGATGCCTGGTACTGGGCATATTTAGCGATGGTTGTGTGTGACCTGTGACTAATACACGACCAGCCTCGTCCACCTAACTGCGGGTCCCAGTTCTCATCTGACGTCTGCTGCACCTGTGTCCGTACTTCCACTATATGGTCAGCATTTGCCTCGACCAAAGTTTTGGTGGAAAATAACCCAAGATCTGTATTCAAAATGGTAAAAAATTGAAATGGTGTACCTGTATGTTTGTAAATTGTGTAATACAATTACACATATGTACAACATATGTACAAACCTAATTTTAAAGCCGCAGCAAGTCCTCGGATCACAGCGATAGGATGTTTCAGACAAAACTCCTGTAATTGTGGGCTGAAGGCGTCTTTTTTGTTTTCAAGGTAGACACTGGGAGTCGGTGGAAGGAGCTGAGCCTTGGTGAGCTTTGCTGGGGGTGGGTCAGGCGGTGAAGGAGGTTTATCACTGTCACTCACAACATTACAGCTACCCACACCATTCACTCCTCTTCCCCTAAAATTCACAAACATGAACCACTGTAGAATAATTTATTTAATGTTATTTTTTTCAACAAATTACTTACTTGCAGGATTCGATTATGGTCTTTGCGTCCATATCGATGGAGTACTCAACCTCAGGCTGAATGTCAAGTAAGTTTCCTATATGGACCTTCTGGTCCTCTCCGTTTTCAGTCTTCAACTCAATTTTCTCATTTTTTAAGGTGCTGAGAGCACCAAGTGATTCTGTTTCTTGGTGAATTGTCAGTGCCGATGATCCAGCGGTGGGCTTACCATTAGGAAATGGGTTTGGCTCGACCAATGCTGCGACACCTTCCTTAGAATCTAGCTCTTCAGACGGCACAGGTGAGCCGAAATGCTTCAGTAGGTCTTCGGCAAGAGATGTAGCGATGTCCTTCTGCGAGAGCAGTGCCTGCAGTTCCTGATCACTCACTCCAACAACGTCACTGTTGTTTGAAGTTGGTGTAGTACTCTAGACATTAAAACATCAAGTTGTAATATTCAAAAACGTTTTTTTTATAAATCAAAAGAATATTGAAGAATACGTGGAAATATATTTCCCCGCCTCTGAAAATCACTTGTTTGGGATTAACTCAATATCCGCTTTTACTTTGTCTATTACATAAAAGGATGTCAATCAGCTAAAAATCTATTCTCTCAAAGTGAATAACTGTGTGCTAAATTACATGAAAAAAACAATGTATATCTTAAATAGGTAGTGTATTTCTTTTTTTCTCTATTAGGTAACAACATATTTTCAACGTGGCCCACTCTTAGAACACACAAAAAGACGATAAACTAAACAACAAACAAACAACAAAACAAGCTTCTAAAGTGACTAAGTTCAAATCATAAAGATAACAGAAAAGAGAAGAGGAACTTTTGAACTGTTGTTATATTGGAAACCAGATAGATGTTCAAAAGGCGTCCAGTTATTAAACGTTATATTTATTTTCTGAAATTGTTCAATTTATTAAAAACGTTATTAAAAACGCTTATTATAATAGTTATACCAAGAACAAAAGTTTATGTTCAAATAATCTAAAATTCAAAGCTCATTTTCTCTCGCTAAAAAGTAACTAAACATGATTTTTGTTTATATTTTTGAAAATAATCAGTGCATAAAGACTAAGAATTATCAATATACCAGTGTGCTATATCAACTATCAGTACACTTCCAACAATTGTGCTTTCCAGTGACCATTTCTGGGATGGGTTTGATTTCTACCTGATTAAAACCAGACTGAGGCGAAGTACAAAATGGATATTGAGCTTGCTGGAAGTTGCTTGCCAGCTGTAATGCTTCATTCCCTGGCTGGTTCCCAGAGTAACTTACGTCCATTTCCTGGAAACAAAAAATGAACAATCCCTTCGTACTTGGCATCGGCCGGTCAACGGCAGCAGACAAACAAGCTTCCAGATCAAATTTTGCCAAACATTATGACATCGACCTGCCGTGATTAAGCTTTGTTCCTATTTGAGATTTTCAGGCTTCACTTAAAGTCGCTTTAATTCAAAGCAAGCACTTCACTTCAATAATTTAGAACATTGGACAAACAGTGCACCTAGTTCTTAATATGGTAATAAAGTTAAAAGTATGAGGGAAAAGGATTTGAAAGTAAGAAAATGGAATAGTCATGCTTTTAAAATAACACCTTGTATCTAGACGAAACATTTTTTAAAGCTAACCTGCTGTGGATATGTCTTGATGACTGAAGTATGGTATTGGTTGGTATTGAACTGTGGATTCGCTACGGTGGCAACCCTTTGTGGTTGTTGTTGTTGTTGTTGTTGCTGCTGTTGCTGTTGTAGCCTTACTTGCTGCAGGTGCTGTTGCATAAGCCTGTACTGATGCTGCAGTTGTTGGAGAAGGTTCTGAAAAATATTCAAATCTAATCAGAATCACATGCCATTCACCTTGGTTTTTATTTTCAAAGCCCAATTTTAAATCTATAATTTAATAATGATGAAAAAAAAGTAACCTTAATAAAACAATTTGTGCCAAAACTGCAGTTGAAAATCAGGTTTATAGTAAGATTAAACTTTATCTCACTTTTATTTCTACTATTTAAAGAAGAAAAAAAACACGATTCAAGTTGATAAAACACTTAATTAAAATACAGAGAGAAAAAATAAAATGTTACAGTTTATTTAATTTTTTTTTTTTTTTTTTTTGGGGGGGGGGTTGAAACATTCTATCAATTCATTAGATTTCGTGGTCCGATTGACCAAATAACATCTTTCAATTAATTAATCTTTATCTCAACTAATAACTTTCAATTTATCAATGTTAAACTTACAGCTTGGTGGGCTGGCAGGTTTCCAGCATTCTGCTGCAGCACTTGAAGCATTTGCAGTTGTTGCGCATTTAGATAAAAAGGAGGGTTTGGGGTGGTGGGTGTCGCAGTCCTCTGTGCTCCGTTCGGGGTCGTAGGAACTCCAGGAACTCTTGGGGCTTCCTCGCCAGGCTATAACAAAAAATTAAGCTTGTTAACAAATGCAATTTTTCAAGCAGTCTACCAGCGAAAAATATCAGACAACTAGTAAGTCACAATAACTAAAGACGTTGGATCTAACAAGAGGTTCATCTCCTGCGTAAATACCAGCGCTTGAGTTTCTTGGGTCTCACAGTCTCCGATTTTCCCTAAATAAAACTATCAACAAAACAAATTTTAGTGTGGTTTTGAAATAATTTTTTAAGAGATCAATCAGTTTACCTGTCCTAAGTAGCATTTTTGAGAAAAAAGAGTTAGTAATTCACATAATAAAATATTAGAGATAGATTTAATAAACAAAAAGGCAAGAAACAACATCATAAAACATTGCTAGTTAATGTTTTGTTTGCTAAATGATAATTAAAATTTGTTTTAAATTTAACTTATATCTCTCGCCTCTCTTAATTAATTTTTTTACCTTAAATCTTTTATTAGCCGGGGCATTCTGGTTTGCCTGGGCTGGATACGGTGGAGGTGGACCTTGTGGAGATGCCTGAATATGGCCATTCGTGGTGGTTACAGCATTCGTCTGAAATATTAAAAATAAAAATTATAATTAAATTATACTGAAAGCCAGTCTCCTCTTATTATAAGTTAGGAATATTTACTAAAATAAGTTAAAAATAGTTGTAAGGAATGTCAAACATATGTTGGAAATAAGGCTGGAGAACTGAAGGGTCGCTCATCCTGTAGGGGGCAAAGAGACGATTCCCACAACCTTGTCATCATAGGAATGTGAAAAATGAATAGTCTGACCACTAAATAACGAAAGTTGGAATTATGTAGGGTGGGAAGGGTGTTGCAGACACAGTTCATCCAGCTGTGGGACACTATAAATTTGGGGCCACATGAGGCTGCAAAACAGCAATTTCTGACAATTACGAGTTATTGCATGGCCAACCCTTGCAACAAGGAAATTAACCATCTGGCCCAGCAGTTTTTGCTTTTCCTTTCCTCCTCTACTATGGTGGGGAAAACAGTATAAAAAGGATTTGTATGTTTGGAGAGTAGTCAACTTAAAGACTCCTTCCATCAAGTCAAGGCCTCAGTCCAGAGCAGTCAAGCAGCCACCACTGGGACACATCCAGCAAGGATCAGCCATTGTGACAAGTCGAATAGAGTCGTCTGTCAAGGACCCAGGAAGCTGCGAGAAAAAAAAAGCCCCTGGAAGATGTGGGAGCTGGTATTGGCAAACATTTTTTGGGGTAAGTACTATTGTGAATGAGCTCATCCTAAACTCAGCAAAGTTAGAGTTGTGGCTGACTTGCTTTGATTGTTCTTTTTGTTTCTCTGTTACCGTATTAAGACAGTCCAGTGTTTCAATAAACGCTTAATATAGCTCTCCATTATATGGTATTTTTGGAATCTTACCTTCCCCTACACAAAAAGCAGTGAAAGATGTATGTTGGATGTTCATATCATAAGTACATAGAGTATCAGTGCCCTGTATCTATAGTTATCTAATATGTGAAAATTTGTTTCATATGGACTTCTAAATCTAATCTATAAATAGGAGAACTTGTTGAACATTATAAATAAATTTTGATATTTAAAGTTAAAAATTGCACTTTATGCATTCCTCTCTATTTAAACTCTTAAAGAAATGGGAATATTTGAACTAAGTCTAAAATTCTACTACTTATAATAGATGAGAAAAGAAGACCAGGCAGAAAAATATGAAAACATATCATTTGTACAAATCACTGTTTAAAAATCAAGCTTACTTGATTTTTTTTAAATTGCTGCTGAGTTCCTGAACCTACCCTGGGACTGGATTGCTGTGCCTGTGGCTGCTGTTGTTGCTGGCGCGATGACATTTCTGCTGAGATGGGGAGGTTCCATGCCTCCTCGATAGGGGGAAGCTGTCTACGCCTGTTTACAAAACAAATGTTTTTAAAATGTTAAAATTTCAATTATGTTGCAGTATTACGCACTTGCTGGTGATGCTAGGCATTGGCGCGTTGCCCAAGTGAGACTGGAGGAATTGAATTCTTTGAGCAAGGTTAGGGTTCATATGGATGGAAAACCTTGGAGATATATGAGATACTCCGTCTTTGTCCAAATCGTCGTTGTTCTCACCTACTCTTGTCGCATTGACATAACAAGCATATGCATCCTTTGGCTGATTGCAACTTTCATACAAAATTCCTGAAAGATTTTATCAATGGATAAAGGATGACAATGAGATTAAGTGTTTAATTAACTTTACCTAGATTGGTCCAAGCGGCGCTATGACTTTTATCTAATTGCACAGCACATATGTAGGCCTGCAATGCATCCATAGGCTGGTTTTGCTGCTGGTAGAGTACTCTATTAAAACACAAGAAATATTAGAGTTTGAAACAAAAATTAAAATAATTTTTCTTCCATACTCACCCGATTGAGCACCATGTGTCTGCATTTCCTTCAGACTTTTCTACAGAATTTCTATATGCTATAAAAGCATCATGCACTTTACCAACACTGGCATAACACCTCCCTAAGAGATAAAGTGACTGTCCTGATTTTGGATCGGCGTCGATAGATTTTTCAAGGCAGGCGATGGCTTGTCCTTCTCGTGCACTTTTGTCACCAAGCGACTCGACACAATGGTACATCCATCCTACAGTAGTAACTGTGTAAATTCCAAAGTTATTTAAAAAATAAATAAATACCCATACCTAGTTGTCGACATATGTCGGCTTTTAGATTTTTCGGTAGCTCTTTTTCTTTCAGAAGCTGTTCGTAGTTGTCTTTGGCAAATTTGTATTTTCCTTGGACTTCATACAGGTGCGCTATATGAAATTTAATTTCAATTTTTGAGAAAGTACAAGGGTTAGCATCAATGAGGGCGAGCTGCAAATGCTTCAAAGCTGATTCCCAATCATTGTTCACTTTGAACATCAACCCAAGGCGAAGGTGGACTTCATTGGCCCTGGAGAATCCTGGCTCAATGTACAAAACTTGCTGAAGTGCTTTGACCGCCCTAAAACAGAAAAGTAAATTTAAGTTTTCAAGAGAAAGAAAGAAAAAGGCAAGTATAGATGTACTGCGCTAATGAATATTAGATAATCAGCATTAATGAAATTCCATAAATTTGCCTGTATACAAGAAAACAGATAATACTACTGAAATGTAGATGTAGATTAACGTCAGGTTGCATAATATACTGCGCCCTTAAGAGCTATTGTATTCACCCGATTCTGTACATATAGCACACCAGTGAGTCCTTGTTTCTCATGAAGTGAAAACAAATGCCAAATCAGACGGCCAGACAGTCATTAGACGAAAGAGTCGATGAACAGTAAGTACAGAACAAGAGGTGTGTGCACTTGAAGGGTGAAGAAGAATAAACACGTCATCAACATTCATTTTTTTAAACAGAATACCCAAAAAATTATCCGACGGTTATAAGAAATGACTGATTACGTCAGGATCTTCACTATTCTGGGTCGTTAAATTTCAAGGAAAATCATCTCCATTCCACCCGCCGCATGTCATGTCTTTTATTTTTTAAAATAATATTTCTGTTCGTCTCCTCGAAAGTTTAAGAAAGAATTTAGTCCAATGATATTCAGAGAAGACAATTTCTATTTGCAAACAGCCCACATAAAATTCGTCGCACGTGCCTTTTCGGCGGTCCTCTAGGCAGGAAGCGAGGGACAGGGGCAGGTGGCGGAAATGGTTCTGCGCCACCCCGGAAATCCTCTTCTCACCAATGTGCAGAAGCAGGAGCCATACATTTACAGAGGAAGGATGGAGATTAACCCTAAGGCTGAGTAAGATAATTAATAGGACGAGGAATTGCCAAAAAAATCAAGACAATATATTTTCTAGAAAAGAGACGAAAACGAAAACAGATTATTATCAAGGGTATTTAAGAGAAAAGAGTTTTTAAAAGAAAAATAGGAAAACTTTACGACTTTCTGGATATTGCCACAACACAAGTTCGATCGAAATCGAATCGATCATAAAACCCGCAGTGTGGAAAAAAGTCTTGCATTAATACAAAATACAATAATTAAGCCGATATTTATTTATTTAAATTTTTTAAAAGGTCGTGGGGATCATAGGATATCAAATTTCAGGCGCCGAATATCATTCTACCTTACATCCAACAGGATAATTGCCATGTAGCTGTTAAATAGTTACGTTAATCTTCATAAAAATGAGCCGATTATTAATTTTTCAAATCGAAAGAATGTGCTTTAGTGGTATATAGTTTATATAAGTTTATTTTTAAATACAACAAAGTGAAGAAATTCCTGTCATATGGGAGGCTTAAAAGTCTAATTGCACGTTGCAATTTAGCTTGGTATAAAAAGACTTCAAAATGGTTGTTATATTTATATAGTGCTTTAAAAGCTAAGGGTAAGACAATTTTAAAAGCTTTAACGAAAAGTTACTATTACTATTGTTAGAAGTAGTATGTGTCGACACCATAAGTTTAAAAACATGAAATAAATGTTGAAACGTACAATAAAATAAGAAGAGCAGGATCTGCACGGTACGGGACAAAGCTGATGACTGGTACGAGTGATGGGCCAGTTGTAAAACTTGAGTCAAAATGAATGAGTAACTCCTACTCTTCAATGGGGTTCCCGGAAGGACGCGGAATCATCGCAGGGTCCGCGGGACGGATTATTCACCGTGAGAAAATTCCAGGATAGTCACAACAGGTGGCGGGCGAGGGAGCAGGATGTAAGGTTAATCAGTAGTGAATCGCGGATAAGAAGGCCCAGGGCGAAAAATCGTATCCTGCAAGGATACAGGAATGCGAGGATTTTCCGGTGCTGCATTACCGGCAGATCGGAGGACGAGATGGTCAATGACCCCGGGGACCGGGAGGTTGTTTACATTTCTGAACCTCCTACTGACCCAAACTTGATTACATCCCGCAACTTAGGCGACAGACTTTCCTTCATGTAGAGATCTATATGCTTAATGGAGAACAAAGCTTGTGGCCACTTGGTAAACAGAAACATGTAAAAACAAACTTAGAGTTGATAGAACCACAATTATGGTTGAACCTCGGACAAATCAAAATATATATAAAAAAATAATTTATTACAATGTTCAATATAAAGGGTGATTCGCTTACTCGTATGACAAAGTTCGTGTGCTTCTACACCTCAAATGAACGAAAAAGTTCGAATGAACCATTGTCCGATTCTCAATACTTTCGCAGATATTCAACTTTTATGGTTTTTTATGAACTATTTACAATTTTCGTCATAAATCTATTCGTAGCTCTTGAATTATTCATTACCATTCATTTACCATACAAAGAAGAAAAAATATCTTGGATTTTTTATATAAATATTTTTTTATTGTTAAGTTGGTCTGTACAAAATAAAGAAAACTGGAACAAAACATGAAAAAAGAGACAATAAACATAGTGACCAACCAATGCACAAAACCAATTCGACACCACAAGAATAGCACCACACTTGCACTGATGATGACCCGAATGAGTGAAAAAATGAAAAATTGTGTTTTTCTAAACTACCTCATTATTGACCACTCCTCATGACCAACAAATTATGAAACAAATGTCACTACGAAATACACAATATGTTTATTTATTTTTTTCCTGACGGGTATCAAGAATAAAAAACATTGTGTATTATTTATATTGTGTAACATTAGTTTATTGTCTCCTTTTTATGTGTTTTATTTCCTATTTTTTGTTGGTGTTATTAAAAAAGAGTATACCGCTAGAAAGATTATTAAAATAAGTTGTTATGAAATTTGCCAAGCTCTACCCTGAATCTTTCCAACGAGGTTGCAAATTTAATTTTTTACAAATTTTTAATTTAGCAGTTTTTGAAAGATTTGTTGTTTTTTTTTACCAAAAATAAATTAAAACTTCTAGAAGAGTACGTTCTTAAAGGAAATTTAACACAAGTTTAAAATGCCGTTTTTTGCTTTTGCCTAAAAATGAATATTTTAAGAGCTACGAGTAGATTTAAGCCGAAAACCGTATAGATAGGAAAAACAAAATGCTGAATATCTATCTGCGAAAGGGTTGAGAATCGGTCCATTTTCATACGAACCTTTTCGTTAAATTTGAAGTATAGCAGCACCTGACTAACATTGTCGTACGAGTAGTAAATCATCCTGTATATGATGATAACAGTGACAATTCATTATGGCACATTTTACAAATCAAGCATGATTAAGATGCCGTTTTAGCATCTACAAAGTCAAAAATTTCCAATTTGCAGAATAAGATGTTAAAAATCGTTCAAACCGTTTTGTAAATTTGTTAAAATAATCTGTTCAAAAGTCAAAGTTTGATAAATAAAGTTTTTAAAATATAAACTAGTTCGGTGTAAAACAAAATAATCAAGAGCAAAAGTTTCTTTGCTGGTTTTCGCCATTATTTTAAAATGGGTGTAATAATTATTAAATTAATCTGATTTGATAATATAGCGTAACATTCATGCAATTGCATGCAATTGGATTTTAGTTTAATTCTCCGGATTTTTTTAAAAGTCGAACATCCTGAAATTGGAAAATAACAAATGCGATCTTCTGCTCTGTTCGCTGTAATAAAATTTCTCGTTGGAAAGTTCCAGCCTCTGACGAATGGGGTTAAACCCGTTTTACATGAAATTATTTAATTAGCAAAGCTGCGTGCATGATTTTGCAATTGAATTGTAATACTATAGGAAATTCCCAGTCGTAAAGGTCGTCTACTATGATTCCAAATTGTCACCTTAATCATTCTTAGTTTCATTTTTTATACTGATTTGTTGTCGAATTGTGAATAATTAATTTATTCTCAAAAAAATAAAAAATATAAAGTACCAATTAATATTCACAACCCATCAGTCTCCTGGAGTCAGGATAAGAGTGTTGTGGGAAAACCAGTTTAAACAAAAGTAATCTATCTTCGAGTAAAAGTCTCTGGACTCAAATGCTTTCGGTTTTCAGTTAATTACTGGCCACAAAATAATAGAACCAGGATCAATTTGATTAGCAAAATGTTCAATATGGTTTGAAAAAACACTATTTGCAAAAAATTTAATTTGAAAAAAAAAAAAAAGAAAGAAGGCAATTTGATCAGTAAAACGTTCGATTTGGTATGAAAAAAGTCTATTTTGCTTTTAAAAATGGTTACATTTGGATTGAAAAAAGTCAATTATATTTTGTAAAAGTTCAATTTGATTTGTACAATGTTCGATTTGTTATGAGAAAAAGTTCAATTTGATTTGCATAATGTTCGATTTGGTATGAGAAAAAATTTAATGAGGTTTGAAAAATGGTTACACTTGGATTGCAAAATAACTTTAATTATATCTTCTTTTTTTTTAAATATAGTTATTACTCAGTTTGTTGTTTTCAATTATACGGATTTCAAGCTTAAAGCTCACCATCAGATTGACATTTGAATTGAAAAAAAAAAGGTCAATTACATTTTTACAAAGTCAATTCCATTTGGTTTGAGAAAAGATTCGATTTTTTTTTTTTTTGTAAATGTTCCATTTTGTTCAAGGGAAAGCTCAATTTGAATTGAGAAAAAGTTCAATTTACTTAAAAAAAAAAAAAAATGAAATTCGATTCGAGAAAAATGTACCATTTAGGTTGAGCACAAAAAAGGTCAATTCGATTAGCAAAAATTTCAATTTAATTAGTAAAATGTTCAATTTGGTTTGAGAAAAAGTTCAATTTACTTTAAAAAAAATGCAATTCGATTCGAGAAAAAAGTTCCATTTAGGTTGAGCACAAAAAAGGTCAATTCGATTAGCAAAAATTTCAATTTAATTAGTAAAATGTTCAATTTGCTTAGTTCAATTTACTTTTAAAAAAAATGCAATTCGATTCGAGAAAAAAAGTTCCATTTATTGAGCAAAAAATGATCAATTCGATTTGCAAAAATTTCAATTTAATTAGTAAAATGTTCGATTTGGTTTAAGAAAAAGTTCAATTTACTTTTTTTTTTTAAATGCAATTCGATTCGAGAAAAAGTTCCATTTCGGT